CGATAAGGCCGCCTGTGACATTTGGACTAGACTACATGTGATGATGTGGGAGAGAGAGATAGGAAATAGATGGTCGTTGTTGACTCGGTTGTGCAAGGGAGGTGCCGGTAGTGTAGACTACTAGACGAGGGGGGGGGGATAGTAATGACGGGAGTAGTGTAGTGTAGTATAGTATAGGATTTGAGGAGGGATGGATAGTGTATGTAGTAGTGTAATACCATAGAATCTCCTCCTCTTCCCCACAGAAACCTCAAGGGGTGGTGAAGGAGATTGGGGCATACTGGCAGCGGAAGACTCGCCGTTGGGAAATTGATTTGCGTAAAGAAAAGACTCGATTCCGCTCGATCTCGATGAGATGGTTACCGACACGACGGCGTCTTCATCTTCATGTGTAACCTAACCGTAAAGGTGAGTCAGCATAGTCTAGGTCGGTCCTATCGATGTGTCGCTATAGCCGTCAGATATCATAATAAGGAATGTTATTGCATAGTGACGGAGAAACAGCATTTGCCCATTTCTGTCAAGACACACTGAAACATAAAGGCGGTCAGTCAATCGCCCGGCCGGACTTGGCGATAGTATAGTGTAGTGTATGCTAATACCAAGAGAAGGGTACGGTATTCGATGGCCTGGCCGCCTACAAAAGTGGAAAAAGCTCGCTAAGAGAGATCACGAAATCCCTTGAATGAACTTTGTGTAACGCTTCACGGCTGCCCGTGCAGAAAGAGGGCTGGGGGCCGCGGGGATCATTAAAAAAAAGACCCCAAGACAGCCCAATGGTGTGGCTCTGCTTGTAACGAACTGCGCCTTAGTGTCGTTCTCGACCGTGTCGCTGGAAACACCCAAGTCCACTTTTCTTTCCAGGTCTCCACGAATCCAAGTTTGATTCACATCAAACCAAAAAGTGCCGAGCGCCACCATCTAGCTAGCTTATAGCTCCCTAGACCCTGATGCCGGCTCGTTCGTTCAGTTCGTTCCCAGGCCCAAGGCTCGCTTCGACGTCTGCAGCGGCGCATCGAGCAATGGGATGCGTTCCCGACTTGAAGAAAAGTGGAGGCCGCTGGGAGACGGAGTGGAGACACATTCGATGCTTGGTTGACGAAGAAGACGGAGGTCCGAGAGCGAGATGCCTTGCACAAAGTGGGGATATTGTAGGTTTTAAAATGCCAAAGGGGGGTTCGTCCCCCCACATCCCTCCGCCCGGATAGGCGATCAATGCCCTCTACTGCCTTAGTTGGGCCATAAAGTCAATGTTTGGTACAAATATCAAGACGGGCGATCGACAGGAGAGAAATGACGTTTCCATGGACATGGTAGAATACAGTCCAAAACCCAATTGCCGATCCTTCAGTTTCCAGCAGTGTAGTACATACAGTGTAGTCAATGGACGACGGGCTAGAATATCTGAATATGTACTGCGTAGTATGTAACTTGAAAGGCCAGCATCGTAACAATAGCGCGTGTTTCCGATGCTGATGGATCACACTAGCTAACTTGAAGGTACCTAGCTAGTGTTTTGTTTTGCTGGAATGAGCCCGGGCCCGTTAAAGCGGGGACCTTGGATGGGGACACGCGAGTTCGTTGCCCAGACAAGCCACGAGTCCCCAATTCAATTCATGTTGAGACGGAGAGTGAGAGAGAAAGTGGATGTAGCGTGACCTGCTCAGGCCAATCGAACCACTTGCTCGCCCACGGGTACCTTTGCCCGGCTCCATTTCCCTTCCCTTGCCTTCTCCACACAGTCGCGCTGCCCGACCGATGGTTACAGTCCCGGGCCCCGTCGCCTCAACGGTCATTCGCGGCGTCCCCATATTTTTCCTACAATGAGTTTTGGTTTCTCAGCGGCGTAATCAGAAATCCCCCAGGCCCAGCCAGGGCACAGAGAGAGAGAGAGATATCCCAGGGGGGGGGGGGGGGGACTAAACGTCTCGGTTGTAAAGGGGTGCGTTGCAACGGCCACTACTACCACCCACGCGCCAGTGAGTCGCCTCTTTTTTTCTTTTTTTTTTTTTTCGTCTCTTCCTTCCATCTTCCTTGCATTAAGGGGTCCCCGGTTGCAACACTACAACTCAAAGCAGATACGACGTCGTCCATCATTTCTTTGGGGTTTTCGCCTGCCTTGCTTGCACACCGCACACTCTTTTATCAATCTTCAAAACCCCGCCCGACCATGGATCAGATTTGACATTTTGAAATCCATTTTTCAGATCCAAGAACGCCACACACACTGTTCTCCTCTCTTCCCGTTCGCCCATGCTTCTTTGTGCTACGTATTGTTACCAGACAATATCGTGAAGAAGCAGCAGCAGCAGCAGCAGAACTCATCACACAATAAGAAAAAATGACAGTTCCCGTCAAGGGCCGAGGGCCACAAGTCGCCGGAGCTGCGGGGCTTTTCGTCGCACTCAGCACCGTCGCCGTCCTACTACGATGCTATTGTCGAGTCATTATCGTGAAACAATTCGGTCTCGATGACTGGTTGACCTTTATCTCATGGGTATGTTTACCTCGCTACCTACCTTCCTCTCACACAAAGCGCCACGCTTGATGCTAATTCGGGTCCAAATACCTAGTTCTTTTTCGTTTTCTATTGCACATTCTCCATTGCGGGCACACATCACGGCACAGGCCAACATGCCGTTGACCTTCCACCAAATGAGCTACCAATTGGGTTAAAGGTAAGCCTTGCATCATCCCGCATGACGACAATCATGATGAACATGGCGTTAAACATTGGTCCCAACTTGTATAGTGGTGGTGGGCATGCGAACCCGTCTATGTCCTCGCCGGTCTCACCTTGAAAGCCAGTATCGGCGTCCAACTCCTCCGCATCGCCGTTTCCAAGACCCACAAGCTCATCATCTGGATCACCGTCGGCGTCCTGGAAGTCGTTGGTGTCGCATACTTCCTCGTCTTCGTCATGCAATGCATGCCCTCCGAATACTTCTGGACGCGCTTCACCGGCGGCACAGGGTCTTGCATGAACCCTCAAATCGTCGTCGACTCCACCTACGCCTACTCGGCCATCACCTGCGCCACTGACTGGATCCTGGGTCTCCTGCCCATCTCGCTCGTGTGGCACCTGCAGATGAACTCGCGCACGAAACTCATGGTTGCTGGCATTCTGTCCATCGGTGCAGTGTACGCTTCCCTTGTTTACCCCCTCCCCTTCCCTTCTTATTCTCCACATACTAACACCCAACCCACAGCGCCTCAACAGCAACCATCGTCCGCATCCCCTACGTCAAAGACCTCGGCAACCAAGCCGACTTCCTCTGGGCCACCTCCGACGTCGCCATCTGGTCCACCGCCGAAACCGGCATCGGCCTCGTCGCCTCCTCCCTCGCCACCTTGCGCCCTCTTCTCCGCCTCTTCCTGACCAAGTCCCAACTGGGCGAGAGCACCTCGGGCGGACTCGGCACTCAGCAATTCGGCGCCACCACCAACGCCAACGGGTACATCCGCAGCCGCACGCCCAAGAACGGCGCCGAGGAATTCGGTCTGCGCAACGACATTGGCAAGGGCCGCGGCGTCACGACGGTGGTGGAAGCCGGCGGCAGCGACGGGACGAAGCGCAGCATGTCGGGCAGCAGGGAGAGCGTGGGACCGCTGACGGCGGCGAATAATTGGAACACGAGCGAGACCAAGTTGACGGATATGAGCAGTGATGATGGGCATGGCAGTGGTGGACATGGCGGGAGCAGCGGGTGGCCGACGGGAACCAAGACGACGACAGTGACGCATGTTGTTGAGTCTTGAGGAAACTATCTGGTTGTCTGGTTGTCGTTGATGGAGAGGTCCGCCGGTTGTTGTTGTTGTGTCGGAAAGGAAAAAGAGATGGACAGGACTGCGGGTTGAACACCACCACCACCACCACCACCAATCACCAATCACCAATCACCTAATCGACTGAGTTTCACGGCCCCCCGTCCATCGGTCCATCGGTCCCCTTATCAGTCATCGTCATCGTCATCGTTGTCGCGAGAAGTCATCGTCGTCAAGGCGAATAGTCATCGTCGTCATCGTCGTCATCGTCGTCAAGGCGAAAAGGCTTATACTTGGCATATTGTTTTTCTGTCTGTTCTGTTTTGAATCCATACATCCATCTATCCTCATCATTATACCTACCACCTATTGGACAACTTCCACTTTCTTGTACATATATCCACACCCTCTCTTCCTTTCTTTTTCTCTTTCCTGCATCTTCTTCTTCTTGTTTTTGTTTCACAATACCTATGTCCATGGCGTTTTTAGAATCTACTACAAAAGGGCGAGTCAGGTGTATGTGTGTGTGGCCTATAAGTGTATGAAATTTGAAAGGTTTTCAGCGTATCGGTATACCTAGAGGTAGTTGTTCGACTTTTTTTGGAAATTGGAATGGTGTTGGAAAGCGAAATGTTTACCTACCTAGCTAGAGGTACAAAACTGGATGGAAATCAAGTTTACCATCTATTCTGTCTTGGCCCGCTCTCGTGCACTATGTTGTGTATTCTTCAGTTCCGCGTGACCAAGGTACACCGAAAGGTATCGGGCTGTTGGTTCGTGCTCTTGGGGATTGGGAAAGAGCTTGTGCCAGGCACCGTTCGTGCCGCCGGGGTACCTTTGCTAATCAAGTCATGGCGCAAGGAACTCGTACCAATGGAGGGGCTAGGTTGTTCCTTGTCTACACAGTACACAGTCCAGAGGAGGCACCGACCCCTCTTGACACCAATGTGACGACTGGAGTCTTCGTGGTGACCAATGTCATTCTGCCGCGAAGGACTCTTTATGTGAAGAGATGACCATAAGGGAGGACGAGAACAATCGCAAAGAAGTCCAGACATGCAGAAGCAAGCTTCAACTTTCTAGCTACACTACCTCTACACTACCTGCTATCCAGTCAAACAGATTCTACTCTATAGAAACAACCTCCTCCAAATATGCAAGACCAACGACCATGAAGACAACGACTTGCCCCGGGGTCTCCCCCGATCCTGCTGAATCTATCCCCCCTCACCTCTTCAAACTTGATCCAGGTTGTCCAGTGTTGACTGAACAACCCGGCTATTGTCTCTAGCAAGCCCAAACCCATGGCCGCGGCGGAGATGGCCTCGCGGTACTCCTCCCCCTCTCCCCCTCTCCCCCTCTCCCCTTTCCCCACCCCCCACCACGGACGCTTAACTTCGCTCTCTTCACGGCGACGAACGACGGCGATTATGAGGCTTGGAACCTGGCGAGGAAACAAAGCAGTATTAGTCTGGTGGCAATTGAAGTGTCATGTGGATGAATGTGCTACGTACCCCAAAACCACCATCCGGTGGTTCTTCTCTCGACCGGCGAGTAGCGCGGCCAAAGAAAGACAGAGACTCAGAGGGCCACAATAGCGCGGCCAGAGAAAGACCGAAACTCAGAGGGCCACTTCTCGACGGCGACGATGAGGATTGGAACCTGGCAAGGAAAGCAACCAGTGTTAGTCTGGTGTCGATTGGAGTGTCATGTGGACCTGCATGTGGGATGAATGAATGAATGAATGTAGGTACATACCCCAGAACCACCATCCGGTGGTTCTTCTCTCGACTGGCGCAGTAGCGCGGCCAGAGAAAGACCGAGACTCAGAGGGCCAAGTCGTGGTTCGTACATTCCGAGGATGTCTCGACCCCCTGCATTAGAGGTAGTGTCAGAAGACTGTCTGGAACATGCTCCAAATGCATGAAGAAGAAGAAGAAGGAAGGAAGACAGAAAATACTTACCCCTTCGAGGAGGGGGAGGAGAGTTCGCCCGGGACATAGGCCCGGCTGCTTCAAAACGGACTCTTGGCCAGCCGGGACGAAAAGCTGAACTGATCGCCGCCGTTGCGTTTCGTTGTGCGGATGTTGGCTTGCCGTGTACGGCGGAGAGGAAGAGGGCGAGAAGTAGGGGGAGATGGGGCGCCGGAACCGGGAGGAACAGCGGCCAGAGGATGGATGGATGGATGTTGCGCTTGGAGAACTTTGTGATGGCCCAAATACCAAGAGGTAGAGTTAGGTTACGGGGACCAAAACGAGGAGAAGAGGATGACGTGAGTCCAGAGGTGAGTGACTGCTGAAACAAGTCAAGAGTGATGGTGGAAATGAACAAGAAGCATGATGATGTGCTTTGGGGTTGACGCTGCGGTGGTGATCATTTCGGAAAAAATTGATAGAAAGAGTGTGTGTGATGGAGAGAGAGAAGTGAGGGGAAAGAAAACCGATGGAGAGGCGGGGGAGCAGAGAATAAATACCTGGTCGAGCAGCTGGGACAAGGGGAGGCGGGCCAGGCTGGATGATTCCATTCGATGCCCTGGACAAGGTGAGGAAGAGGGCAGAAGGGAAGGTACGCCTTGCCTCCAGACGCAGGAAATTGTCCATTTGTCATACAAACTGTGTGTCCTCTCCTAGAGCCGAGCTGGTGAGGAAGGAGGAGGCCAACGTACATCTCTTGTGTGTGGGTGCTCGAGGCGGCTGTCCATCGTCCGTCAGGCACCAGACCATGAACATCGAGGATCCCTTACCGCTTTCGGCGCTCCTGGAACGTAGCTTCTTGCTCTGCTCTGGACAAACGAACCTCCTGATGACCTCGACGTCATCCTGTCACTTGGTTAGAGGAGGTCTGGAAGCTTCCCCTCTCGCTCCTCTGATCAGTTGCTGTGGATGACCAAACTTGGATCGAGATCTCTCCAAAGGATTGGTTGAGTTGAAGACACGCACCTGCCTCCTCGAGTATGATTCCTCTCCCTTCCAGCCCCTACTCCCAGCCCCAGGAGAGATTACTTCCGCGCGAGGCAATTCGCTCCCTCCGATGACGGCCAGGCCCACACCATGCTTGCAATCTTTGACGCCGGTTGCAGGGAGATGACCGTCCGCCTCAGAAGTCGCCGTCCTCGACAACTCTAGCATCATCCGAATTCCCTCCAGTCCTCACATCCGTCCCATTCATTCCAGCTTTGGGCTTCCTCCATTGTATCTCTACCTCCATGTCTAGCTCCAGTCGGCTGACGAGTGACACTACATATTTCAGTCGTTTCCTTTCAATTCCAGTCCTCGTATCGTCGGCGACCGTCGTGGAAACCGGTCAGTGGTTCCTCTCTTGGCTGTCTGGCTGCCGCACAGGTACGTTGATTTCCTTTACGATGTACCAACTTTCCCTGCTCGTGGCAGTCCTGGATTTCTGCAGTAGGCTAACACCGCGAAGGACGAATACGCAACGGAAACCAATCAATTCGAGCTTCCTCGCCCGCCGAGGACGGCTCCTATAATACTCGCTGTCCTCAACGATCTTCGCCGCATCTGTGCCCGCCTTGATCAGTGTGGTAGTGCTCCTATGGACAAGTACATCACCCGAAGCCTCGAGAAGATGAGACACCAAGCTTCATATATCGGTACCTAGAGATAACTCTAGACATATTCTCTCTTTCTCGCCCGCACCTTCGGAGTGTCGACCAAGATTCCCTGGATCAATCATGCTTCTGTCCGAACTTCCGTGTACGATAATGAAATTCCCTCTGGTCGATGATACACTTGCTAACAGATCCATGCTTCTTGCCCTGCCAGTCAATACCCGCCTTGCCATGAGAAGTCAAGTTGGCTTCGAAGCCGCCGGAAACGAAAGGCCGCCGAATATACCTGCTCAGCATACGGCCAGGATACTCGAACAGAACGATCACGAAGTTTGATCAACGACAACCTAGAGACTGCTTTCCTTTATGTAAGATAAAGTTATCTAAGTCTCGTTACATGGATCAACCTCCTCGCCTCGTTTTCATGCCTGGAGGTTCAATGCCCTTGTTCGATGATACTTGTAGTACCAATCCTTGAGTACCCCATCCACCTCTAACAACAACATAAATGTACAACAGAAACCGCAAGAACTGAAGCCAGCAATAGAAGGCCATGGATGTCCGTAAGTTTAACTGCAGTTGAAGGCAAGTCCTGTAAGCCAAAGTGTACCCTAGGGGTACGTTTAGAAGGACTGAGCATCCTCCTCGTCGCTCGAGACACGCCTCCGTTTGAGATTTTGAACCGTCGTGTTGTCATCGACAGTGGCTTCATCGACCGTGGCCAGCGCACCACCCTGGGCATCATTACCATAGAGAGTTTGGTCATCCTCGGCGTCCACTTCGTGGTCCAGCTCGGACATGGAGTCCTCTGCCCACACCTGCTCGCTGGCCTCATACGCGGTATTTTGTGGCTGCGCTGCCGCTGCCATGTTCCTTCTGACTTCACTGGCAATTGTTAGATCCGCCGCTTTTCTCTCAGCGCCAGTCTTGTTGATACGTTTGGACTATCATTCGTTCCATGTCAGCCACCCAGTCCTGTGCGGAAAAACAAAACGAATCAAGGAAATTGGCTTACACTGAGTTCAGCCGAAGGTCTGCCGGCAAAACGAGTGAGCTTGGAGCTCTCTGTTGTACTCGTCAGCGCCGCTTTGGAGGAATGAAAGAACGTCTTCAAGTCCGCCAAACGGGCCCCGAAGCTGTCGTAAGGTTTGAATACAAAATCCAGACTGAAAACGCCGGCATTCGGCATCCCCAGTGAAACGTCCTGGAGGGCGCGCTGTAGAGATCGGTAATCAGTGACTAACTCGATCATGGAGGCAAAGGAAAAGAAGCGAGAACTTACCAGAGCCTCCCAAGCACTGGACTCTACATTCAACAGCGACATGTGCTTTTTCTCTTTCAGCACATGGTTCTCTCTACCACCTTTGTGCTGTTCCTTGTCGACAATATCGTGGTCGTTCAACATCGCGACAACCAGCTCGCTAACGACCTCCTGCTCTTGCTCCTGAGTCCTCGGAGCATCGGCAAAGCTGCCCTGTGAGAAGCCGTACTTCGTACGAACTTGATAGGCCTTCTGCCTTCTCTTCCACTCTTGTGCCGCAAGGGACTCGGGCTCGTTCTTGATCGAAAGCTCTTCAAAATGCTGGTCCACGTCGCCGTGCTCTTGCTTGTGAGCGTCCCAGTCAATTCCTTGCTTCTCGTGGACGGCGAGCTTTGGGTGGAGGGTAGCAATGATTGGTCTTGTCTGCCCGATGTTGCCGTAACTGACCTCCAGAGCACCAAATCTCTCCATGAACACGGCCCATCTGAAGGCGTCAAAGGCAAACAGAAGGTGGTTTCTGAAGAGCTGTCCGATATCCTCGTTTCCTGGGGCAGATGTCATTGCCTCGTAGGCGGCCCAGTTGGCTGGGACGTATGGCGGCGGGGCTCCGACGGCTCGATGGGATGCTTGGACTGAGGCGCGAGAACGAAATTTGCCCTGGACATTGGGAATGGATGCCCATCTGTGATTCCGAATGAAGTAATAGATGCTGTCTATAGTGGAAAGCAAGAGTTTGTCAGTAACCCTGTGATACGCTACTTGGTAACGAAGAGGGCAGGCACTTCGCGTTTCTCGTACATACCGAGGATTTTCCAATACGGATCATGCAGCTCTGTTCCAACAACACCGGCCATGACGTTGTCCATTTGGACGATGGTTTCAGTTGGGTGCGGTGCAAATTCCCCGTCGACTGGGATCTGTCCGGCAGCTTCGTTCATCGGGGCGTCTCCAACGACTTCGTTCAATGGCAACTGTGCGACTTCTCCGCCCATCGGGTTGGGCATGGGCTGGTTGTCCACGGGGTTCAAGTTCACACCGAAGTCATCGTTGTTGGGTGGGATCGGTCCAACTTCGTTGCCTGCGAGGAGTTGGAGAAAATCCTCGTCTCCAAAGTCTCCTAGATCGTTTCCGTCAGGAAACCTGTTTGAAGCGTTGTTAGCGTCCAGTCTCCAACCAGGGTTGTAGATCTTGGAGCGGTTTGACGGCTTCGACATGGATGCCAAAGTACCGAACGACACGAAATCATATTGCGAGATGACGACGGAACTGAAAATTGAGGAGGGGAAGAGGGCTTATATCAAGAAGAATGCGAGATTGTATATGACGAAAGTGAACTGCGGAAGGGTCAACTTACTGCAAGTAGGGGTCCAAGTTATCAGGAGCCATGTTGTGATGACCCATGTTGTTAGGGCCAATGTTGTGGGAAACATTGTCATGATGAGCATTATTGTGAGGAGCCTTGTTGTAAGGATCCATCTTAGAAAGCTGGCACGAGACTCCGAGCTTCAAGAAGTTGACTACTTGTTTTAGGAAACCACCGGGTGAAGTGATCACGGTATAAACCAGTTGTCGTCGTGTTGGCCTTTGGGTTTAGAAAACATGGGCTCGTTGGTTCTTCCGCAATGCTGAGTCGATTTCCAAGCAACAACCAGGTATGGGCTGTCGTTGGACTGGAGAGAGGGTCTCAGGTGATAGTATGGTATGCGGCTTCGGCAGAGACTCGATCGATGATCAAGCGAAGGGAAGTGAGGTATCTTGGAAGAGAATTTGCTGTCGCGATGGTGGCCGTTGTGCCTGTCGAGTTGAGCGATCAGAACAAATTTTTGTCGGAGGACAGGAAATTGGAAGACGAAGCGGACCAGACGAGGGGCAGACCTTAACCGCCCTTCACCTTGTGGGACAAACCCGGCTGGCAGAACGCAACAACCTTAGCACATGGGATGAAGCCTTATCGGGATTGAAACCTGAGGTTACCGCCCTGATAGTGATGCATACTCCCGTGTAAGCGGCCCGTAGGGTATGTCGACACTGTCAACGGCCGTCCGGCTCCGCTCCGTTACCGTCCCCGCTGTCGATACAGAAAAGACCGCTGAGGACAGCGTGGGTTGGCGTGGTTGCTCAACCATCCCAGCACCGGCATCTTCAGTACCTCTAACATGCTCTAACCTGGATCACGACAGAGGCGGAAAAAGAGCAAAGCAACATGAAAGCCATCCTGCTCCCCGTCATTGGCTTAAAGGGGTAGCTACACGAGAACAAATTCGGGCACGAAGATACCTAGGTAGTGGGAAAGTGTGTGTTGTTGGACTATAGTTGCTTAGGTATCTAGGTACCTCTAGCACCAGCTACATCTACCTCTACTGAGAATGAGTTTTGTGTCAAGGCCCGAGTCTATAGCGCCCGGCGAGAAGCAGAAACAATTTGACATCCCCGAATTCAAATACAAGAGAATTCGTACAAAGAAACAGAAATAAACACAGAAGATGGCGAGAGGGAGATAGCTTTGGTCCCAATCGGGGAACACTTTCCTTGGTGGTCACCGCCGCCCTGGTAGCCACCGTCGCCCTGGTAGCCACCGCAAGTCTTCCCCTGAACGGAGTTGCTGGTAATGAGGCCGCTGATTCGGAGAATCTCCTGATTCCACAAACACATGTTCATCTGGAGCTGAATAGCTCGGCTCCTCTGGAGAAGCTCGGTGGTCTGGTATTTGAAATGCTTTTTGTCCCGGGCGCCGTTGGTCATATCGAGACCGGCAATTGAGACTTGCTTCCAGTGGTGGACGGCAGTTGTCGGTGGTCTCTTGGGCCATCTCGCGCGGCCGCGGCGGCGAAGCGACCGACATCTTTAGCGCTTGCCAATAACTGAGAGAAGGGGATGATAGTAAGTGCCGAGTCGTCTCCTATTCAGGGAAGTCGTCGCTGGTCTCTTGGGCCATCTCACGCCGCCGCCGCGGAGAAGCGACCGACATCTTTAAGCGCTTGCCGCGAAATTTACCAAAGCCATTGTACAGCTCCCATTATTTGGAGCGCTGATAGGTGTCGGTACAAATTATCCCAAAAGCTGTGTTGGGCTTCTGGTAGGTGGTCAACACCTTGGTTGATACCAGGACAAAGTGGTCTGGACAGAGATATGGTTGTACAATAGGAGACAGTTGAGAAATGGGAGACACTGGCGACGCCGGTGTCCCAACATGAAATGAACAAAGCGAGAAGCATCCGCTCGGATGACAAAAGCTCGGACGAGGGCTCTTCTAGGAAGTACTTCCTCGAAGTGGACGACCAAGATCCTCCTGGCCAATACCTTGAACGGCTTCAGAGTCTGTCACCGTTGGTATCGACGCTAATAGAGTCCGAATTGATCGTAGGCATCCGAAAACGTCGTCCACGGCCCGCTTCCACTTGCCAAAGACGGAGTGCAGTCTTGGTGTTGCGAGTGGCACTTGGTTTCTCGTTGGTCTTCTTCGCTATAAACTAGGTGTGTTAGTCTGGTCTCTCATGTTGCGAAGGGAACCGCAAGGTCGTGGCAAGGAGAGGAAAGAAAGTAGGTACGTGGAACGGACGGATTGCGGGAAAAGATGGGGGCACGCTTACCGACATGAACACCGTCCCTGACTGGAGTCAAACGCCCATATTGCCGAAGTCGCTCAGATTCCATTCCCGGATACTTGGACGCCGACGCGTTTGCGTTGGGAGTTTCGGGTTGTGGGGGTATGCCAGGGAGACCACGACAAAGTGTCTCGGACGTGAATAGAAGAGCAGAACATGATGACTGGATACCTCTAGGCGGCGTCGTTAGGTCGAACGCCCGTATTGCCGAATCCGCTCAGATTCCATCCCGGATACTTGGACGCCGACGCGTTTGCGTTGGGAGCTTCGGGTTGTGGGGGAATGCTAGGGAGACGACGAAAAAGGTGTCTCAGGCATGGATAGAAGAGCGGAACATATTGGCTGGATGGAAAAGGAAAAATGCCACGAAGTGGTGATAGAAATGAATGTTATCTCACGCATACCAGAGTGTGGTGAGCCATGGTGTTGTGATGTTGACGTGAAAATGTTGGTTGGCAACAGGGCAAAGTTCGCGAGGCCAGGTAACCAGACACAGAAGAAGGAGCAAGAAGAAAATGAGTGAGAGAGGGGTAAAAGCGTGGCCTCAGGCTCCAGTGACGTTGCTGGAGGGGTAAGGCTTGCGAATCGGAAGGAGGTGTGATGTGCGGATGGAGTGGGGGACGCGTGACTGAAAGCAAACAGCGTCTAGACTGGCCGCTGTCATTGGCCATTATCGAATTTCTCTACAGCCACTTGCGATCCCGTTGTGATGAGGGGCAAGTCACTTGTGCCTCACTGGATTTCTGCCCCCCACTCCCGTTGACGGCGGGATGATACATGAACTGCCATAAGGGATGGGGTTAAGTCTCGGAGCAAAAGAGAACTTATACCTGTCAATCATGACTGGTAGACTCATCCTTAGCACTCGACAAACTAATGGACTCACGGATAAGAGCACGAAGCAGGGATGATGACGCGGATAACACAATTAGAGTCACTGATTAAGTGACTGTGGCATGAAGAACGCGAACCATTGGGTCTCTGTGACTGGAATCAACCTCTATGGAACAGCCATGACTCAGGTCTGAAATTGTGATTATGGAGAGGACAAAGTAGAGGTGTATTTGCTACGACCGGAGACGAAGGCCTTGCTTCGACGGAAGGGAAGCAGTAACGTAAAATAGAGAAACCACATAACAGCTATCATCGTGAATTCATCACCAAAGTCCGGTAGAGACAACTTCTCTCCTCCAACCCAACCGTCATTCTTTCCAACTCCCTTGTCCAGTTCCTTGAGTATCGTATTGATCTGCTACTCTGACTCGTAGGCTCCCACACCCTCGACTGATTCTGTCGTCGACATCTGTCACAAACTTCAAACCGTAAAGTTAAAAGAGACGGACAATCTTGTTCAGCACGTTGACAACACCTGTCATGTCCTGTCAGGTCAGGTCAGGCACTTTAACGGTTCCCGTGCTGCGACCCAGAAGCAGCAGATCCGTCGCCCCGAGGGGGGAAAGGCTGTCTTCCCAACAAAACATTGTCCCTGAACCATATCAACTCCTCCTCGCTTGGATTCCGATTTACTCCATGCGCTTGAGTGGCATTTTGGTCGACATTGGAGACTGAGGGGGCAGGTGTCCCTGTGGCTGGCTCCATGTTTTGGTCGTTGAATTGCTCTTCTTGTGGCAATGCTAGCATGGCTGGATCCATGTACAGGGAGTCAAGTTGTCCTTGCTGCGCAAAATCCGCCTGTTGTAAGATGGTTGGCTGTTCGAAAGCTTGTTGCTGTGAAATGTCGGTCTGCTGCGTGATAGACCCCTGCTGCAGCCGTGCCTTCTTGGAAGCACGCGACTGATGCTGAACATCATCATCGTCATCGTCGCTGCTGTCGTCGTCATTTCTCGGCCGCTTCTTTCCCTGACAGGCATCGGCATTACCCTCGGCATTGGTGCCAGATTGGTCGTCAGGGATCAGGTCCACCCCTTCAGGAACGTTCTGGTGAGCTTCCTAAGCTTCCTCCTTAGGCGTTTCCTCGGGCTTATCCTTCTGGGTGGCAGCCAATTTTCCTCGCTCGGCAGTTCCAATCTTGATCAGTTCGCGCCTGTTGTCGTTCGTTGATTTGTTGGAGATCTTCGTCTGTAGAAGGCATGAGTTCGTTAGTGACTTGCTCTTTCATGTATGTAAGACTGGAAAGTAGGTGCTTACCTGAAGTTCGGCCTTGGGGTTACACGCGAAGCGAGCCAGGTGTGGCAATGAATATGTGTTCATCACCGACGCCTTCGAGACCTGTATTCATACATGTGTGTGGTTAGCTGAACAGCGTTACCAATAGGAACAGAGAGACTTGGTACTCACGTGAAATAACTTGGTTAGGATGTCACTTCGCTCTTTATGGGTTTGGTACGCTTCGATATCCAAATGGGTGGTCGCGGATGATCCTCTGGATAGACCGAGGTGCCCGTCTCTCAAGGCCAGCGATGCCTCCCAACCAAACAAGGCCACGTCAAGAGCAGACAGCTCTCGCTTCCGCTGAACAATGTAATTGAGCTTCCTCTTGTTTTCCTTGCCGTGGTACTCGAGGTCGACCATGTCTACTTCGTTCATGGCCGCCAAACTTAGGTCGTTGGCGAGCTTCTTCTGATCCCACTGGGTCTGAGGGATGTCATCCGTACCATTGTCCTGGCCCAGCTTTGCATGTGCCTTTTCCACCTCTCGACGATGGCACCACTCCTTAGCGGCCAGGTAGTCCACTTCGTTGTCGAGTGGGATGGAAGCGCCCTGCTGCTTCAGTGCTGGATCGCTCTTCAGGTCGACAAGAGCCTGCAAGTTGTTGATACAGGGCCGGGTTTGGCCAAGAGAGGCGATGCCTTGGTCAAGAGCGTTGGACTTGGCGAGTGTGACGCTCCAAGTGTAGGCAACTCTGGTAAATTGTTGATGATTGCGGATGGCTTGTCGAACTTCATTGCTGATGGCCGTGGCCAGGAACATATTCATGGCGGGGAACCTAATGGGTTGGGGGGACGGACCAAGCTTCGCGTAGTAGATGCGGCGACGTAGGATGAAATAGAAGATCGCATCTGGTTGATATGGTCAGAGTCAGTGTGTGTTCAAGCCTGTTGAAGTTCTCTCGTCACGTACCTAGGATTGACCAGTAGACTTTCCTCTGGACCTCGTTCGCAGCGTACATGATGTCTTCGAGATTCTCCGCAACCATCGCTGGTGGCATGATGACAGACTGTGAAGATGACATGGTGCTAATATGATTATGTGGATGAAGAGAATGGATGATCTGATGAGCCCTCAAAAAGGGGGGAACGCTTGGTTTGACTATAATCGTTCTGATGGTAAGTATGTCAAAGCGCAAATGAAGATCCGGTAGTAATAGTCGGAAAAGCTAGCCATATATGAAGTATATACAAATGAAGCGCCAAACTTACAAGAGAGATGCAATTAGAAGGTGTCTTGAGGGTGCTGCGAGCTCGGTGCGCAAAGTCGCGATGCAGTGGCTGGTCGGGTCGCTCTGGAGGACTTGGCGATGATGCGGGAAATCGGCTTTCTTGGAAGCTGAACAGTGTGACTGTTGAGAGGAATGTTGTCGATGCAAGGTTTGCTTCTTGGTGATGTCGTTGACTTGTTGAGTCTGGCGCAATGAGCAGTCGGGAATGCTGGCGCGATCTTGTGTTGTCGACAGATGGACGATTTTCGACGTCTATGAGCTGGCAGATCTAGACGACAACGGAGAGGTCGCGACGGAAATTGAAAGAAAGGATAGTGGACGTGAAATGTCGAGGGAGGTTGGAAGGCGCAATGCTGGACTGTTGCCTTGGTGGCGGGAAAGTGAAGTTGGCGAAGCAGATTGCTGATTTTGCAGGAAGAAGTCGGAGGACAATGCAGACTCTGGAGAGCGTTTTCTTGTAAACTTATGAGGTAAGTGCGCTGTCGCATCTTAACAAGGTTGGGAGTTGCGAAGACGACAGGCAAGAGCAACTTCATTGCATGTGGACACTTCATATGAACCCTGAACAGAGCCTTCCAAACTGAGAAACTGCAGGCCTGTTCAGAAATAACTCTATTATCCAAGTTCTTAACGCTCAACCAGTACCCCTACAATGGGTTCCACACGATCCATAACCAAATGCATCAAAGATCAGTCAGTGTCCTTCGAACCTTAGGGGCATGTAGTCAAATTGGGATCCACGTGTCTCATCACGTGAAGCAGTCATCCGTGTCGCCTTTGATACACCACCACCGATGAACCAAACCACGTCTTCCTACCTTGTTTCTGTCCGAATAAGTCTGCTAGCCGCTCTGTATCTACTTGAAAAATCCCGAAGAGACTGATAATGTAGTTCATTTGGCCTAAATCGAGAAAAAGTGGACCTTCAACGGTCTTGGCGCTCTGGGTACTAACAGCTTTCGCGGGAAGCCGCTGCAAATATTGTTAGTGAGAGGGCCAGAAATCAGCAGCAACCATGGCTGTCAGCTCTCCTCTAACTTTGCCAGCGCTCCGCGCTTTCTGTGGCTCTAAGGAGTCGTTAAATCTTGAGACAGCGTACTTGTCATCTACTTTCAAGTCTTATTGATATATCAAAAAAATAACGGCGGAAACATCACGAGGCCGTTCTTGTTCGGCCATTAGCTGGACAACATTCAAGCATGACTGGAGGAGAATGGTCTGTGCACCCCAGCAGAAAAACAACGAACAAAAGCCAAAACAACTCCTTTGTCCAGTGCTTTGTCCGGAAGACCGAGCACTTGTTCATTCTTTATAAACTGGGAGTGATCGAATTGATCTCAGTGTATCAGGCCTCCCATTAGTTGTTTGTGTTAAACCGGAATTACTCTACTAAAACTGCCAATTGTATACACCAAACACGTTATTTGGACATCGAATGTTTACTTCCAACGTCTTGGCGATGCAAGCCCCTGAGCCCAGCGTCGTACAACATCAAGAGTCATCAGCGCTATAGGTCTCCAAGACGGCAACAATCACAAAACACATCCATTATTTCCATGGGAGAGAAGAGTAAATATTAGAACGCAATGCTACCTCTGGGCGTTGTTGTTATAAAAGGAGCTGGAAATATACTTCTATATGTGAACGACGAATGGAATTCGCACGGCCGGCTCCAGACGCCTCGCTAAACAGAGCCATGAAGATAATGGCTATCCCCCTCAGCCGACAACTACCGCTGCCGTTTACGTACTCATGCTCCCCTCGTCCCAACTAACGACGCGAAATCTGGCACTGATGCATCCCGTTCAGACCTCGTAGAGATCTCTGTCCACCTAAGCCTTCTTGCTCGCCGAACCAAGGTGGGCTCCATTCCGACGCCTGGGGGTTGAATTGGTCGGTTGACTACTACCCACGGTGTTGCAAAGAGGGCTCTCGAAACCACGCCCGACGTGGCTGTGATGGGCACCGAATTCCAGGTTATGAACCTGGCCAGCGACCGGGAACTGAGCTGCATAACCTCTATAACCGTGATGATGAGCCTGCGAAGATGAACCAACCCCAGCTGGACCACCAACTTGGTTTCCGTGGTGGTAAGGAATGAAGTCCTCCGCAAAGTCGTACTGGGCGGGACCATTAGCTTGGTGGTCAGCCATGGAGTTTTGATAATCCATGGCGGGATAGTACCTAGAGGTAATCTTGATGCTGTTGATAATCCTGAACTGACGGGCCGGCGCCGGCATGACCACCAGATTCACTACCAAGGTGGTGGTTGGCATCAAGGTCTTGAGAGGGAACGAACGATGAAAAGCTTGTATCAATCTGCTGGCGACCATTGGCAGATTCGATATTGCTCTAATTGCCCTAACTGTGACAATCGCCCTCACGATTATTGTTGACAACCCCGGGCCGCTATCGTAGTCGCCGTAGAGGTAGCCATAGTCGTACTAGACAACTTCACTATTGAAGTCGTCGAACTCGCTGTTGTAATCGTCGACATGGAGGTAGCGACAGTCACAGAACACATATCTTCAGCGGGAGAGAGCGTTGCGAACTGAAAAGTGATGCTACCCCTCGGGTACTGTCTTGGTAGGAAGAGACTTATATAAAAAGTGAACGTCTCTAATGGGTACATCTGCCACTTAATATCCCTAGCCTAGACCCTGAGCGCCTTGTGAAAGAGAACAGCATGGAACCAATCCCATCCATCTCATCCTCTTCATACTGCTGAGAATCATTTTGGAATGCCCCGATCTGTTTAACATCCTTCTGTGTTCCATCAAGTTAAAGTCCACAACGTCCTCTCTCAAGGCTTACTCTCCTATTCCTTCTGATCTCGTATTCATCTTCCTCTATTACAAAGTGGTTATTGCTCGGGTAGACGTAGGTAGCCAGGATGCTGGCCGTTTTGCGTGCCGGCAGCTGGGGTGGACTGCTGGCCGTAATGCCGGCTGTTGGGAAGCGAGGAGTTATAATGGGGTAAAGCGGGGTAAAGAGCATTGGTTTGGATGGTGTTGGGATGCGGGTTATTCAAGTTGGAAAAGTGAGAGTTCTGACGGGGTAAACTGGGGTAGAGGGCATGGGGTCGAGTGATGTTGAAAGGCAGACTGTTGGGGATGTGGCCCTAACGATCGATACCTGACGCGAGGGCGTTGTTGGTCTGCTGATGACTACCATAGCGGTGCCTCTAAACTCCTCGCTCGATACGTGATACGAGGCAGGGAAATGATCGCTATGAACTCCTTCGTTGTGGTGCTGGGACTGGTTCGACGAGCCTACGCCGGCTGAACCTCCAACTTGGTTGCCGTGATGGTTGTCGTGGTCACCGTAGCCGTAGTCGTCGAACTCGCTGTTGTCGCCCTCTTCAGCTTCAAGGTCCTCGTCGGTTTCGGGGTCCTTGTCATGAAGGTCTGGAACAAGATTGCCGGCATCGTTTGTGATGCTGGCCTGCATGCGCGCCTGTCGTGGGCGCCTCGCACGCTTGACCTTGGCATAACCCGCAAGTTCGGGGCCCAAGACATCCGCAAGCTTGCGCTTGACAGGCTTGGGGAATACACCAATAACCTCACCCTGGCTGTCTTTCAGCTCCCGGGTGGTTTTATTGAACGAGGCCGAGCCATGCTTTTCGACCGCCGTTGCGATCTTTTGCCTGGTGGCCATGGCAGCATTGGTGTACAAATTTGAGAGCTTTGTCTATCGGATCATTAGTGCCCTGTTGAACAATTCTTCGTCCTAGAGCTGCATGACTTACATCCAACTCGGTGGCTGCGTTGTTGACGATGGAATCTCTCGAGGTAGTTGAACTGGGCGATGTTTGGTTGTAGAATGCAGCTTTGGAGGTCTTGGTCGCAATGCTTTCCATAGGTATCTACCCTACTTAGCTCAATGGCTGGCATTAAGGCGGTAAAGATCACTGAAAACATATTTCTATAGGTACGGAGAGAAGATTCAAGGCTGGAACGCAATGCTATCTATGATGATTCTTGTCAAAAAGAAGAGCTGGAAAAAATACTTGTACATGTGAACAACCGATGGAATTCCCTAGGCCCGCACCCAACGCCTCGCTAAAAAGGCCTATGAAGATAAACAGCCATTCCTCTCAGTCGACAGCTACCTACGTATACTGCTGCCGTTTACTTGTGGAACGACTACCTTCGTGTACGCCGCAACCGAGCTAATTCCATGGTCTTACCCAGTGTGCATTCCTCTCAGCCGACAACTCAACCGCTGCCACTTAATCATAGAATGGCCACGTGGTCCCCTCATACCGACAGGCAACGTGATACCCACTTCAGATCTCGAAGAGATCTCCCTCCACCGCAAAAGTCTCGTTTCCCGGGTGGTTGTGAGCATGCTGAGCGCTGTTGACCGCCGAGCGGGTAGCTGGGGTGGTCTGCTGGCCATACTGATGGTTGGAATGAGTGACAGTGGGATGGGGAGAATTGTGATGAGGGGAACTGTGGTAGGGGGAGTTGGGGTAAAGGGAATAGTCAGGGGGGAGTCCTGGTAATGGGAAATGAGAAGGGGGGAACTGTGCAGAGGGGCAATGGGAGGGGGGGAACTGTGATGGGGGACAATGGGATTGACATCACCGGGGAGGAAACCCTCAAGACCGGTACCTTGAGCGTTGTCAGCCAGCTGAAGACCACAATCCTCGCTCCAAGCCACGTCGAAGGCAGGGAGTTGACCACCATGGACTTCCTGGTCGTGATGCTCGGACTGATGAGATGGGGATGACGCCATTTCAACTGCGTGAGCTAGTTCGTGGTCGATCATCTGGGAAATAAAGTGCTGTTCATGAACAGAGTAATCGGAGGCGCCATCAAACTGGTGCGCAGTCGGTGTCGCGGCTTGCTCTTCAAGTTGGTTGCCGCTTTGAGTATCGCCCTCGCCATCATGCTCGCTACCAGATTGGTCGTAATCGTTGTCCGAATCGTACTCGTTGTCAAACTGGCTCTCGTTGTCCGGTCGATGTTCGTTGGCACCGCTGGGATCGTTATCACCGCTGGAATCATTGTTGCCGTTGTGATCGTCGTGGACGTTATGCTGGTTGTTGGCCGGTGCCTGGGCCTGTCGACGGGAGCGCCTAACGCGCTTCACCTTCGCATGTGGGATGAGGTCCGGCGGCAAGACATCCGCCAATCTGCGCTTCTGTGGACGGGGTAACACGTCAAGGACAGTGCCATCGCTGTCCCTCAGCACGCCGGTCTTACGATCAAATGCTGCGGAGCCATGCTCCTTGACCGCGGCAGCGATCTTCGCGTTATGCGCTTTGATCTGATTGGTGTGCAGGTTGGATAGCTTGGTCTGTAAAAGCGTAAGCGACGGCTCCTGAATGTCAAAAGGCGCAATGACTTTGTCTTACATCCAACTCGGTAATCGGGTTGTTGACAAACCTCTCCACGATGGAAGGCTGAAACAGGTTGGAAACGGCTGCCTTGCAGCACTACGCCGGAATGAAAGTGGTTAGAGTCGGGGTTATGAAAGGAGCAGAAGGGACAGACTCACCGCGAAGACAGCAACTACGACCCTCCATTTGGTGGTGAAGTCTTTGAACTTCGCCCTAGCGATTCTGGTCTCAGGGATGCTTAGAAAAGCGCCTTCGCTGCCTTCGCATGCCTGCGTCTCGGCCTGCAGAGTGCTAGCGTTAGAAGAGTTGACCAGATGTAACTGTATGCGGGAGGAGTCAAGTAGATGGGTGAAACTATGCTTGGGGGATAGGTCCACGTACCAAGAGTTTCCACGCCATACGCTCTGCGCTCTTGTCGGTAAGTTCTTCCTCGACAAATCTAATGTGGCCGTGGGTGTCGGCCCTAGAATCGCAGATGTTTTCTGTGTTCCGGAAGGCTGCAACCATTTGGTCGACCAACCTGAACCGCTCCTCATTGGTGGTGGGAATATCGGCGGCAGTAACTCCACCCCTGTTAAAGAGCATCAGTGCCTCCATCTCCAGTCTCCAGTAGTCATCCATGGACTGGATGTACCGCTGCCTGGGCAGTTGAGCGTTGGAGCTCATCGTCTGCGAAGTGAGTAAGTAACTAGTCAAGACGAACCGTTTCCTACCTGAAGGGCAAGGCGTCATAACTGTCATTCGTCGCGAAATAATCAATCATTCTTGGGAATTGTCGAGGGATAGACCAACAATGACGTGGGGGAGTAGCAACGATGAGGCGCGTCAAACAATAACCGAACTGGCCGGGACGATCTTGAATGCGTGCGCGGATGAAGATAGAGGTACTTACGATTCAACAGAGATCAAAGAACTGCAATACAATTGCCCAGTTGAGTAAAGTGAGCAGACTTGATGCACCTTTGAAAGAAATCGAGTTTTGACCTTGGGTGTCGAAAGTCGGCAGTAGTTTTTCGGGGAAGTGCAAGCAAAGGAGTGGGCTTTTTGTAGGTGTTTGCAGTGTTCGAAGTGAATGGGTAAAAGGATGTGGAGAACGCGTTTGGCCCTTGACACCTTCGCCTGCTGTTTTGAACCTGTCGGCGACAAGGACGGCAACGAAAATCAGATGGAAGGTTTACGTGAAGATGGCATTGCGGGAGAAAGCCGTGAAAGAAGAGGTTCACCGCGCACTGTCCACCCATGAAGCGCGAGTTGCTGGACACGGCGGCGTGCGGACTGACGGAGATGGACAGGAGTAACTTCGGCGGCGGCATATGAAGTCTGGGAAGGTGTTCACTGAGGTGTTCCCTGGCGCTACTCTAAGTTGACTGAAGACGGTTTTCTGACGATGGCGTGGACATAAACTTCCGTTAGGCCTATATAGAGACTCAAAGGAACATGCTTATAAACTGTCACTCAATGAATATTCCACTGGGATACATTGTCTGCACCAAAATGGAAAGATTGGAAACAGTGATAAATCAAAGACAAAATCAAGGTAACTTGCACCAGAGAAAAGCAACTGACACTCCCACAGAAACTCTTCTCGAGTTTCCTTCGTGCCTTCAAAACCCCCTCAAAATCACGAGTTATCCTCAGATGCAACTTGCATCTTCCCCTTCCTCGTCCACTCGGATCTTAAAACTTCCACCTCCAATGCCCTCGCCTTCTAAGCCGCTCGAGACACTTAAATAGTGATTTAATAAGCTGAGTCCACCTGGCATACGCACAAGGACGAAATAGGGAATGAGGATGACGGTAGCTGGAGCTCAATTGACGCAGGGGAATACTTCGACACCAGAAACGTAACGAAGCCAAACTTCTTGGTCGGCAGCGTTGGTGAAGTCTTTGGCTAAGTCGGCCTCTTCTTTCCACCAGGCTACGCGAAGCTGCTCTAGTGCCTCTGATGTGCAGCCCGATTGGCTTCAGCTTCATCTTGATGGGAGACCGGGTATTGGCTCTGGTGTGAATTGGGTTCGTGGCATTGGTCCGCATAGTATTGGCCCACGTGAACATGCTCAGCGTCGTGTCTGTTAAAGTTCGGTTGCTTAACGTACGGGTGGTTGGTGTTATGTCGGCCAATGTTGGACTGTTCAATGTCCCCCTGGCCGAGATTGGATTATTCGATGTCGGACTGTTCGATGTTGGACTGCTCGATGTTCTGCTGGATGGTTTTCTGGTGGCCTAGAATAGACTGTTCGGAATTCTGCTAGTCGGCATGCGCTTGGAGGTTGGACTGGTTTACCTGGGGAGGGTCTGATACCTCATCCTCTTCCTGAATCGCCGGCAAGACAACTGCGGCGGCGCCCTGGAAAGGTGCATGCTCTGCTCCCACACCGGTCGTAGCAGCTGTGGCAACGGAGGCTGCGGAAGACCCTGTGGCCGTCGTATCTACAACTTACGTCCAACTCCACGATGGGATTGCCGATGTAACGGCCCATGTAGGACGCTGCGAACATGTCTGTGATCCCGGCCATCGTGGACTGAACTCCCAAAAAACAATTATGGCCTTTTACTCTATACATATCCCACTGGAATACGGTGTCTGCAAAGACATGAGACATGTCAAACGGGAGTACAGATGTATAAGAACAGAATCTAGGCAACTTGCACTAGGAAATAAGTGCCAAGGCACCGCGCCGAGAACTTATCTTGACTTCAAGAATCCCATCTTACCTTCAAAGCCCACTCCGAGAATCACGAGTAATCCCTAGACGCAACTTGCATCTTCCCCTTCCTCATCCACTCGGATCTCAGACACCCAGCACCAATGTCCTAGCCTTCCAAATTCTTTTAGCTGCCCGTCCCCGCGTCAAAACGCCCAAAGACACCCAACTTATGAACTTCATCGACTGAGTCTGCTTGACATTCGCCCAAGGGTAAGATAAATGAAGGTAATGACGGAAGCTAGGTCATAATAGACGTGTGGGAAGTTTTGAGGCCAGAATGGGTTCTCTGACATCCAGTCGGCCAATAACATCATTACTCGTTCTGGAACCATTCGAATTTCTACCTCCATGTACCCAGGGGCAGGCAAGCAGACACTGGACTGACACTTTTTCCGGGACTGGGTCAAGCTTCAACCGTGAGCAGTAGCGCTCACTCGTTAGAGGACTTGTCCTCCACCCACCAATTTGCGCCGGCTGCGTTTTGAACCATACGGCCGGATGGGTTCACAGCTGCACGTCCGGGGCCAGCCTGGTTACTGCCATAGGTGGCGTTGCCGTGGTTATGCTCATGCTCGAGGGACGTGAGCTGAGGTTGATGCGGCATATGATATTGATCTATGTTGTCGAGAGTGGCGATGCTTGGGTGAAGGCCGGGGCTGTTGGAGCCAGTGTTGTTCAAGATCGTGTCGGCCAGGCTGGTGTTGGTCAAGTTGGCGCCGCTATAGTCGGTGCGGCCATGCTCGGAACTGTCTAGGTTGGCGTTATCCAGGTCGGCGTAGCTTAGGTCGGTATTACTTTGGTCGCCACTGAATAGTTCGTCATCGAGAAGTTCGGCGTGTGGAAAGTCGGCGTTGCTCTGGATTGCGTGAGTCGGGACTTCATCGCTCTGGGATGAGTTCAAATCGAAATTATCGGCGTTAGATTGTTCGCGGTTCAAATGATTGTCGTCGAGGGGGACGCTGCCTGAATTGGTCTGAAGAGGCTCGTACATCTTCACCTCTTGAATAGCGTGGAGGGAGCTCGCGGCGTGGCTCTCGGTAGCCTGCCCTCCGTTGGCAAAAGAAGACACACCTACCGGGGTTGCAGAAGCTCCCATGCCCCTGCGGCTTCCTCTAGAACGTTTCACCTTGGCCGCCGGGGACTGAGCCAGTTCCGGGGGAAGAAACTCGCTCAGGACGCGCTTCCTCGGCTTCATCAACGTTTTGAGGAGCGTTCCCGAGGCATCTCTAATCTCGGCGCGATCATCAAACTTCGCAACGATTTGACCATGATCCCTGGCTGCCTTGAGCTCATGGTTGTAGTCCTTATTTCTGTTCGTGTTGTTGTTTGATATTTTGGTCTAAAGCAGGTGAAGGAGGCCAAAGCACGTTAGAGGTATGCCCATTCTGTGGTAACTCCGGAGACATGCGATCGCTTGAACTTACATCCAGCTCCATGATAGGGTTCGCTGTATAGCGGTCCAGGTAGTGCACCGCAAAAAACTGGGTGGCTCCGGCCTTGCTAGACTGAGCCCTGGCGTCAGCATCTTATTGCCGAGAAGAAAACAAGGCGGAGGAGACTCTTACGCGCACAAGGGCCAAAACTGCCTTCCACCTACTCGTGAAGTCGGGGAAGCGTGCCGTCAGGATATCCGGGTTATGAAGGCCTTGCTGGGTGTCGCGAACTTTGAACTGCACGAAAGGGTGCGTTAGTATTGATCTCATGGGAAGTATCTGGATTTTGTGATGTAAGCCACTTACCAGGGCCCTCCATGCCATCATTTCCTGTTTGTCTCTAGGCAGATCGCGAATAGCCTTGACGTCAGAGCTGTCATTGTCAACGACGCCAGCGGTATTGGCCATTGCCTCCAGCATCTCGTCAATCAACACGCCCTGTGCGTCGTCATCGTTATCTGGAAAGTCACCGCAGTATCCTGCGTTAGCACCGCTTAGCGCCGCTGCTCTGGCCTCTGCCTCCAACTGGTGAAAATGGGCGGCGTTCCTGATGATTCTCTGCGGACGCGCAGGAGGGTTGGTAGGTTCCATTTTGTAGAAAATGCTTTTCTTGGGTTGACGACAGTGACGTGATCAGTTGCTTTCTTTGTTCAGTTTTGCTTTTGGAGGAGGTGCGAGTGAGAAAGCCCACGTAAGTAAAGAGAGAGGCACAAGATGGGTTGCGGGGGGATCGCTGGAGTCTCTTCAAAGTGAATGGGCATTTCTTACCTCTAGGTTAACTTGCGGTGCTTGCCGGGTGGGATGCCGGCTGTCACCTGCAATACGATGGGGAAAAATCAGTTGCGGACGTGGACATCAGATGGAAGATACCTGTGCTCAACGAGACGCTTCTGTCAGAGTCCTCGTAGTCACTCTCGTAGCTTCTGGTCCTGCGACTTCCTATCGCTTCGATTTGAATAGCTCAACGGGTAACTCCCCGTCGAGGAAACCGCTCAGGGAGGGTTCACCGGCTTGATGATTGTTTTGACGAGGTTCCCAAAAACGTTTCTGACCTCGGCAATGTTGCGGATCTCGATAACCGTACGCTCGTTGTCCCTGACGCCCTTGATCTCAGTGTTATACTTTCTCATTTTGTTGGCATGATTGTTGGACACTTTCTCTCAAAACCCCGGAATTGGGTGGCAAGTGTACCTCCACAGAAATGGAAGGGCAAAGAAGTCTGAACAGGCAGCCTTTGAGTTCTAGGGACCTATGCCAGCATCAAGTTGTTAATGATGGAGTGAGGGAGAGAAGGCGCTTCTGCACCATATGCAACCGTGGCAACAAGTAGTGGAGGTATTCAGGAGATTGGGTAACTCGCCGGCGAGGTTGGGATTTCGGTGTCAGCTGGTTGGATCATGATGCTTATAGTATTGTATATAACGCCAACTGTGTCTCCTTCCTAATAACGGCCTACTTATTGAAGAAAACTCGTAGTTATACCAAATGACGGACCGAATGCATTTACCGTGCCGTGTTACGAGTGGGTAGAGGTACCAAATGAAAAACTGATGATCTGAAATCTGTGGTCTTTAATACAACCTACCACAAAGAACGACAAGCAATATTGAGAAGAATCAACGTTTGCAATGTAAATTATGAGACGGATTGACGGAGATATATCTCTTACTCTCTGGTGGGAAGAGGTGGGTAAGGCGCGCGCATTCCAGAAGAAGGAAGCCGGTAACAGGTCCTAGCCTGATACCTATGTATAGACGCGAATAGGCTGACAAAGACCAAATGAAAAGTTACAAGACAAAATAAAACAACATCTGGGCAACTTGCACTAAATGAAACCGTCCAACTCCGCGCTCAGGAAAGTGGAATCTTGAACCCAACTCGGGCCCGATTCACGCCGCAGAAAACCATTTCGAAGACACAAAGTGATCTCCCCGATACAACCTACATCACGTCCCACCCACGACCCCCTTTTTTTTTATAGACATCAGACCTTTAGTCCAAACCTGACGGTTCTCGAGCGCTTGCTCGAAGATCGTGATATGTCCTCAGTCATCGATCAATTACCGCTAGCTCCGCTAGGAGGCTCATCATCGGGTTTACTCACAGCTCCAGACTTCTGGGTATTAGCAGAATTTCGGTTGGACCAATAGTCCAAGCTTGAACTTATGGAGCACTTGCTCGAAAGATCGATATGATTAGTGGTACATCGATCAGTCGCCGGGGCTGATACCTAAGGACTAGTTCTTGGACTGATCCGTAGATTCAGATCCCTCGCCAGCTTGACTGCGACCATTGTCTCGGGAACTGCCAGCAATAGGTTGGGAACGGCAGATGTATTCGTCGAGGTCAAAGAAACCCATGAAATCATCGGGCTGCTGATGCTCTTGATCCCACATCAAGGGACCGGCATCTGCTCCGGGCTCGGGACCAGTCAGATACTGATCCAGCGAGTTGTAGCCAAACTCTCCGTCCAATGACTGTTGGTGATGGGGCGCCTGGTACTGGTCAAGAGGGCTGTAGTTGGCGAAACCGGGCTCAGGGCTGCTGAGGACATTGGAGACAATAAAAGGTCCTGATCCCTCTTGGTTCTGCTGATGAGCAAGTTGCTTATCGATCATTGGCAGGTTTTCTGCCGCCACTGCCTCCGGAGTTACCAGCGATAGGCTGGTTATCTTCGAAATTCCTGCCGAAATCCAAGTACGGCATCGGGTCGACGGGTTGCTGTGCCTCTTGATCCGAAATAGGCGATCCACCATTTGCATGATCATTGGGAGGAGCAGAGTACTGGTTAGGATGATAACCAGTATATTGCTCGTTCAGAGATGATCGTGGAACTGACGCGGCATCTTGGTCGGTGTGGTAATGATAGGAGCCATCCAGATCGGCATTGTCGAAGGCGTTCGATGCTTGAAGATCATCGAATTGGTCCTGAAACGCGTGTTCTTCTTCTTCAACTGCGGGCACATCTTCGTCGAAGTTGTCGTCGTGGAAGTAGTCGCCTTGATAGGAGGGCTCCTCCTGGATGGTGGCCAAAACACCGCCAGCTACACCCTCAACCGGCTGTGTCGCTACTGCATTGCCGTCGCTGACAGGGCTACTAGATGTAGCTCCGAAGGTTGAAGAAGATCCGGTAACCCTTCTCTGTCGCTTGGCCTTCGCAAATGCGGCCAGGTCGTCGTCCAGAAACTCTGAAAGAAGGCGTTTCTGAGGCTTAATGAGCGTTTCGATGGTCTCGCCTGCCGCATTTCTGACCGTAGTGATGTTGTTGATGGTCTCGTACGAGCCACCAAACTTTCGAGCTTGATCGATTGGCTTTCGGTACTCCTTCATTTTGTTTGTGTGATTGTTTGAGACCTTGGTCTGATGAGCGAGTAGTAGATAGGTACATTAGCGGTAGGTCCATCGTAAATGAGAGAGGGAGGCCGCGTTCAATGTTGCTCACCTCCAATTCGGCAACCGGATTGCACGTGTACCTCCACAAATACGGGAGGGTGAACAAGTCGGAACAAGCAGCCTTTGATTTCTGAGCATCCATGTCAGCATTCGATGTCGCCGGTGATGGCACAAGGTAGGACGAAGGCGCATACCCGAAAGGTGCTCAAGGTCAACCTCCACCTGGTCATAAAGTTGGGTAGTTCAGGGCAGAACGCGTCAGGGTGGATGATTCCTCGTTGGACTTTATAATCATAATCCTGCAAAATTGTACTGTTCGTAAAGCCTATGACTGGTATGGCACATAGTGGCAGGGCTACTAACCATAACTTCCCAACCCTTTCTCACTATCTTCTCTCTCGGAAGACCAAGGACGAACTTCACTTCAGAGTTCTCGGTCGGATCGTGACGATAGTTGTCGACGATGCCGTCCGTGTTCAAGAGGGCCGCAACAAATTGATCAATCAAAGCACTTGCTCGGCCGGATCGAGCGGGAAGTCGGCGGCGGTGGTGTTCCCCTTGGCGGCTGCGGCTGCCTCTGCAGCTGCCTCCTCCGCAGCTTGAATCTGTCGGAAGTGCTCCAAGCTGGTAATCGCCTGCTGAGCAGGTGTGGCAGGGTTCGAGGGGTCCATGTTCTCCAAGAGTCACTAGTATATAGTGAGCACGAGACGTCTATTATGTATCCGGAACTAGTACTATCATTGTTCTAGGATAGGGCTGGCATTGCTGGGGATTGATGGATGTACGACATATCATGGTGAGTAGTGCTTGGGGACGTGGACGCAGAACGCGAGGAGGCCAAAATCCGGCGGGGTAGAAGGCCATGATTCCGACGAGGGCTGGATAACGCGACTTACGAGGAATCGTAGTAAAGGAATTGAAGAAAGGTGCGAATGCTTTGTAGCAAAAGAGCGAGAATGTGCAATGAGAATTGCAGGCGTGAAGATTGCTGTCCGACACTTGACGACTGCAAAGGCAGTTTGGTGGACGAAGAGAAGTAATTCAAGTGGGGGGAACACCAAGGTGAGGGAGGGCTTTATGGGAAATTCCAGGTTTGAAGGTGAAGGTGCCAGCCTGGAAAGCGTGGTGCCTGCCGCATGGGCCATTTGGACCTGGAAGAGATTGACGGCAGTTGCCCATCGGCAGCGAGGACATCAAACACATCAGATGAAAGGTACGCGATGAGATATGGAAGAGGGAGGTCCTGAATTGCGAGGGGATGAATACAAGGACAGATTGAGTTGTTCCCTTGAAAGACTGATATCGCCAGAGGATAATCCCAAGAACGAGGGACATGACAGTGGTTAGGAGAGAACCCGGACAACTTGCACCAGACATAACCGAGCCTCTGCCTTATGGTCGGCGGATCGGTAACATTGGAAGGATTGTCCATCGTGCTATGAGGAAAGTGAGTACAAAGCAGTCACGGATGACTACCCCCGGGGATGTAATACTGCAGCTACAACTCCATAAAACGTAAGCAAACATTGATGGCAGTTGTCAGTCAAGGGAATATAAGCAGGGGAGAGTCAGACGAGCTCGCGGGATGAATAAGACGGGATCGACATATGAAAATTTAGATTCCACGGCACAGAAAATGACGAAGTCAAAAATGCTAAGGAAACACCCGGAGACAACGGAATCTGGGCATCTTGCACCAGACTAGAAACTCCTTAATCCGCTCTAAAGGAACTGAAGCCCAACTCGAGCTCCATCTACTACCACAGAAGCCATTGACAGTTGGGAATATGCCACTATAGCCGCGCTCAGAGGCCTGCTCAACACGAACACTGCGTCCGTAAATCACCTCCCAGATGCAGCTTGTATCTTGCCTAGCCACCCACTCCATTTTAGACCTCGACTTGAAGTCAGAAGTCAAGGCACCGAGAGCGCTCGCCTCCTCAGTGACCCATCTTCTCCATCTTAGAGCTCGTACCAGTCGAGGTCAACTTCGTACGGATTGTTCCCATCTTTGGTAACTCTACCATCCAGCGCCGCTTGGCTGCTGACATCTTCCCCATTGTAACTATCGATGGGCTCATGGTACGCTTCTGCAAAAAAAGGAGAAAGATCCGCATCCGTTTCGTTGTTCGGCGGAGCCCTAGGCTCATTGGTCGAAGGTTGCTCAGACTGGTCGCCAAGCGACTGATGCTGGTCCGGGGCAGAATCCTCATTGTCGTTGTGGGATTGTTCGCCGAGTGAAGAATGCTGGTCGAGCGTGGCACACTGGTTGTCAGAATGGGAATTAACGGCGTCGAGGCTTGAGGTGTTGAGTCCATTTGGACCTTCAAGCGCTTTGTCTCCGTCGTCCTTGTCGGCCTCGCCCATAGCACCCTCCTCTTTTTCTTGAGTTAAAGCCATAACACCCTCTCCATCTTCTTGGAAGGCAGCCATAAGATCCTCCCCTTCCTCTTAAATGGGGGTCATAGAGCTGCCAGCTGTGCCCCCGACGTGCTGTTCCGAGTTACCACTGTTGCTAGAGGTCGGTCCAGATGTTGCAGAATCTCCAGTGGTGGTCCTGGCTCTGACTCGCTTCGGCTTCGCGATCCCAGCCAAGCGGTGACCTAGAAAGTCGCTCAGGGGGCGTTTCTCAGGACGGACGAGTAAATCGAAGTGATTCGGTCAACAGTGGTCACGGAGCCCCGGAACTTGCTCGCAGCCTTGACATCCTTGTTGAAGTCCCGCATTTTGTTCGTATAGTTATTGGAAAGTTTGGTCTTCGTAGAACAGATGTCAGTTATGTAGCCGACTGGATGAGAAGAATGGAGTTGTTTAGACCTACATCAAGCTCCGTCACCGGGTTGTGTACATATCGATCCATGTAGTGTATGGCAAAAAGGTCTGCTACGGCAGCCTTGGAGTGCTGCCAGTAGTGTAAAGTTAGCCACGCTTTCGTGACTCGGTCTTGACAATCTAGGTAAGGATACGTACGCGCATCAGTGCCACCAAGGCCTCCCAGCGATCCATGAAGTTCGGGAAGTAGGCTGTGAGGAGTCTGGAGACGCGTTTGCCTCTCTGAGCGTCATATGCCTCGAACTACATTGCGACAATACGTGTCAGAAGACAGGCAACGGTGTTTCAATGTCAAGACTTACCATGACCTCCCACGCCTTCTCTTCTACTTCATCATCGGATTTGGCCCGGATGCAATTGATATGGGCATTGTTATCCGGATTGTCCAGGATGTCGGTCGTATCTTTCAAGAAGAAGTAGAAGTACCTCCAGATGGATGTTGACCTGTGGGTGGTTTTTGGGAACAAGGACAAACGAGAAGAGGGGAAAGAATGGAAAATAACGAGGTAGTCTATAAGCACGGGCCATCTCCAGAGGGGAGAAATCCGGCGAGGAAGTCGCTTCGGCTGCGACGGAGGGAAACACCAAGGTCAGAGGGAGCTCCCACTAACAATTTTGAGGCGTTCATGCCCCTAAGTCGAGCTCGTCAATCCCTCAAAACGGCCCGTCACATCTGGCCTCACATGCCGCGCAACGTCTGACACTCTATTAGTTGTCGTCCAGCCTCAGCAGCGCGCAATAGTGTTGCGGAGACAAATCCAGTTCAGGATTCCACCGGAACGGATCGACCATCAAGCAAAGAGATGGTCTCCTGAGACACGTCCATCCGTCAAGTCGTTGTTGTCGTCTGTCGCGAGTCGATCCCTCCCCATCTGAGTCGCATCAGCCGAGTTTCCTCCATTGCCCCCTGGTCAAAGCTGTTCTCTTCGCTGATGCCTTGTCTGAGTAGAATGACGACCAATCCATGTCGCGAGCCACCGACTCATCGCCACGCTCGACCGACCTATCCCTTTTAACCGGCCATGACGAACAAACGATGTACGAACGAGGCTTTCAAAAGGCTGACCCCAAGAACATGTGCCTGTTGCTCAAGTCAAAGTCCCGAAACTATACCGTCGCCTGCGTGCCCGTCTGGTTGACGAGCCACTGCCCGCTGCCCCGCCCATCGCCATCCTGCGTAGGGATGAAGCATAGAGTTGGCTCGAATATCTAGAAGAGGAGGTCAACAATCAGAAGAGAAACTGAAGGGACAAAGCAGGATATGTAGATAAAGATACACCAATGGCGAAACTGTTTTGACCTAGGTCTACACTAAGATGTTTGGGGCTGGCCTTGGGCCTGATGACCGGTGTCCACGTCGGCAGTCGGTGAACTACAAATGATCCAACAGTTCCCATTTTTGAGTGGCTTGATGAACTCAATACGGCAACCAGCGGCGGCGCTCTTGACTCTGATGACGGCGACCAAGTTGGCGGGGAAGGCGAGGGGCGGCATGGTGATGTTGATCGACGTTCTCGAAGAAGGCCGTGGAGGCTTTTCCTCGAAAGATGCCATGTCGATGTTCGAGCTCCTCTCTCATCAAAGCTCCTAGCGACGACTTCCGCTCCCGCGATGGGAAATTTTCCGGGAAGACAGAGGTCGGAGTGTCGGGATGGAGCGGTGTCAGGACGGGAAAGGGAGAGGACTACAGGATCATGTAGGTGCTTCTGCATGCGGGCATCGCCCAACGCAGATCTGCATATGGACGATATGCACCCAGCGGCTGATATGCATTGCATGCATGGAGCTCTCCGGCTGCCCGGCGAAAGACCACGCCACGTCCGCTTGTCTTTGCCCGCACAAGACATCCCAGTCGCCACAGAGGGTTTTTTTGCTTCATCCTTGTATTCTCTTCTACATCGAGTACTCGTCTATCGGAGCCGCCCAAGCTGACAAGGGATAGCCCAAACAAAGAAAGCAGACAATGACGATAGAGCAGAGCGTAACCGCAACACCGCCCTCCGCCACCATTGTATTCCATTTGACCTCGACATCTCAGCGTCCCATCTCGCTTGCGTGCTCGCTGCTGCTGCTCTCTCCATCCTAGGGAGAGACATGCTACAGGCAGAGCCGACGGTGTGGTGGCGAGCAGCTACTCGGCAGCAGCTGGTTGCCATTGATCAGCACGAGGATTAGCAAAAGCATTTGCACTGCCTTGGGCACGGCGCGCGGGTGTGGCAGGTTGAGTAAGGGAGGTTGGGTCCATCCCGCCGAGTGGATTTTGGGGAACTAGACCATTGATGGCCATCATGTGTCGTGATTGATGTTCCTCAGTGATGATAGGAGGTGTCCCGCCCACAGGGGGACAGCCTGGGAAGCAGGCCATCCAGCCCGAGTGTTATGGAGTTCCAGTAGGTAGGCGCTCCAGCTTTGGGATGGGGAAGCTGGGGAAGACCAATGGAGTCCGCGGGACCCTGGCCAGCGGCAGAAACAACCGCAGAAGAATTTGCTACGCTGTTAGCATCCGGCATCAGGGCCTTCAAATCACGGAGCTGCGATGCTTTATTCAAATTCGTGTCCTTGTTGTTAACTTTGCGCTGCAAAGCTGTTAGTAACTCAAGGAGTACTAATTGTTGGGGCTGAGGGGGTGATATGACGTACCTTAAGCTCATAGTTAGGATCGTTTGCGAAGCACTGGATGTAGACGCTAGCGATACCCTGTAGGCTGTATCTCGTCTCTTACAATAGAGGTAGGTATATATCTGACCCAGGACGCAAACTCATCGGCAGACAGGTAGGAGGAAGGAAAAAAACACAGTTTATCTGTGTTCGGACTGCGGCTGTTACGGACAGCTGGTGGTGTGGGCTTGTGATGGCTGGAAAGCCTCGTCTCAATGCTGGCGTACGACGAAGAAGGGCGGCTAAGGGGGAGTTTGGGGCTATTCTTCTTCGTTATCGACGTTGTTAATATCGCCTATAGCAAAGGACCTCGATTTCTTCTTATTGCCCAGGAGCAAAAGTGTACCTCTACCTCTTTTGGCATCCCTACCAGCATCCCTACGTCTGGATGAACGTGGGGTTGAGACAAAAGGCAATCCACGAATATCCAGCATCACCAGCGAGTGAAAAGGCGACAGCCCTTTGGAGATCGTAGCCGTCGAGAAGAGAAACATTCCAGCTCAACTTGAGCTGACGGTCGCTGAAGGCTGTACCATTTACTTGTTGCGGAACGATATCTAGGTCCTCGCACCGCCTCATAGTACTCTAGAGGTATACTGCTCATCGATTACCGGCACTGCTTAGGTAGTTCTAGTAATAAGATGATGTAGGGCCGTTGAACGATTTCGTGGAAGGACTCGTGTCGACATCTGCCATCCTACCTTGAGGCTCTGCACGCGAGTTTGTGTAGATATCCACCAGACTTTCGCCCTCATTGGCGCTGGCCTCTCCATCCTAGGGAGCGGCGTTTACGGCAGAAGCGATAGGTGAGGTGATGCTGGGCTTAATGTAGGCAGTAGACTGCCTTGCAGTCGAAGTACCCCCGGATGTAAAATAGCCGCTTAGACTACGATGTCCTGGAACGGGTAAAGCGTAGGGCCAGTCCGTCCAGTTGAAGGTCTTTGGTAGAACGCGTCGTCATCAAAGAATACGTCAAAGGACGCGTGCGCTATGTTTGGAACTATAACATGTAGGTCGTCCAAGTTTGGGGTCATCGATATCGACGTTGCCCATACTCATATGCTCAAGCTATTCAGATTCGCTATGCTGATTCGGAACTTCCGTCCTAGCAGCATTGCTGAACGAATTCGCCCCTGGATCGCCGAAGGTGGTGGCTGTCGCCCGAATACTCGGACCATCTGTTGACACCGGATTGGAGCCCCTTGGTATGTGCCTGGCGACTACTAGGCAATGTCGCACATTTGGATTTTTCCAAAGCGCTTCTGTCATCCCTGATGGGAAGACCTTCTTTCTTGCACGGTATGTCGGTGAAAGAAGTTGTGAGTGTAGTATCTGTTCGTGTGTGGGAAGAAAGGTGATCTTAGAGAGGTACGGCTACCTACCTGTAACATTGGAGCTTAGGATATATAAAGAATATTTTATATAATGTGGCTTGGGCAGGGTTTGGGTACGGCTTGGACCTTGATGGCCAAGGTACAGTAGGGTGACGAAAGAGTGGTACCTCTAGATGTAGAGGTAGTTAAGAGAGCGACGGGCTTCTTATACCTCCAAGTACCTATAAGTGATGACTCAACTGAGGAGGAATGCAGAGGTGCTGGGTTTGTCAGAAAATGACACACTAGAATACCTAGGTAATCATTGAAAAACCACAAGCCGCAAGTAAGCAAACCGCACGACTCACTCATGTCATATGCAAAGAGGTGAGGAAGCCGATCTCGTTTCACTCTGTGATGTCCAGTCATCATTCTATGTATCCACATGGCCATCTTTGAAGCTGCTTTCTGCTCACTCTCTCCAAAGGATGGCTTGTACAGACCTTCCCGACCACGGACAAACAACCTTCTCGCCGTCATCTATGAACCATCCTCTAAATCATTGCCACATCATGACCCTTCTCAGAGAACCTTTGCGGACCTCTGTCACTCCTAGACCTGACGAGACCTCCGAGCCCGAGGCAACTCGTCCTCATCTTCCTCTTCGGTTCCCCTCTTCCTCTTCTCGCCAGCGCCCACAGTACGGTCCGCTGTCTGACTGGCGAGGAAACTGTCGGCGAACAGGTCCTCTTCATCGTCGAGATATACGAAGTTGGCAGCTGAGCCTTGCACATAGTCGCCATTTTGACTCTTGTTAATTGCTGAACCGCAATAGCTGGGCGAGACTGTTGTATCATCAAAAGATTTACCATTACCTGCATATCCCTGGTTCGAACCAAAGGGCTCCGGCTCCCCAAAGGCCTGTGGGCCACAGGCGGGCTCATTCGTGTCAACGTTGCCCAGGTCATCAACTCCCCGCTCGATTGTAACGATTCGGGAACTAGTGTTTGCTGCTGGTTCCTCCTTTCTTGCTGGAGGCCGAATTCCGTGATTTATGTCACCAAACGAATTGTTAGCTGGCGCGGAGCTAATTGGGGAACATCTGTCGTCAACCGCATTGGCGTAGAAAGTGTCACCGCCGTTGTTCTAGCCTCCCATCGCTTGGTATAGCTGACATTGCAGCCCGACTCAAAGGGGTTCAAGTAAAGCGCTGGGTGTGTGCTCGGGTGTTGTGGTTGGGGAAGAAGTCTACAAGGATGAGTGGTACCTGGAAAAGGGGAAGCTGGTGAGTAGGTATACATATAGGTAATACAAGAGAAAGAAATCTATACGCTATATATACCTTAACATTTATACCTCATAGATGCCAGAAGTGGGAGAATGAGGTAATGTATTTGAGACTAGAGGTACCTATACTGCGGTCGTAGCGAAAGTGAATAGGCCCTTCTTATATGTCCACACTGCGGTACTTGATGACTCAAGTCAGTGGCAACTGGATGACGGCGGCCTCTGTCACTGGATTACTGCCTGAAGGTGGTAGTCACATGATAAAATGATTCGAAATACCCCTAAATATCGTTAGGGGTGGGAAGGTCACAGCCAGGAAAGCGAGAAACAGTACGAGTTACCTCAAATGACATGGCACAAACATATCAGCGGTATGAATCGCAAAATATAAGGATCCTTTATCGATTGTGAGTAGACGTCGGCATTGTAACCGTATACGAGGGTGTCGGCGTGCTGGTTGTTCAGGCCCAGTGATGCTGGGATTTGGGAGCAAGGTCGTTGGCGAAATTTCGTCATTGGCGGTCATCCATGGACCATGGGCAAGGTACCTCTAGTTCATGATAATGCTAACGTGACCCCCTTTGACATCATCTGATTCCTCAAGCCAATCAATACCGTCGGGGCCTCTGAGCATGAGGCTCTTCCTCCTCCTCCTCCTCGCCGTCTCCTCGCCTCCTCTTCCTTCTTGAACGCTCTGAGCTGCTAACATGCCAGCCAAGCGATTCGTCGTTAGAGGTATTGAGCGGTGCAAGCGCATTCAAGTTCCAATCTCCAACTACTCCTTCGGTGGAATATCCAGCTCCCACAACCTCCTCGCTGTCACCTTGGTTGTCGTAGTCAGGAATGGGCAGTTCAACGCTGCCGTGACTGTTGTCGGCAAAATGGCCGTCCATCATCGCTCCTTCCCAGATATCAACTCGCTGTTGTTCGTGAGCAACCAGGTTGTTATTATTCATGTTGTTGGCGAGAGTTCCGGCGGTCGTATCGGCGAAGAAATTGCTGACAGGATGGCCGGCGACGATGGCCGAGTTTGTCCCGTCTCCAACGTCGGAGTTTTGCTGATCAACGTCTCCCACCCATTTCCTACCCATATTAATTGAGTTAGTTCCAAATGCGCTATAACCGCCCGCCGGTATTCCGCTAGTTCTAGAAGTTGTTGCAACCCCGGCGTCTTTATATTTGTGGTTGGCCTGCTCCAAGTTCACTTCGGTTTGAGCCTGGGTATTGGCAACATTGGCATTAAACATGCCATTGGCGTCTCCATACCCTTCTGCCGCTTCATAAGATTCCGGATTCATGCCCTGGTAGCAACCCAACCCATTGAACTCATTGGCAGCATTGCCCATAGGAGCCGTAACGTCCCTTTCAAGGAGGGACCCCTCCGGAAGAAAACCGTTCCAATCGAAGGCATACTGATTGTCCAAGGCTTCGTCTCCGGTGTACTCACCAGAATCGACGTGTCCTTGCCCCGTATTTCCATTCTGTTGGACTACTTAAGGAGCCTGATACCACTCTCTATCGGCAAAGGCTTGCTCATCTAGCTGCGGGTGCGAGGCAAAACTCATCTCAGCATTTCCCACTCCATGATAAGGCTGTGCACTTGCTCCCCTCATAGAAGCCATTGACCCCTGTCTATCTTTTGCGCTGGCCTCTCCATCCTAGGGAGCGGCGTTTACGGCATAAGCGACAGGTAAGGTGATGCTGTGCTCAACGAGAGCAGTAGACTGCCTAGCAGTCGTGGTTCCAGGGAATATTGGCGGGGTTACCCTGGGCTGTATCGGGGCAGCAGACTGCCTTGCAGTCGAGGTACCCCCGGATGTAGAATAACCGCTGTGACTACGATTTCCTGGCACGGGCAACGCGTAGGGGCCAGTGCGAGGGCCAGCATATTGACTGAATGGAGCGTCATTTTGCTCCTCGCCATGTTGGAAAGACGAATTGACATAGCCACTTGGCTCAGAAACCGGTGCAGGCGGCACACGACATGGCTGTAGACCTCTTGCAAGTGGATTGGAAAGGGTATCCTCAAGGGCCTCATGCTCAATTGAGCTAGGGCGAGCAACGCGTTGCCTTGAACGCGAAGCGGGTGTGCGAGGCCGCGCAAGTAAATCTGCCGGACTCGAGGCACCAAAAGTAACAGGCCCGTCGAAGCTCATTTGAGCATGGCCGTAAGCCCGGCCGGACGAAGTTGCTGACTGCCCCTGAGCACCCGCCTCAACCGGAGCTTGATTGAGCTGAGGGACCACCTGAGCATCGATGGCGGCAACGCGAGCTCTTAGTCTGGCGACCATGTTGTCTTTTTTCGTATTGCCCTCCTTATTGCCAGTTTTACGCTACAAAGGTGTTAGTAAAACTCCGGCATGGGAGTGAGGATAGGTAGGTAATTTAGAGGTATAAAGGATGCGATTTACCCTTATTTCGCCGGCTGGATTATTGGCAAACCGCTCCATGTAGGAGCACCAAAACATGTTCGCGGCGGCCGCCTTGGAGGTCTAGTAAATACCGACCCATTAGTATTTCTGGCTGAACTGAATGACGAATAGCTCACGAGGAAAGAGAATATCAAGATCGGTACTGACCATAACCAATGCTAAAAACTCATTGAATCGTGCCTCGAATGTCGGATAATCCTCATGGAAGAACGCAGTAGCCCATGGATACACATTGGGCTCACCCATCTGTGCTGAGATCAAATAGTCCTGTAAGACGACATTAGCTCATAAGGAAGACTTTCATAGCAAAAGGCAGAAAAGGACGCACCACCATATCCCATCCAAGGCTTTCCAGAACCTTGGGCGAAGTAAAATTGATCAGTCGGGTTTCTTTGTTATCTCCGCCCAACTTGTGCGCCATATCAGTCAGTACGTTAACAATAGTGTGAACACAGTTCTTCTTCGCCGCGAAAGTCCTCGGTAAATCCCTGGTCGTGGCGGGATCCACGGCCGAGTTGTTGTTGATCGATCTCAATGCGCCTGCTGTGGCCCAGTGTTCCGCGTCGGAATGGATCGTCGCCACAAATGTTTGGTCTGGTCGGTTTGACCGCTTTCTTCTGCGGTCGGTGCTGAGCTCATGCTCAGCAAGTCCAGTTACCGGTGACCTTAGCTGGTCCAAAAGCCCGGGTTTCGTGTGGCCAAGTGCCTCGATGGCAGCTCGAATGGTCCCCCATTCGTTGTGACTTCTGAGTTGGCTGTAGGCCATTCTCACGAAATCGGGGTATTGGAATGGATATCTCCATTGGAAGAAACCAAACGGTCGTATGGCCCCTGTATCGGTATTGATCATGTGGTTCTGGATATCGACTGCGTGGTAAAGGTCAGTCTCCAGATTCAACTGTTGCGCATCGCTGAACTGGTTGTTGAGGCGCGACAAAGGTAAAAGTAAGAATGGCTTACGTATCGTATCCCACCACCCGCGGAGACGGGGATCATTCTCTCGCGCAGCCGTCTTGAAGAGTTCAAGAAGAGTTAAACCTCCCGGTTGCTCCATTGCCGCGATGGGAAATCGGTTTCAATCACCCAGGTTTCAGTTGATAACAGGTTTGCAGGGGGCGGCACTGCTTTGAAACTGTCAAAGAATGGACATTTGTTAGATAACACTGGAATATCAAGCCAAGTATAAAAGGACGTTGAAGCATATAAGTCCATTTAGGTCAGATGCTGAGGTTGGACCAGGGGAAATAAGCTATGAGACGATGGAAGAAGATGAAAGCAGTCCAAAACTTCAAATGCCAAGTGTATTTCGCGTAAAAGAGATACCTCGTGACATCTTCAAATGATTGTGAACGTGTCGTGGTGCCCATGCCATTTGAACCCAAAGAGGACGGGAAAAGCGTTTGAAGTATAACAGAGAAGGGGGAACACAACATGCAAACGACGGCGGGCAGAAACTTACCTACTGCGCGTTTTGAAAGAATAGATCGCAAGTAGACAGCGAACGATGGTTGGTAATGGAGACAGTCTGACGGCCTCTGGTCGCTCAAGTCTTGAATGAGAGGTCGTTGTAGTACTGTTATGGTCGTTGCTTACGATGTCGAGTACCTCTAGGCTAGATTCTGATATCAAGCTGACTCAGTTGCGAAAGAACCACCGAACGGAAGTGCACAGCACAAGGCTCAAACGAACTGTGCGCAGTCAGTAGCTACCTACCTGTTGCGAATGGTGGGCGCTGTGATCAACACGGAAGATGTCGAAAATGATCGAGCCAAGAGAAAGGGTGACGACTGGCTGTGTAAACCGAGTTGTTTGACAAAAAAAAAGGGAAGAAGGAAAACGAGGTCGCGGAAGGGCAGAAATGCGGGGGATTAAATAAGTTAGTTGGTGAGAGGTGGCAGAATATTAAAATCCAGCCTTGGGGCAACTGCGATCCGACGCGCTCCACTTGACGGTCGCCCCTGGAAGAATGGGATGAACAGAGTTGCGATCGCGCTGTTACTGTGGAAACCCCACTGAAACTTCAAAAACCTAGGTACTGAATCACAGCGCTCTATAGAGGAAGAGATTATAGGTAGGCTTATCAGCGCGGACCTGTCAAAACCGATAGAAAACAAACGCTGGCAAGGAAGGACGGTTTGATAATTAGGTCCCGTTTCGATAATCCCAAGATTTTGCATGTTGGAAACGAATATCAAGGTTGATTCAAGAGAAAATCTTCCTACCAGGAATCCACACCCATCGCACCCGCCGCCACCTTCTCAGTCCTGTCGCTCTCTTGTTCCCCCTTGCCACATCCATCCTACCCGCCATTTTGAGAATTGCGACGTTTTCTCCTTCCGATACGCCTTCATATGTGATGAGCTCAAACCAATGAAACCTGGAAAATACTGAGTGAAAGATCTTGGGCTCCTTGTAAGTAGGTATGGAGCATATATAATAGTGAGGTTTCCAGCCCCATCTGGAAGACACCTCTTGCCGCGTGTACAAGTTCATACGTGTCAGGGATCTTGGTCGAGACGAGTAGTTATCTAGGCCCTCTCATGAGAATTGGCACTGGGATAGATTTTATGATAATAATCGCATGATAGAACAAGTCGAAAGAGTTGTTGGTGATGTTACGGTCCCATGGCGAGCACGGACCTCATACCCCTGCGCCCAAGCGGGCTGAAGTTGAGAAGTTAGTAGCTACCGCCTGAAGCCCGCTAAACAGGGGCATGCACTATCACTTACACATCACCGTCACACACAGCCTCGCAGAAACCTTAAATTGACGACCAAGGTTTACGTCGAACTCTCTGAATAGCGCCATGAGATGTTGGGAACGGACACAGGGAGAATGGAGGGTATGAGACATATTTATATCATTTCGCAGAGGATCTGACAGGCACAACATTTCACGTTAGTCACTTCAGTCACAACGAATTTGATTGTTTGTTTATAAGCATCATTGTCATTGCAGACTATAACCAATTGTGCACCCTTTAATGTTGAACCTTATGTCCCCATTACATGACTCAAACAATGACAGATTCTTCTTTCTGTCTGACAGGTACCCTTCAAAACCCAAGTGATAGTCATTCTATGACCCCCTTTATCCCCGTTGTCACAGTTAGCGCTCCCAATTCCCCGTCATCCCAGTCATCATTTGTCATCCATCATGACCTCTCACCATCCCTGATCCAACCATTCACTCAAAGCGAGCCCGCTGCGCCGGACGCTCCTCCCCCTCATTCCCGTGATTGTCATTTCTTGTGCGTTTGGATCCGATGTTGCCGGCGCCGTCCTGGCTGTCAAAGCCCTCAGTCGCATGGTTATCGATGTAGTCATCACCAAAGAGGTCATCATCATCGATGTTGCCGACGTCGTCTGGAAGGTTGATGAACTGATCGAAAAGATCATGTCCTTCTCCAACACCATTACCCTCCAGCCCGTTGTCGACTGCCACGTTGTTATATGTGGGCTCGTTGTTCTGGACCTGACCTTCGAGGTTGCTGTGTTCATTGGGCTGAATCAAGTCAACCAGGTCGATGCGAAATCCTTGGGTTGCAGCATAGTCTACGAGCTCTTGGTCGCTCATGATGTTATCAGGCGACAAGTCCAAGTCCGCCAAAAAGTCAATGTCCACCTGTTGCTCTGCAGGCGGCGCAACCTGTTGCTGCGGAGCTTGGCCATTTAGGATTTGCTCAAAGATTGTCATCAGTTCTTCTTCGCCTGGCTGATGAACCGCAGGAACCGGAGCTTGCTGGACCGGCATTGCTAGGGGCTGTCCCGGGTTGTTGAGGTCTTGAAGTTCCCTCGTCCACTGCTCGATATCTTCTGGCGTTGCCTCCTGGATTGCGGGCTCGTGGAATTGCTGGATTGGTCTCGCGTTGGCCTGTCCGTTCTACGAAGCAGGACCAGCGGAGGAATCAAACCTTCCATGAGCAGGTTGTAACTGGGGTAGCTGAGGGGTAGCCTGGGATGGAACAACTTGATGAAGAGGACTGCCCGGGAGGACGGGAGGTGAAAAACCCATAACTGTAGCGGGGCTGGCTGGGCGAGCTGCACTGGCAGCGTGTTGATTCTCCCTGAGGAGCCTAGCTCTCTCAGAAGCGGGCGTGACGATGCGCCTTGGCACAACATCGGGGAGAGGTCGAGCCGGAGACTGAACCTGAGCCATTGGCACGGAGGACTGCAACTGTATCGGTTGTTGGTTTGGGATAGGCGCCTGGAGTTGGCCGTGGTATCTTTGGGGAAAGTTGATGGCTTGACTGGCCTGGGGAGGTGGCTGGATAGGGCCCCAATGAGCTACCTCATTTGAAACAGACGGAAGGGCGACCTCATGAGTAGGATGTTGGAATTGCTGTTGAGGGCTGCTATGTGGCGCAGCTGGAACAGCGAACGAACGACGCGTAACTTGTTGGTTGCTCGTGCGGGCAGCGAGTGGCTGGACGGAACCGCTAGAAGCATGAGAGTGGGCGGCTGGGCCCGCCTGAGTTGGAAGTAGACGAGCAGCCAGAATAGACATCGGCGGGCCGGCCATGGTGGGACCACGACCGTTCATGTCGAGGGGGGCCGCAGGAGCCCGGGAAGCCGAAATGTTTTGTCTTCTCCTCTCTCGCCCTTCGTCATCCGATACGCCGTAAATGTCCTCAAAGATTTCGTTGCAGTCTGCTTCATTGTGTGGGCCGTTAGGAGCGTCGCCGGTATCATCCTCGCGAACAAAGTTGTTGTCGTCATTCAGGTCGTCATCGTCGTCCTCAAAGTCACTGTAGCTTTCTGTTGCCGCCACGTTTTTCTGCTCGTTATAGGCTTTAACCTCAGCGTTATAAGCCTCCAACTGGGCCTCGTGCATCCTGAATAGGCCCTCAAAGTTGTTCTCGGTGTAGTCAATCCACCCGTCATCGGCCATATCGATGCCTTGCGGGCGGGCGAAGATGGGCGCCTGAGGTTCTTGGGGACCTTGAGCTTCGGCAGCGGCGGCACCGGCAGCAGCCACAAAGTCCTGAGCGGCCTCTTCCGCATTCTCGGCGTTGGCCAGAGGCTGGACCTGGTTCCCGCCAGCAGTGGTGGTGTTAGCGGGCAGCGGGTTGCCAGCGAGGGTCGCAATGGCTTCGTCGCCAGCTCTCTTCTTGTCTGCCTTGCCGTTATTTGTCTTGGCGTTCTGCTGCTTCGTCGACCGTTCCTTGTAGGGGTCGGCCGCGAACCTGGCAAAGTAGTTGCTCAGGAACAAGTTGGAGACCGCCGCCTTGTTGGTATTCACGAAATGGATGAGGTCATCCCAGCGTGACTGGAAGTTGTCGTACCTCCTGAAGTAGTAACTGGTTGCCCACGGCGAAACCTTGGGCTTCCCAATCTGGGCTAAGCGGCAGGCGATCTGTGAAATGGGTGGTTAGCTGAAGTTTCTGGTATAGTCCATCACGTAGAGTGAACTTACAAACAGGCGCCATGCCAGAGACTCAAAGACGGACGCGGATGTGGCCATGACCTGGTTGACCTGGGCCTCCATACCCTTGTCCCTACCAATCATGTTCTTCAATGCCATGACCATTTCGTCGACATATCGGATTTTGTCGGCCTCGCTTGTTGGAATGTCGGCGACCTCGGACTTCAACACCGGCCCGGCAGGATAGCCCAGGACCTCCATCACGCCTTCGCCGACCATGAAGTCGGCCTCCGTCATGTAGATTCGTTTGTATGCTTGGCCAGCCGGGTGGTGCTCGCGGGTCTTCTTCCGCGAGTGGCCAAGTTCATGTGATGCGAGGGTCTTCCTCAGCTTCTGTACCAAGCCGGGTTTGGTGTGTCCGATCTTGGCGAGTCCTTCAGCCGTCAACCCGGCCCGGTGAAGGAAGACGAGCCACTGGTATGTGCTCTCGGCAAAATGGCGGTGATGGGGGTCGTACGCACGACGACGAGTAAACTCGGCGAAAGGGCGGACCACATTATTGACTGGGTTTACCAGGTTCACTTGCATGGTCACTATGTGATGTTTCATTAGGATTGTTCTGGTGGGACATGGACAGCATCGAGTAACTTACTTATGATTTGCCAGTAGGCCACAAGGTTAGGGTCCCTGACCCGTGCAGCTGCCTCCAGGAACTCCGGGACGCGCTGGGCATGGTCAAAAGAGACAGGCATTTGGAGAAGTCGGGAAGGTCTAGAATGATTGAAGATGTTAGAGAATTGCATCGGGGCATGCATCAAAACAAGATTTCATGGACAGTTGAACAAGCGAAGTATATATGAATGCGCTCTCACAAGAAGTGAATCATTGGAAAGGTACGAATGACGAGCATGGATAAATGAAGAAAAGAAGTTATATCAGAATGTCGACTTACTTGAAAGCAAAATAAGGTGCAAGTAGTGAACGATCTTGATGGATCGTTTGTTGAAGTGGCGTGGAATATCGAGTGCAAGTTGCAAGTATTGTTGAAGTGCAAGTGGTAAAGCAAGGGTCGAGAAAATGATCGATGTGTTGACGAAGTAAGGGTAGAGGTAGGCGATGGTACACGAAAGTATTCGAGCGGATAGGGTGGGCGGGGTCAACTGCTTAGTTAGCAAAGCTGGGTCGAGGTTCGTCGTCGAAGGAGGCTCGTTGCTTGCAGGAGGAAATTTTGAGGTTGAGATTTGCAGCTGGAGGAGGATTCTTATAGTAGTTGGAGGGTCAGCGACTGTTGCTGCGTTTGTGGAGTTTCGCTCTCCAGGTTGTAAGATCAGTGGCTCTGCTGGAGGATTTGCAGTGCTACTCGTGATCAACCTCGCTGTTCAGGGCTCGATGGTGAACAAGGTTTTGGTGTTGAGGCCAAACGCGCTCTCACCGCGCCTTGCTTCAACTCATCCCAATTCCATACTCGTGCACCAGAAGGGTTGCTAGAGCGACGGATGGATTCGGCTGTTGTTGAAAGGGTAAGGTTTCCCAAGGTCATCCATCACTGGTAGCCCAGTATCTATCCATCTGTAGGCGTTCTTCATCTTCCGTCCAACTTGCTTCTCAATCCAGCCGTATCGTCTCCCTCTGGCAAACCGTTGCATGTCGCATTGTGGCTGCTATGGCAAACTGTTAGCCATCACCCCCGCAACTCCACTAGCTGGGGCCTAGGACTAACAATTACACATCGCTGATATCCTGCTAGTTGGCGACGCTGGATTTCTGCATAATGGACGACGCCACCCCAATGTTTACGAACACCATAGCTAAACACTCGTTCAGAAACACATTTGGTAGTCAATGCGTAGATGACCCATACCACTGAAACATGTTTACAAACAGTAGGACTAACCATAAAGTCCCTCCAGGTGAGTTCATGAACAATATGGCCGGTGAGGATTGAACCATGAACACGTGAATGTGGCAGTATGCAGCGGATGGAACGAGTTCCGTGAGAGAGAACCTGAGAGAAGACAGGTACGACAAACGAGCAAAATAAGTATCAGAATAACAAGAAACGAGAGTAATACCTAGAGGTGCCATCTTTATCTACATGGGCAGACCTTCCTCTTTGTTCGTCCAGATGGAACTCGGCCCAGGTTCCGAGGTCCTACATAGTTACAAGAGAAAACAAAGAATTACTGTGCACTTGCGGGAAAATAACCGAGATAGGTACCTTGTACATAACTCAAGAACAAAGGATTGGCTTTCCTTCAATTTGGCTGAGGATCTTTCCAAGGAGTACTTGCTCCCTCAAGAAGGCCGCAGCATCTGACTAACTTCAAGGCCTACTTGCCCAAAACTGTTTGCCGAAAACAGCATCCGAAATGTGACCTAGCACATCTCTCATCAAGAAATGGCAGCTTGGCAGTGGGTAATGGACTTCCAATGGTAAGAAGGTGGGAGCGGACATGTGCTAACACATCCGTCCACCAGCCACGAGATGCCTTGCGTCTCAACGCCTGCGCAGCCGCTTCGAAGAAGCCTCAGTCTGTCCATCCTGGCCGAGATCCGGACCCCTTTTGTTCCGAGAATCATCGTAGCCAAGGTTGTCGTAACTTTCCCCTTGCATGTTTTCTGAGAAGGCGACATTCTCTTCGTCGACGTCATGGGTGGTAGAAGACTCGGCCATGAGGCTATCATGATCCTCGGTGAACTGGTCAGTGATAGCTTGGTTGAATCTAGAGTTGTTGTTCATACGGTGCTGATAGCCTGCGGGCAACGGCCGAGCTGAAGCATCGCTGGCTTGTAGGCCACCACTTGGCTGCTCGGGAGCGCTTGGCAAGATCTCCATGCGATGGACACCACCAGCTCCGTTGCCGTGGCCACCTTCAACCTATGAACTGTGACCAGCAGCAACTGGAGCGGCCATCAGATGCATAGGCAACGCATGTCCACTCTCGGTCTCAGCAATGAAATCTCGACTCTCAATTCGTCCACCAAGGCCATGAATATCGTCAGAATCCTCGTCGTAGGGACCCTCGTCGGCGTCGACAACATCCGCAGTTTCTTCGTCAGCGGCCTCCTCTTCCTCGTCAAGCTCCTTTACCACTCCATCAAACACTTTGTCGGAAACTCTGATCTCCGAGTCATTGTCGCCGTCATCCTCATAGTCATCATTGTCGTCATCGCTCTCGATCGCAGTCTTTTTAGCGGCCTTTTCGAGGTTACCCTTTTTGTTGATCCTTTTTCTGTCTAGTTCCGAGGCGGGATCGGAGACAAACCTATTGGCATGGGGACATATCAACAAGTTCGCTACTGCGCCCTTGGAAGCCTGGCAGGATATTTTGTTAGCCTCTGTTGCTGTACTCAAAAGGGCCTTGCGATGTATGGGAAGCGAATACCACAAGATTGTTCCATCTCGCCGAAAATGTGTCGTATCGCCCCGCATACCCGACAGATCTGGCAACGCCAACTTCATTTTGTTTACGTACGGCAGCATCTGCTCGTAGGTCCGAGGAATATCGGTAGTACTTGATGGCCAGAATTCCGCCAGGGATGTGATCGCATTACAAGGAGTTTGGTCGGCCCCCTGTACGCGGACCTTTCTTGCGTCTCCCGAAAGCTCGTGGGCCGCCATGCCCTGGGTGACAGTCGTAGTCAATCCAGGCTTGGTATGGCCAATCCTGCCCAGGGCCTCTCTGATCGTTCCCTGCTTGTAATTCAGCACAAGCCATTCGTATGCAATGGCTCCGAAGATTCGGTATTGCGGTTGTATGCCTTGGAACTCGGCAAAGGATCTGATCGTTCGTGTATTGGCATGTACGAGATTCGTGTGCACGGAAACTGTGCAAGGAGAGCTTGTTAGCAAGACTTTTGTTTTTTAGATGCTCCTTCGATAAACTTGATGGGAGTTCAAGCAAGACAACTCACTGATGATCTTCCACCACTCCCCAATGTTCGGATTGTCGAACCCCGCCGCTGCCTCTAGATTCTCGACAAAGTCGCGGATGTCGGCCGCGGTCGGCGCATATTCCGCCATGTTAGCAGTACCTCCACGCAAGGTCGACAGGCGAGGTCGGTCGATAAGTAAAGGGCTGCTTCCGTGCTGTTAGTAGAGATACGAAGGAGGGGTTGTGAGTGGGAAATGGACGAGGCAGAAAAGCGAAGAGGGCGGGAGGCGAGGCAACTTTTTTGGGGGGAAGGAAAAATCGCCCTCGAAGGTGTCTGCAAGTAGAGGTGAACAGAAATGTTTGGAGGTAGCGCATAGCGCGCATTGCCTTGCCCACCCCCCTGAATTACCGCGCTTACAGGGTAGAAAGTCGTCTCTAACAGGGCGTCATCTCATCGATCCCGCTCAAACGGGTAGCCCCCCGCTATGTTGGGTCCCATGCAGAACTGTTAGTACCCGGCGCCTAAAACCACCAAAACAAGGTGGTAGCACTATCATTCACACATCTTCGACATACCTTTCATTACGCCTCCTCCCCAGCTCAATGTCAGTCAGTTTATGCTTCGCCCTACGGAGCAGAACCGGCAGCTGGAATGGGCCTTGGAGTAAAGGACAACTAGGTAGGTACCCGGCGCATCTGGGAGGCGTTTCCGATCTGAACCAGGTGTTTCGACATAAGGAGTAGGGATCTTCTCATCGTCTTGAGGAGCAGTCCGAGTGTCCACCACACTTTGCTCCGCAGAATCGTGACCATCTGTCTCGGTCGCTTCAACCTCGAACACATCCGCATCGTCAATATCTTCTAGCACGCTTTCGTCTTCAGGGTCAAAAACACCGTCATCTCCAGACTCCAGTCCGAGGGTGTCTTGCCCTTCGTCGTCGCTATCGCCCGTAGCATCGTTCTCCGTGTCACTTTCTTCGGGGTCGATACTTTCGGTGTCGCTCCTTCCGATCTCGCTGCCTTCGATGTCGTTGATTTCGGCGCCGTCAACCTCGGGGCCATTGGGCTCATCCGGAGGAGAAGAAGCGGCCACCGCCAGAGCAGGGCCGACGGCAACAACTTCCTCGCCTGTTGCCTCCTCTAGCCTTTGCTTCATCGAAATTTTGTCTGATTTCTTCTTGTTGTTGTCCTTTTCGTTAATGTTCTTCCGCTACAGTGCCGTTGTTAGATTCCGGCACGTCATTTTGAGATAGGCCTGAAAGTCCACGTACCTTTAGTTCACTGTCAGGATCGCCAGCAAAGCGATTCCAATGCGGAGTGATAAGTAGACTAGCAACGGCTGCTTCCGATGGTATTTTCAAGGGCCTTAGTCGAGTTTTTGACATATCTTGATCATTTGCCCCGAGGTGCCGGAAGGGACAGCTCTTTGAGTAACTTCCGTGTGCTCACCGGCGTATTTGGTCCTTTTCATGTGAGGCCAGTCTGTTCAGCAGGCCTTGCAAACTTCATGTGTGTGTTGTAGAGAAACTATGGTTCGTGCAATAAACGATATATATCCATATGGCGAATGAACGTGTGACATCTCGCAACTTTCCAAGTACCTGTCTCGGCAAATTTCGACGTGGAGTCCGTCAATATTGGAAAAGGAAATACTCAAAAAGGGAAACTTCACGAGGGTCATGTGCAAGATATTGAAACATTGATCAAGCCCGAGGGAAAGGATAAAAGCAACGGAAGTCAAACTTAAAGGATTGATTCTATAAATGCTGAATATCATCTTCTTGGAATAAGGGCCTCTTCCGGTCTGCTAGCCATGACTCGGACTGCTGATGTGCCTCCCAGTTCCAGCCGACGGACCAAAGGAATCATCACGCGTTTGCCGTGAAACTGTGAGATCAGTACCTCGCATATAACCCTACACTCGTATCTTCTCGCCAGTCGTTACGTCAACAAGCTTGTCACCGTCGACGTCGACCCTCCCTTGCGTGTCCAAGCATGCAAATATCTGGCAAACTTCCAGAGAGTCCCAAGCTGCTGGCTCCCTATCACCCAATGGCACTCTTCTCGAACCCTCGCATTTGCTACCAACGAAATGGCAAGCTGTCGGAAAGTGGCCCAAGGGTAGCTCACGAATAAAGGCAACTTGCCTGCATTCGGCCTGGTATCGACCGCAACTTGCTATATGCGCTTGCACATGCCGCCTATAAGTTCAGAGATGCCTTGTATCTCAACTTTTCATTGGGAAACCGAGAGTCCCAGGGAGTTGTGATTTCTTCCCTAGCTGCAAGCTGCCTTTCGGTTACAAGCCAGAAGTGATTTCTGGCCGTCCGAAAGCTATATTGCGAGTTAGTGCAACCGCTTGGATGGCGAGCACTCGCTCGTGCTACCTTCTTCGTTGGTCTCATCCCTCTTGCGCTTGGAACCACTGGTTCCAGCGAGAGGATAGCCGATGACTCTATCTCCGGATAACTCGTCGTTGGGATGTTAATCCTCGTCTTGAAAGTCAACAAAGCCGGCCGCGGTGAAATTGGGGTCGCCTTCACCTGACATGCCCTTGGGTTGATGAGGGCCCATAATGAAAGCGTCCATGTCAAATATCTCGGATTGATCTCCTAAATCGAGGGCCTGAAGGATACCATCCTCGATACGGTTGTCTAGATCCTCTGAAAACATACCCATACCGTACTCGACGTCACTGTCGTTGGTCGTACCCTTATCGTTTGCGGATTCGCCAAGAACTGAGTTGAGACTAGCGGAGTTTGAGGTAGACGCATTGCTGTCTGACAGGGCAGGGTTGATGGGCATATTGTTGCTCGAGGTCTCTTGGGCATTGTCCACCAAATACTTCGCGAATTCACCGTCTTCAACCGGGTACGACGCCATTGGGCTGACAAATGCTTGAGTCGCCAAGTCCTGATTCCAGCTGAATGGGTCGGCGAGATGGCTCAGACTGAGGGCCTCTTGTCCCCAATCATTGTCACCCATACGATCGTCTCCGGAAATGCCCCCGCTGAGACTGGCGTTGTCAACATTGATATTGACGCCAGGCACCTGCTGCTGGCTGTTCCAAATAACCCCCATTTGGTTAGGCGCAAAGATGCTTTTTTCATGATCCCGCTTCTCCGCTTCCGAACACGCCGCATTCTTCATTTCGCCTTCCATTTCGGTGTGCCACTCTTGTTGCGATGTTAAGTAAGAGACTTCGGGGTTGTCGGTTCTCTGGGGTTGCGGAGGAATGATGACTTGCTGGGGGCTGGGCTCTGGTTGAGGAACATACGCTTCAGCTGCATCATTCTCTTGCAGTGCCCTCTGTCTCACAGGTCGACTTCTCCATGCCCCGGCCAAACGCCTTTGTCTCCGTTCCCTTTGACGAAGAATTGAGCTTTGCCGAGGCGTGGTCTCTGCCTGGCGCGAGGTATTATGGGGCTTGGCTTTGTTCCCTTCCACGTCAAGCGACTCATGCTCGAGGCTTTTGACACCTTCGGTTTCGATCACCTTGCTGCGGTCTGCTACCACCTAAGTAGCATTTCTTGCGGCAGGGATTCCGGCATGAGTGAAGAATGTCGACATTGCGGGCGTATGGCGCCGACGTTGACCAGGTCTGCCTAGTCTCGCGGAGTCCGAGGTAGAGGCGTTTTTATGGCTTTCGGGAAGATTTGAATCGACGCTCGATGAGCTGTCGGCGTGTCCACTTTCGTTCTCATCACGGCCTGCGGTAGCAGCTTGGGTACCTCCGGCTCCCAATCCTCGCAGCATTTCGATCTTTTTGCCGTTACCTTTCTGATTAATTTTTTTGGTCTTCGACACGGTCAGTCAGTACATCGGTACAGCGAAATGCAGCGGGCCAGAAAAGACCACGTACCTTGAGTTCCTTGTCAGGATCACCGGCAAACCTGTTCCAATACGGAGAAATGAGCAGGTTGGCTACTGCGGCTTTTGATTTCTGATTCTCGTCTTGTTAGCAACGCCTGTACACCACAAGGACTGTATCATATTTTCTGGCTTACGCGTAGAAACAGGACCATATCGTTCCATCGGGCTCGGAAGGTGGGATAGTCCCGTCTGTAAAAACTGGTTGACCATGGAAGAACGGCGGGTTCACCCTCCTGCATCAAGATTCCCGTGTTCTGAACGTTCGTGTGGTTAGCTGGGTCCCATAAATGCCAGTTAACGAACAATGGAATCATGGTAGAGCTTACCAGCAACCTCCATGCTATGTGCTCAAACACCGTCTTTGACGTCCGCTTGACCGTCTGGACCTGATAGCTATCCTTGTTATCCACATAGTCGGTGACGTCCTCCAATGCCTCTGCGATTTGGAGGACAAATGGGAGCTGTTCCTCGCGAGTCTGCGGAATATCATTGGTTGATCCTGCTTCGGGTGCCTGGTGGTGAAGCGACTTAAGGACGCCCTCGGTGGCATAGAATTCAGCCATAGATTTGGAATGGCCGGGAAGGACTTGGCTGTTTGGGGGGTCCTCCCTTTTAGTCCTCCTATTGTCGCTCTTCTCGTGTCCTGCTAGACCAACCATCAGGGCCTGCTTCAAGCTGGGCCTAGTGTCTCCGATCGTCCCTAGGGCAGTTTCCGTGGTGCGACATCTGACGTGGAAAACCAGCCAGTCGTAGGCATTTTTGCCGAACTGTTGGAACTCGTGCGGGATCTTGAATTCTTGGAAGGGCCGGATCGTCTTGGTCTTTGGGCGAAGGATATCATCCTGAATACCGACTGAATCATTGTTAAATCATCCCGTGGCAATCATCGGAAAATATGCAAAGTGGACGGAAAGGCAACTTACTGATGATGTCCCAATACGTCTTGAGTCTCGGATCCTCACGCTCGGCGGCGGACTTGAGAAAGTCCACGAAGCCGAAAACGGCCTGTGTGTTGATTGTGTTGTAGTCGGCCATGGCGGATGGCCTAGGACGATTTGTGATATACTAGAAAAAACTCTGTTAGTATGTTATTCGTGCATGGCGTGGAAGGGCAGACCATCATCGCGGAGAGATGTATATCAGGACGCCCAGTCATAGTACGTGAAGGTACAGAAAGTTCAGGGCAGGAATAGCGAGGAAGAGATGAAGTGACGCGATACATTGGATGATAGTTGACCTGGAGTTTTGAAATAAAAGAGCACTTGCTCTCTGTGTGATCCAGAACAGCAAGGTGTCTCATGTCACTGTGAGGTGTCAATCTGAATCAAGGGAGACTTGAATCCGAGCGTAGGAAGCGGGCCAAGCGGCTGCAAGCCGTGGAAGTCACTTGTTGTTCGCTTGTCGGGCGGTTGATCAAGATGTTCGTTTCTAGAGGTACGGTAGAGTAGAGGAGATAGGTATACTGATCATCACTTACAGGTACGTATGAGGGCGAGCGGTTGATCAGGAGGGGTCTGGCCTACCAAAGCCGGTCGCGGGGTCGTCGACGAGACCAAGGTGAGCGTGCCCACAAAGTGTAGAATTTGTGTCCACAAGTATCGCAACGACGGACCAGAGGACGGCGACAGCTGTCGATATCAAGAAAGGAGAAGCAGGAAGCTTGTTGACTATTCTTGGCGATTGGAAAATCTTCTCGCTGGCGTGCGGTCGGATAGGTAAGGTAAGGTAGCTTTCTGTTGGTGTTCCACGAAGAAAGAAAATCAAATTGGGAGAAGTCGGAAGCAGAGGAGGGGTTTCGAGAGGAAGGGCCCTGATTTCGAGCACCTGCAGCATCGCCTGCCCGGCAGGTGCGTCTTGCAGCCCGCCCCTACTTATTGCTTTGTGTCCAACTTTCGCCTGCAGTCGCTGCATTATTTGGGGAATGAAATCAAAGCAAAGCGCTGCATATCCCCTCGTTGACCTCTTGTAATGGAACCTCATGAAATTCATGCCTCAACCCCGCCAGGTCAGCCCCGCGCAACGAACCAACGTCCACCTTCCATTACATCATATACTTGGCCGTCCTAGCCCTAACGTATCTAGATGAACACGGAAACACAGTCCCCATCGTCATCTTTCTCGTCTGAGTCATGTCTCACACTTCCTTTCGAAAGGTGTCTTGATGAAAAGAAGGATGGTCGTCGTCAATAGAGGCACTTCGTGTGAAGAGAACTATCCGACAGTCTCTCTGATAGTTAGCAGCTCCAACTCCAGAAGCCTGGGCAGCAAGCGCCGCGATGTCCCTGGCGTGTTGGGCCCTTTTCCTATTATTACGCTCATTTACCTATTTTCTTGCGCTATCGAACTGTCAGCAACTGCATTTAAAGGTCTTATACAAAGTGAAGAAGCCAACTTGCCTGCAGTTTATAAGAAGGGCCGGTTGCAAAGCGCTTTGGGTAGATCGCGATGATCAGGTCGACCACCGCAGCCTTCGACTTCCATTCCCAATAGGTAGGGTGTAGTTAGCAAAGCCCATTCCACCCAGTCTTGATACCTGCCTGGATTTCAACTCACCGTCATTAGGGCGACCATGTCGTCCTACCTGTCCTGCCAGGGGTCGTACTCCCCCAAGTAGAATCCCGGACACCATGGCTGGACATTGGCATTACCATTCTGGGCATATCTCAATCCCCGCTGCACTTTGTGTCAATCAGATATCACTGTAGCGTTGGAGGCTGTGATGACTTACGAAGTATTGTCAGGCAACGTGCTCGACCACGCCCCTCGACATCTTTCTCATCGTGTCGATCTGGGACGCACTACCATCTTTGTCACCAACCATGTTCGACATAGCCTCGACCATCTCCCGGACGTATGCTGGTTCGTCCTCTGCGAAGATGGGAATGTCTAAGCGAGAACTGTGCGGAACTTTCTGTCTATGAAGGTGGATATGGTAGGTAAGGTGATGTAATTATACAGGTATATATAAAGTAGGTACTGAAGCTATGACGAGTGAGATGGTATAGCAAAGTGTTGTTGTTTAATTAAAGGATGTCTAATGTAGCTACCTAGGTATCTAGTGCTCGACAAGCAGCAATGTAACCCTGGGGCTATTATTACATTCTTGACTGCCCGTGTGAGGAAAAAGTCCGTTGAATCCCAATGATCTAGTTCAATTATCTCTACTGATCATCTGCAGAGGCCTGAGCTTGCAGAGCCACCTGCCCGTCCCTGATACTGCGGGCCTTGGCCGCGTTGGCATCCGCGTTCTTTTCTTTTCTCTACGAAACTGTTAGCGGCCTGAAGAAAGTACATTGAGAAGAGGCGGTGAACTTGCCTGGAGTTCAGAATATGGATCGCATGCGAAGCGCTTGAAGTATGGTGCAATCAAGAGATTGGCCACGGCGGCTTTCGACACCTGTTCGACGATTTAGTATACCTGACCCAGCGTTTTGTAGAAGTACGCCGGCATGAACCTACTCGGAAAAGCGCCACCATGTCATCCCAACGGTCCCAAAAGGACTCGTACTCCCTCAAATAGAAGGAAGTACAAAAGGGTGCAATGCTGGGTCTGCCCGCTTGAGCGAGCTTGGCCTCTTGCTATAAGTCTCGTTAGCCACAAGTTATTGTGCAGTCCTCGACGACAGGGACGTAACTCACCATCAAGACCCAAGCGAGGTGCTGAACAACACCCTTCGATGCCTTCTTCACAGCATCAATCTGGTGACCATTCCCATCCTTCTCCCCATCCATATCGACAATAGCCTCCGCCATCACCCTAACAAAATGGCACTCGTCCTCCGAGTAGCACGGGATGTCTCTCAGCGTCTCGATGGGCATGCGCTTAGAGGTGTGACTGAAGAGAACTTCCTGGTGGACCCAGAACTCTCCTTCCGTCTTCATGCGTGCATCATACGTTTGGTCGACTTCGTCCTCGCCCTTCTTAATCCTTCTGGCGAGCGACAGCTCGTGGCTGTTCATGTCCTTGAAAGCGTCGTGCCGAACGTTCGGCTTGGTCCACGCAATCCGCTTGATGAACTGCTCGGAAGCGCCCATCCGGTACCCGAATTCGAGATACTCGTAGGCGCGCCTTGCAAAGTCGTCGTAGCTGTCTTCCCATGCGCGACCCTTTTGGCGCTTGATCACCGCTAGGGAAAGGACGGCGCGGTCGCCGGGCTGTGCAACGTGTTCCTGGATGTAAAGGATGATCCGCCACCACTCCTGCAGACGAGGGTTGCGTTGATGGACTGCGGCCTCCATCATGGGGACAAAGCTTTTGAGGACGTTGTCGGACATGGTGTTCAATGATTCTTCCTTGACGAATAAGGCGTGATGATCAGACGTAGAAGTTTTTTAGAATGTCGACGTGATGCGCGCTCAGGAAAATTTGATAACGGGTTTCGTCGAGGTCGGGCTGTCGGTTGTCGACGATATAAAGCGATAGCGAGAAGGTGAGACGCGCGGTTGTGATATAGCTCAACTGCTCTGTCGGTTGACAACTTGGCGCGCGGCGAGGAGAGAACAGTGGTGGCGGTCGAGGTTTGTGTCGCTAATCGCCGGTGGCTGGCTGTTGAATAGAGCGCGCGTACAGGGCCGTCAGTAGATTAGCCGGAGCAAGAGGAGCTCAGTAGAGGTAGACTAGCAGGAGCAGGAGTTGTCGAGTGCAGCGCGAGGGTTTGCTTGGCGGTGGTAAGCTGAGCAAAGATTAAGTCGTTGGGTTGAGTGAGGTAGATTGGGTTCCTTGTTGTTGGCGGTTGAAATCGTTGGCGGTGAAAAATTCACGGTTGACTTTTGCTGGTCAAGTTTGTGCGATCGCTGTTCGAAACAAAAAAAAAAAAAAAAAAAAAAAAAAAAAGAGGAAAATTTCGCAGCACTGACCAAAACCAAGAGGGGGTTTTTATACTCCCAAAACCGCCCGCCGGCCGTTTGGCATAGCAGCTCCAGGTTAGAAACCTTTACAACTATAAAAGGTGAAGCGGTAGGAAAGCCCAAACCTGGAAGTTGCTATTCAGGTTCAAGTTCTAGCTCAGCCAGGACGGAAGCGCTGAGCTTTAAACCTTTTGACCACTCTCCGGCCATACTGGCGCAGCGATGCTTGCTTGATGAGGACAGAGGAACAAAGACACAAGCATCAATAAGAATCCCATGATTGCAGATGACTTTGGTATTGCCTCCTGTGAAAGGGGAATCTGTGATGAGCACCGAGCAGATGAAGTGACTCTTTTAGAGCGAGATCCAAACATTACCACGGCAGAGTATCGAGATGGGGACAATCGCATTGTTTCTTCTCCCTTCCCCGACGCCGTATGCCTGCTTTGTTTCGACACTCCTTATCCCTGCGCCCAACGCTACGCATAACGCAGGGAAAACAACAAAGAACAGTGACTGTATCATATTTGCCGTGAAGACCACAACAGGCAATCATGATGTGTGACTACTTCTGAAGCTCTATTTGCCTCTAAACTGTCATCTATTCAGCTTTTTCTGGACTCCGTGGCTTGTCCCGTAATGAACAGTGGACCAGATCCTTGTGGCGGCTCGCTGGTAGCGGGGGGAGGGTACGGCATAGAGCACCTCTCAACATGTCGTCTGCGCCCTTCAGAGATGCCTCCCAGAACCTAAATACGGGGACGCCTCCTGGGAGGAGCCTCAGCTCGAGTGTCGCTGCCGTCTTCGGAGCTGTGTCTGTTCCTCCTAGCCCGAGAACGAGAAGAGTTGGTACTATCCTGCGGATCACTGTTGTTCTGTGCTCCTCCACCGACACCACTAGTGCCGGTGTTGAGCGGCATATGGGCGATGCGACAAGTACCGACTGCGGTATCGCTTCCTCTTCCCTCTTGCGGCTGCGCCTGGCCCATGAAGCCAATCCCACTAGTGGGCTCGGGAGAACTCGGGCTAATGTACCGGTGCAGTGTGTGTTCCAGATAATCCATGGGTTGACCGGATAGCGGTGACGAGCCGAGGTCATTTCTGCTGGCATCATCGATGTACTGACCCTGAACATTTGGGCTCACCAAACCGCCAGCATAACAAGGGTGGTATGACTCGTGATCATTGGAAGGCATGATGCTTGGAGGGTGTCCTTCGTCGGGGGATATAGCTCGGACCTGTCGCCGATGGCCGATCGAGCCGGGTAATGGAGGGTAGGCCGGAGCATGCGGTTGCGAAGTTCCTGCCAAAGGAACCGTTGAAGCAGCAGAGTCGCCCATTGCGCGGCCGAACTGAAATTTCAAGTCGTCGCTGTCCTGGTCTTCTGGAATGTCATCGTAGCGATCCACATCTTGTTGGGCATTCTGCAGGAGACGCGTTGCTTCGTCGTCAGACTCGTGATCGTTGTCTTCACGCTCTCTCGCGCTGTCATCAAACTCTTCAGCTTCGTAGTCTGTCTCTTCCGCCTCGCCATCGCCGCCGAGATCCTCACTGGCTTCGGCGTCCCACTCTTTATCTACGAAGCTGCCGTCCTGATTCTCCTAATTATCAGGCTTGGCGGCCGCGGACGAGTCGTTTGGGGCAGGAGCAGAAGCGCCAGCAGTACTTGTGCCCTGATCTGGAGCACTCTTCGCAGCAGCGGCTTTACCCGTGGTATCCTTGACAACTTTGTCGAGTGTGGCCGCCTTCTCCTCATTTTCCTTCATCTTGGTCGCTTTCTTCTTGTTGCCCTTGTCGTTGACAGTCTTGCGTTGTTTCTCTTGGGTCGGGTTACCGGCAAAACGCTTCTCGCTGTGGGCGACGATCAGGTTGGCCACTGCTGCTTTTGAAGTCTGTGTTTCGATGAAGCGTTAGTTGCGGCATCTACGTATGCGAGTCTCTCCAGAACTTACTTGAAAGAATTCCACCATGTCATTCCAGCGAGCCCGCATGGTAGGGTACTGCTTGTACTTGAATGAGGTGCACCAAGGCTTCACACCCGGCTTGCCCTGTTGAAGGTTTCGGGCCTCTCTCTAGAAGGGGGGAAACCCCAAATGGATTAGTCTTCATTTGGTGACGAATCCGGCCATAAGGATGGAGGAGGAATGTTGATTTCCACTTACGTATAGCACCCACGCAATATCTTGGAACACCCTTCCACTGGTTGACTTGACGGTACCTACCTTGTGGTTGCTCGCTTTCTCAATGATGTCCTGGGTGTTCTTCAGAGCATCAAACATTTCTCGTATATACACGGCTTGCTGTTGTCTCGTTTGTGGAATATCCGCGATTGCCGAGGCCGCTGGTGTCCTGTTGTTGATACTCTTTGTTATAGCCTCTTGAGACCAAAAGTCCGCCTCGGATTTGATCGAGTCCGGGAATGTTTGGTCGACAGCACCCTTCACATTGGTGTTCCGATTGATCCTCTCGTGGGATGCCAGGCTGTCTATTATCTGTTGCCGAAGTCGTGGCCTTGTATGGCTGATCCCAGCAATGGCGGACTCCGACGAGTGGCTTTCGTGATGAACCAAAAGCCAGCTGTAGGCTCTACGCGCGAAAGGGTCGAAGTCGTCGCCCCAATTCTTCAATGCTTCCAGAGGTCGCACGGCTCCGTTCGCCATAGCCAAGTTCTCTTGTATATAGACTATGTCGTCACGGTGACCGTCAGTCTTATGTCGCGTTTCTTGTTTCCCAAAAAGTAAGAACTCACGAATGATTTCCCAATATGTCGCCATTTGGGGCAACCTTTCCGCTGCAGCCCATTCAAGGGCTCTGACGAACCCAAAAGGGCTAGCTACCTGTACAGCAGGTGGATTTCCTGCTACAGGATGGCTCCCCGCCATGCTTGTCGTCCTCTCGATTTCTGGAACTTCTCGAGCGAACGCTTTGTTGTCCTTCAACACTGCGCGACCTGTCTTTCTGATCGGATTGAAGTCTCTGTCGCGACTGGCCGAGAAACGTGATGGAAAGGTTAGGATATAGTCGTGAGAAAGAGTGGGAGGGGTCTTACCTCTGGCGGTCTTCTCGGGAAGATCAAACCGAAGTCGGGCTAGAGGCAAAACGTCTGATCAACAGGGTATTGGCCGGATGACGATCGGCCACTTGGGCGAATAGAATAGGTACGTGCACTTGTCTTTGTGGTCGGAGGAAATGCAAATCGAGAAGGAAAAGGCGTGTTTGAGGGGAAAGAGATGGGGACACGGACAACGGGGATTTAGTGGGGTGTTGATTTCGCCGGTCGGCGACGAACGAAACCTGTCGCTTCGCGCGCCTGCTGATACAAAACAGATCAGAGTTCCAGTCTACAGAACACCCATTGGTCGCGACAGTTGTTTCTGGAAAGCTTCGGATGCGTACATGATTTTCCTTTGTGAATATCAAGTGTCTTCAATCCTCTCTATCCCTTGCCGTTCTGCTTCGCATCATCAAGTCACCAATGACCAGTCCCGTCTCGCTTTGCCCACCCCCTTTCCTTAGTTCTCATGCTCACCCTAATCCATCACAAGTACACAAACCCATTTCCTACGATCATTGAGTCAGGTCCATTCCATACTCGTCCTCCTCTTTGAACTCCATGTCATCACCATCGTCCTCATGCTCATGGAAACCGCTCGCATCGAGCCTGTCTGCCGTAGGCCGATGTGAGGTACTTTTGTTAATATGACCATTGGTAACACGGCCGTTGCTGGACTGGTGGCTGCCGAGTCTACCACTAGCAACTCTGCTAGTGGGCTGGTGGTGACGTCCAGGGTTGGACGCCGCCACGGTCTCCGGCGGGGGGGTCACGGGGACCGAGTAGAGAGTTGCGTAAGCCAGGACAGGCGTGGAAGCCGCGATAGGTCCGGTCTTCTCAGATAGAGGTAGTCATGCTGACCCGGCCGTTGGTGATCCGGCCGTTGGTGGTGTGGTGGTTGGCGACTCTGCCTCTAGCAACTCTGTCTGTTAACGGTGAGAAACTACTCGCAGCTTTGGGATTCCCCCATATTGCCGTGTTGTTCTCATGGATCATGGAAGCTTACCTTGGCACCAACTGGTTGTGGTAGTCACTGATGGGATGGCTGTTTCTACTGATGTTCGCGCTGTTGTTACCACTGCTCTGGTGGTTGATGTTGACCACAATGCCGTTGCCGATATGGCCGGTGACCGTGACTGATGTTGGTCAGACTGCTCAGTAAGGCTCCTCGCACTAAGTATGACGGCCGTCAATATTAATTCCAGGAGTGGAAAGAATGATGAATGCAAGTAGAGAGGAACAGGGCGTCATATCATGCGAAAAGAGTGAGAAGGAGATGCTATCAGGTTGGATGAAGGGGTTGAAACGGGACAAGATTGGTAGTTGTGAAACATGAGCTTACCTTAGGTACCTTTGATCGATTTTCAGGAAAAGCTGGAGATGTTGGCGGCACCACTCAGATGTGCTGGATTGCTCATTGTGACCTCTGACAAAGACATTTGTTTGGAGGAAGGTGAGCTGTACAGAATTAAAGAAAGAGACGCGATGAAAGGTGACAAAAGATGTTGGTAGGTACCTAGGTAGGTGTAGAGTGAGTAAGAAGTGGCAATGAGTTAATTGTTGATCACTTGTTGAGTTCGACGCGCTGTTGCAGATTGGATTGTTTGGAGGAAGGGAAAAGATGAAAAGAAAAAAAGAAATGAAAAAGAATTGTGCGTTGGGTGGGGGAACGTGAAAAGAGTATGCCCTACCTCCATCCTGTTCCCTTGCTCCTTCCAACATTCTACGAAACAGCCAACATGAAGGCACCCCGTACTCCCCCCGCTGACCCCAACACGTCATCTTGTGCTCCCGTCTGCCTCTACCTTGACCCAAGGCAGCTACCCGTGTCTAGACTCCCTCCCTCCAGGTATATGTATTAGGTCTTTGTGCCTACTTTCCAACAACAACAACCAACAAACAACCAATGTGCGGTTGGCGCAGTGGTCAGCGCGTTCGCTTCCTAAAGGTTGGCAACCTTACGGAGTCGAAAACGGCACCGACGGGTGGGACCGGGGGGCAGCATAGACGTATGTTGCCTTGGGAACCGCGAAAGATCCCGGGTTCGAATCCCGGACCGCACACATTTCTTTTTTTTTTTTCCCCTTTCTTCCTGCCGTTTTCTTTTGCGTGTCTGTCTTGCTTTGGTTATAGTTCCTCTTCATACTTTGGTCCTTTTCAGTCTGTGATTCCCCGGATAACGGTCGTTCCCGACACATTCTTCCAGAAACATCTCGGTTTCTTCCACTCGACTCATCCTCAGGGGCACCCTAGAGGTAGGTTTGACATGACCACAGCTATATCATTCACCTAACCTCCCGTACCTCCTGTTATCTGATCTGTGCCACTCAATCAACATCATCCGAAATGCCATCGTACAACTTCCAGATGTCGACCATCCCCTTGAACATGGCTTCCTCCGAAACCACCATCCCCATCACGTTTCTAGTCTATGACAGCACCCTAATTACCGTCGGGCTTGCCATTTGGATCACTATCGGGATTATAGGGTGGACTCTCATTACGCATAACGACAACACTCACAAATATCACGAAGAGCATATACGGCTTTTGAATAAGCTCATGGACATCAATTTGCGCACAATCACCCTTATGCAGAAAGTTTACACGGGCGATCTGGAGCTGCAAAGACGGATGACGAAGGCGCTTGAGCAGTGTCACTGGTGTAGCCATATGATACCGGAGAGACGCACGCCACGAACGCAAGGTGCCTAAGCACCGGGCGTTCAAAGGGAAGGACAGGAACAGAGCTCGAGCAGTACAGTACACTACGGCGTTGGGATGGCTCTCTATCGTGGGGGTGCACACGCGATGAGTCCACGATGCAGTGGTGATCAGGTGAAGAACGCCAGAGCCGGAGGCGTAAAAAGATTGGGGCCCAACTGGTGATCAAAGAAATTCTACCAATTTCAATGGAAGGCGCTACAACGAACTCACGCTTCTTTTGCCTGTAAGTCATTCCTTCCTCATTTTCCCTCGTATAGCTGCACAAAAGTCTTAATTGTTCCTTCTTCTGTAGCAGACAAGACATGGAAGAGAACGAAAAGAGGGTGGTGGTTGCAAGTCAGTGAGAGAAGGGACAAAGTGACAGATGAAGGACTTGGTGGACGGAGGAAATAGGAGTCTCTTCTAATGCCGTAAATGAACGACCATGCACACGGCTTGGTCCGCACTAGACACTTCGGCTTAACCATTTAGAGGTAGTTAGTGCTGTGACAATGCCCCAATATAATTAATCCCAATGTTTCCGTGAATATGCTAGTCCAGACAGAATCCTGCACCACATTGGCCTCAGTACCTCTCTAGCTGGACGATGTGCCTCCACTCAGTCTGGATGAGTAGAGGTAGGTAGTAAGTGGAAATGGCCAGTCCATCCGACGTAACTTGCTAGAGGTATTCTTTCTCAAACACTTGAAGCTCAATCTGATGGACTAAAGCGAGGCGGAATTCAGTAGCCAGAAGGAAACACTTCCTTACAGTTTTGCGCCGTCGAAGCTGGATGTGATGATCACCTGCACGATCAAAGAGGTTGTAGAGAAAGGGCCAGGAAGGGCACTGGGTGAAATGGTTCATGATTTCCATCATATCACATTCAATTGTGAAACAAACGAGATACATGTAGATTTCATGGAAGTGACCCATCTACCGTCTTCAGGAAGTTTCCCGTACTGCAACGAACCTTCTTGACTTGTGCCAACGAAGAATCCATCCAGCTTTGTCCGTGCTTCCTTCCCCTTATCAAGTCGCCCTTTCTCCGTTAGGCCTCTACCCGAACAGACGCCCTTGCCGTGGATCAAACGAACTGAATGAATGCAATATCGATGACGTGTACAGAGGTAACCGGCGTGATGGAGCACAACCAGAGGTGGTAAGCTTGCAATGAACCCATGAATGAATTCATTGTGAAGAGGGGAAGGCGAACATTGAAGATCAAGGCACCTTTGTTGGTTCTTGATATTGAACTACTAGAATGTCCTCAACACTACCTTTTCCTACCTGCCCATTCGAGCATTCCAGTCTCTCTTTGAGTGCAGCTCATATGGTAATCTCTACATGGCCGGATACCTTATATACCTCCAACCAGCCGTCTTTGCTCAGATTCATTCTTATCAGTCAGTCCATTTCATCTCCATCACTCTACTCCGACATCGACCCTCGTCCGTATCTCATTCAGAAACACATCCTGATCTGCAGAGACCAACCAACCATCAACTTCCCCTGCATTCTGTCACAGACCTTGCAATGGACGACAACCCCCCCATGACAGTCATGACTGCCATCTACGGAGTTTCATTCGTCCTCCTTTGCGTCGTAATGTGGTTCTTTCCAGAACCCAAGCTCTCCGCCGTGTGCGGCATCTTGATTCTGATCGGCTGGGACGTCACCTTCCACTTGCGGGAGATCATCGCAGTGCAAAAGGAGCAACTACAAGAGCATCAGACTGCCAAGTTGACGACAGACAAGATTGATGAGTATACCACTCTATACGGAACTCTTGTCGAAAAGGTCCTTGTCTTGAACAGGGACCTTCTCTTCCAAAACCAGGAGATTCTTGCTCATTCAAAGGAGAAACTTGCCCACGACAAGGACAAGCTGTCTCAGGAGAAGGAGACCCTTCCCCAATTCAAGGAGATCGTTGCCATGCAAAAGGAGATTCTGGGCTCGAGGAAAGAGAGGGCTGACCAAAAGGGCAACGCGGGCTTGGCCCACGAGAAGGAGACACTTAACCAATACAAGGAAACTGGAAGCGTGCACAGGGAGTTACTTGATCAATGCAGAGAGATACTTGGCTGCCAGAGACGTCTAGTGTTGACAACGGACAGAAGTGCGGTTCTACAGTTGAGGATGGGGGATATGGTGATGGTACAGTTGAGGCAGTTGGATGTGTTACTCAGGAAATTGGGAGTGGAGGTGAGACCTCCTTTACCGCCTGGAGCTGGTCTTAGACCAAGCAGGCCCGGAGACCATGCGCAATGAGATGGTCAGAGCCAACTGCATTGAACGAAAAGAGCATGCAATGGCCGGAAAGAACAACACATTCGAGTTTTGGAGCGTAGAATACGATCTTGCTGCATTTGAGACGGTACGGAAGACTGGGCAGTGGCGCTCAATGGGAAGATTCCTCATCTACCTAGTGGAGGATAGGTGGATTTAGCATGGGGGTAGGAAGTACAGCAAAGGCAGTGGTGAGGATACAATAGCAATAGGTAGAAGACACAGTGTACACTAGACACTTCGATTTATTGGCAGAACACTGTCACATCAAACGGTGATATGTCTTGTTTTCGTGTGGATGTAATTCCAGTCCGTTCATTTTATCCTCTATCACCAATCGTTAATATTAACGGGCTTCCAGTTCCAGTCTCCCACCTCCACTAAAATCTGCTTCTCCGGTTGCTTCCACTCTCCAGAATACTCAGGAGTTGAGTAGGTGGAAATAGTAGACATAGAGTCATCCTCGCTGTACACAGATTCCTCCTCGTCCGCCTCGTAGTCGTCATCGTCCTTTCCCTCCACCGAACCATCAGCGTCCAAAAGATTCTCGAGCTCCGTCGTGCTTGCACTTCCCCAGGCAGGTGCGTTATTCTTGCTCTGGAAGCAAGGACCCAGCGCTGCGTAACGCCGATACTTCCTCTTCTTCTTCTTCTTCTCACCTACAGCTTTGGGAATACAGTCGAGGAACCCATGGGTGGGAAACGGTGGTGCTTGCTTTCGCTTAATGGCTGATGATCTTGACTAGGTAATGATGAAGTGATCACGGTCGAGATGGTTGTAACTGCTTTGTCTACCACAGTTTGGGTGATGTGGCTGGCGGTTGTAGTGGCAGTTGCCATTGTGCTACTTGTCTGGCTCATCGTGAAGAGAAGGGAAGTTCCGTGTTTGAGGGTTGTGTTTCCTTTGGTGTAGACTTTCGGTGTGATGAGTCGACCGGTAGTGAGTAATGGAGAGGAAGATTGGTGGGATGGGTAACTGGGGGTAATAATTCAATATTTATATCTATGGAAAAAATATTCTACCTCTACGCAGTGAAGGGTTGGTATAGTGGGTCGTACATCAGTGAAGTGTTCTGAGAGAATCGGAACTCAAGGTTCAAAAGAGGAGTCTCCTTCATAGCGGCATGTTGGTGAATAGGTAGCTGCCGTGACGTGGGGGTGGGTAGGAGTGAAGGGTGAAGCGCAAACAAGAAGAAACCTTGAGAGTTGAGAGAAGAAATGCGTGCCGCTAGGTCCTTAAGTGACAAAAGGCGGTAGTAATAGTGTAGAGGTAATGATGATATCCCTGTACCTCTACCGATGATACACATAGCATGCACCAGACACTTCGATTTGACTAGGACCTACTGTGAAAACTTTGTGGTATTATTTGCTTTTTTTTGTGAAATTGAGGTCGGAATTCTTCTATCAAAGTTCCTACCATGGCTTTCTGTCGTTTTCCCAGTCCGATTCGTTTATCGTAATCTGATTCTCGACTGGATCTCCACCCCAAAATGCATGGGGATCACAGGGAGGGTCATCCTTCCTCAGCAATCCAAGGAGAATTGCCTTGAGGATACCGAACCTCTCGTTCTCATCCAAATGGTAATCGAGCATCCAATCTACTCGATACTCGATTGACCGGGCCCTCAGATCCATCTCTTCGAGGCCGACCTTCATCATCTCCTCTATCCCTTGGACCGCGGTTACAACCTTTTCTACGCCGTCGCTCGCCGTCTGATTTACCTCCTTCATCGCATCCTTGATGCCCTCGCTGGTTCCCTTCGTCACTGCCTTTGTGATCACCTCCTCCATTCCCTTCGTCGCGTCCTTGAATCCCTCCTTGTACCCATTCTTGGTGCCTTCCATGACTGCCTTTGTGATGATTTCCCCCATGCCCTTCATCGCATCTTTAGCGCCGTTCTCGTATCCCTCTTTCACCGCCCCCTTGATGACTTCCGCCATGGAATTCATTATGGCCTCTGGTAGTACTTGGACACTTGTGACAACCTTCTCGACGCTTTCCCTGATCCCTTTGCTCTCCTCCACATGATCGTGCTGACCTTTGACAAAATCCGCAGCACTCTGCATTTGGTGGAGTTGGTAGGTCCGCGTTTCGAGCTTGGCCTCTTTTTTCTCCCGTTTCTCTTCCTTTTCTTCCCGCTTCTTGGCGAGTTGCTGTGCGCGTATCTTTTTGCGGCGGAGCCACTTGATGACATTCTTTTTGCAGTGAGGGACGGTATATCCTAGTAGGTAGATAATGCCTGCAACCGCTGCTATGAACATGACGATGGAGTTGTAGGGCTCGGGGATTAAGGGCCTTGATGCAGTTGAGGTACTGGCCTGTGAAGGCGATTCCTGACTGTAGAGGTACACGGTTGTGATGGAGACTGTCGACGCCGTAGACGGCGCCGGTTGTACGACGGTCACCATGTTGGAGGTGGAGGACGGCATGGTGCTGATAGAGGTCATTGCATCTGCTGACGCCATAGTCGGTTGTGAATTGCTGGTAATGGCCGTTGAAGTGGTTGCGAATACTGGAGACATCCTGGCACGAGACTTGTAATGGTTAATAGTTTCCGAACGGTCCTTGGGGCTTGATAATGAGTAATGCAAAGAAAAGTTAGGTGTGCTGGGTAATGGACTGGAGGAAGAGGGTAGGATACCTATTTATAGGTAGGAACAGGTCATCATGGAATTCATGAGGCTTTACCTGGTAGTGAAGGGTCTATAGTGGGTTTTATATGGGTGAAGGGTTCCAAAACCTGTAGTCCAGAAATCGAAACGGAGAAGAGAAATCGCCGCCTAAACCTTGAGAACGGTGCCTTGCTGCATGGGTGTTGTGCGAGTAGGAGTGAATGGCACCTCTACTTCAGGTGCAGAAAATAAATGGGAACTCAAGAAGAGTGTCACCCAGAGGTAATCGCTTTAGCTACCTCTACATGTACGTGCCCATAGGTAGAGGTACTATTTTACCTAGGTATGCACACATAATGGCACTCTATCAAGTTTGGTGAGAAGTGTCTTTCGTACAAGGCAAACGATCGCGAGACGGTGGATTCATATGACTTCCTCTACGGTACCATTACCTCCAGAGACCTGTACCTGTGACGAAAACAGTGATTTTCATGTCTCCAGTTCAGTCCTTCACTAGAAGTATTGTTTTTACCTCTACCAAGGCTCTTGTTTCTCCTCCCAATTGAATTCGTCCACAATGATCCGGCTCTCCACGGTATCTCCACCCCAGGATGTCTGGTCAGTAAAGGAATTAGTAGTCGACGCAGAGGTAATATGATCTAGCAACCCCTGGAGAATTACCCTGAGAGCGTGAAATCCGTCGGTCTCATCCAGGTGATCGTCCAGCATCCAGTCCACCTTGTGGTCAAGAGCCCGGGTCCTATTCTCCACTGCCTCCAAGCCAACTTGAAATACCCCCTCCAGCCCCTTAACAGCCGTCACCACCGTCTCCATGGTGTTCGCCATCTTCTCCATGGTTTCCCTCATCCTCTTGCTTTCCTCCCAAGTGAGGATCTGAGCGTTGGTCTGCCTCTCGGAATCCAGCATCTGATGAACCTGGTAGGCATGCGTTTCGGTGATTTGCACATCCTTTCTTCGCCTTTCGACGACTTGCTCCCTCTTTGCCTCTCGTTTCTCCCGCTTCTTGGCAAGTTTCCGTTGTCTCTTTTTGACGCGTCGAGAAAATTTGCATATGCCGATGATATCAAAGGGGATGAGGTAGAAGAAGAAGTAGATGATGGTTGTGATGGCTGCAAATAAAGTGATGGCAGAGGCGTAGGGCTCTGACAAAAATGGCCTGGGTGATGGTGCACCGCTGGGTGCTGCCTCTGGTGCTGTTTTGGATGCCGGGGGAAGGATGGTAGTAGGGCTTGGTACCGTTTGTTGTTGGATGATTGTACCCGATGTCGACGTTAACATAGTTGTCATGGTATTGGCTACTGTAGCTGCCGTGGTTGTGGTTTGGGCATTGGCGCCTGTGACGACAATTGAGATTGCTGTAGACACCCGAGACATGATGCCAACAGAAAAGCGGTATTTGATGGTTGTTTCAGAGGGGAGCGTTAGAAAGTGAAATTGTTGACTAATGGAGAGGAAGAATTTGTGCGATGAGTAATTGAAGAGATGAGTGGGATATTTATACCCTGGGAACAAAGATTCCGTTTCCAGGTTCTACGTAGAAAGGTTTCATAGTGGACCGTACGTCGGTAAAGGGTCGCGACAGTCCAGAAATCAAGATGGTGGGTTCAGGCCTCCATCGTAACCTTGAGGGCGGCATATTGGGGAGTGGGCATTGTGGAAATGGGGAGTGAATGGTGCCGAGGAGAAGGGAAGAGACCTTGAGACGGAGCAGATACCCTTATTGTATATTCCCATACATATAACAGTGCATTAGGTCTGGCATGGGCACAAAAATTGGCGGTGAAATGTGTCTAATAGAGGTACCTTAGTTCACTACCTACCTAACGAATACTTGATGCCCTCCTTGGTCTCCTTCGTGACTGCCTCCGTCAAGCCTTGCTTCATCGCCTTAGTCTCCTGTTCCATTCCATCCAGTCACGACTCAAGACCCTCAACACGTTCTCTCAACCCCTTGCTTTCCAACACCACCGAACCGAGGAGCTCCACCATCGTTTTGATTCCCTCAGTCTGCTGAGTGTGATGGTCTCGCGCCTCCGCCCTTGCTTTCTCTTCAACGCGCTGGTTTGTCACCAGCTGTCCCATCAGCTCGGCCATCTTGTTGATTCCGTTGATCTGTTGAATCTGATGGTACCGCGTCTCCTCTTTTCACTCTTGCTCTTCCTGTTGCTTGGCAAGCGCCTCTCTTCGCCGTTGAAAGTAAAAGAGAATTGCCATGTTGTGGTCCCAGCCGAGCCAGAAGGTGTAAAGAAGCATGTACAGAATGTAGGCGCCCGAGGCGAAGAAGGATGTGCCGGAGTTGTACCGCTCTGGCACGAATATGGTTGGCTCCGATGACGCACTGGCTGTTTCCGATGCTTGTGGAGAGGGGACGGTAGGCGTGGGCGTGGGCGTGGGTGTGGGAGTAGGCGCAGGTATGTGCTGCGCAATAGTGGCTACGGCCGTGATGAAGTTCAAGGCTGTAGTAGCCGTGCTGATAGGAGACATCTTGGGTACGGTATGTGTGCTTGTTTTCTGTCTTCGAAGGAGAGCTTGTGGGTGGTGGTGATGGGTAACGGAAAGCAAGAATTGTGCGATGAGCAACGAGAGTTGAAGGTGGAATATTTATAGCGATCAAAACTGTGCGGATTTCGAGCGAGTGAAGGGCTCATGGCGGACCGTACATTGTGGTAGTGAAGTGTTCTGGATACCAGGCCCAGAGCCTCCACCTGGATTTGAACCTTGGGGGCGGCATCTTAGTAAATAGAGGTAATATCGCGTGAAGTTCAAGCGGCATTGAATGGTGAAGAGGGTAAAAAAAGGAACCTTGAGGATTGGGGAGAGAACATAGCTTATATAGAGCTATTCACGGGACAGTCCATCAGGTTTGGTGTGGAGAGTTTCCCATTAAGCAAACAAACCCCATGTGGAAGTCGCGGCCATGCGCGGCCATTTCTTCCATGGGCAGCTTCCCCTTCACCGGCATCCGTAACCCTCTCTCCTCTTCCGGTCGCCTCCAGTGTGTGACAAGCGGTTTTCTGTTTTCGCATTTTCCAATCTCCAACACAAGAAACATGCCCACTTGAACAGGTATCCCATGCTGGATACCCAATCCACAATTCCCCAAACCAATGCGCTGCGAAGTGTGAAGGTTTGGCACATGGTGAACAATCACCATGCTGCAATCGCCTCATCACTTCCCCGTCTCATCCTCACAAACCAGGACACTTCATGCGGATGACCAAACCAACATGAAGTCGCAGGAAAACAGGCTTGCACCAAGCGATACGGGATCATTGATAGAGGTAGCTTCATCCAACACTGAACTCCCAAGAAACGTACCAAACAAACGCTTGACCTTACAACTTAAAGACTCCCATGGTCCTAACTCCATCATCGTCACCTCATACCATCACCTGCCAGCAGACCACAAACACCACTTCAAACTCGGGGACATGCAAGGTATAACCGCCACTGCCCAAACCCAAACCACCACAACTTTGTACCACACAATATCATCTCCCCTCGTTCCCTCCCCAATCCATCCTCTAGGTAGTACCGTACTCCCTCCCCAAATGCATCACCCCCCTCACCCTCCCCACCACCTCCCTCACCACCTCCTCCACCCCCTTCTCCTTCCCCACATCGACAACCAGCACATCCGGCTCGCCCCCTTCCTCCTTTGGCTTTGTTGGATCCGGCATCTCCAAAATCGTAAACTGGCTATGCACCAAATTCTCCTTTGCAAAGTGTCCCTTTCTGTTGTGTGCTCTTTCTGTGAGCACCTCCTCGGGTGCCTGCAAAAAGATGAAGCGAATCCGCAAATCGCCGGCATGTTCAGACCCCAAACGGAGGATGTCGCGGTAGTGCCGCTTTAGAGCCGAGCAAGTGATGACGAGATGGGGAGACGAGGAGGTGGGTGGTTTGGCGGTTTCGTGCTCGGCGAGGGCTTGGAGCCAGCCTGCTCTGTCGGCGTCCGTCAGGGGTTCACCGCGGGACATTTTCTCGACGTTGGCGTTTGGGTGGTACTTTGAGTCGTGTTAGCTTGTAAGTGTGGTTGAGGTGGAGGAGGTGAGGTTCACGATGCAGTGAGGTTCATGATGCAGGAAGCCATGTGTGAGGCTCCAACGGGAGAGGCAATTGGTCAGCCCTTACCCTCCCGTTGGGATCTCGGCGATGAGTAGGTGGGTAGGGACCATGGAAAGAGACCGAAGGAGAGCGGAAGAGGTTCCGTCGTAGAGTACCGGAGGTAGGTACACTGTCTGAAGGGACGGGACGGCGCAGGACGGGGTAGGGGAATGTGCAAAGACGGTATCGTGCAGTGAGTGTGCAAGCCAAGTCATAGGTTGGCTAGGTACAGCCACACGAACCCGCAGGTTAATGCAGTATGTGAAAGCAAGAAGAACTAAAAAAAAAAAAGAAAAAAAAAGAAAAAAAAGAAAAAAAAACTCACATCATCACCCTCGACATAAGTGAGATTCAAATTCTCCGCCAACGCCTTGGCAATCGTCGTCTTTCCACATGCCGTCGGACCCGTAACGAACCAGATCCATCTATGCTCGTTCTTGGGCTTCTTTTCGGCAGCCGTGGCATTTTGTTGGTCGCCCAAATGGTGCTGCTCGCCGAGAGCAGCGTCGGTGTTCTGGACGGTCATGGCTCTTGTGATAAGATACCTAACCAATGGGTGTAGTACTGTCGTGTGAGCAGGAGTTGACGAGGATATGAATCTCCAAGACTGAATCAGTATGGAGAGATAGGTAGGTAGGCAGCTTGTAGTCGTGAGAGGGGTCGGTACTGTACAACGAACTGTGAATGTTTTATTTACATGTCGATAGATAAAGGTCAACAAGTCCAGCAAAAAGTGCATGACGTCACCTCGGTTAACTCGGTAGCCGATTTCACCGACTTGAGCCACTGAAACTCTCCAATTCAAGAGCGATCCAACCAATGACGTTTTGGTGGGGGAGACAGACAGACACCTGCAGGTTTATAAGTGGTGGTTGGGGTTAGGGTTGATGCACTATGTTGCTGCCCCTGCCTGAAAATGTGGGTCAAAACAATGAAATAGGGGCTTATCGCGGGCTTATCAATTCATGCTTGGGGAGAGTGAAAAAAAAAAAAAAAAAAAAAAAAAAGGGGAAAAAAAGACCATTAGGGACACACTTTTGCTGTTCATCAGCGTAGAAATCACGTGAGTAGGCTAGGTAGGTAGTCTCTGTGTAAACCATAATTGCGACAATCAAAGTCAATTTCGCTGTTCAGATATCAACCTCAGCAGACGAAGCCCCCAACCGTCACATGACAGAGACAGCTTAAAAGAGAGTACATTGTCATAAGAAAACCGGTATATTTTACCTACCCCTATTCAAAGCTCGTGCCAGAATCTGTATCTGAGCGGGTCTAAGTTGACCATGCTCCTCTATCTCCTGGATAGTTGCCTCAATGTCAACATGCCCATGATGCCCTCCTGGCTGAGCATTACCTCCCGGCTGCCCCTGCACATGACCAGCACCTCCCGGCGGAACATCCACATCCATGTCTTCATCCGGGTCATCATCCCGAAGCGGCAGCCTATACTGGTCAGCCCTGGGCGTAGTCAACAACGTCTGCGGAGACAACAACCACAACCCATCGTCCTCCAGATTCTCCAAATATTCCCTCCGATTCCTTTGGAACCACGTGTCCAAGATTTCCTGCATCAACCATTTCTTCTCTTCCTCCTGCTCCCGACTCCATACCATCCACTCCTCCTTCGTCATCAGCTCCTCTGGCCTTGGCCGGGGCCCAGCACGCTGCGACATAATCATCTCCGCTTCCCCCTCGGCTTTCTGCCTCAACCCCAGAGCAAACCTCTCCTTGTGCGTTAGGCGGAGGGGCTGATGCTGGTGCTGGACCCCCTCCATGCCTTCCACCGGCCGCTGCTCCTCCTCGTTCGCCGCCGCCGCCGCCGCCGCCGCAGCCAGTATCTGCTCCCCGTCCGCAGCTGATCTGGGCCTGGCTTTGGCTACCCGAGAGCCAGCACCGCCGCGCACCCTGTGGAGGGGCTCCTTGGGCCTGGGGTTTTTGTTCTTGGAACCCTTGGGACGGCCGCGGCCGCGCTTGGCAGGTGGAGCGTCGGCGTCAGGAGCAGCAGCAGCAGCAGCAGCAGCAGCGGGAGCAGCGGGGGCCTGGGGGCCGGGGAGAGGTTGTGAGGGCTGCCCGGCCTGGCCCTGGCGGAGAGGGACGTTGGCAAAGGCCTCCGGGTTATGCTGCCTCAGCTGCTCTACCAGCGAGGCATTGAAGTTGGGTTCGGCCCGGAGTTTGAGGGGGAAGGTCTTGGGGCCGACCCTCTGGGCAAACTTCCAGGGCTGGTGCTCCTGGTGTTGCTGCTGCTGTTGCTCTTGCTGCCCTTGTTGTTGCTGTTGCTGCTGGTAGTGCTGCTGCTGCACCTGCTGTTGCTGGTACTGCTGTTGCTGGTACTGCTGTTGCTGGTACTGCTGTTGCTGGTGCTGCTGCTGTTGCTGCAGCAGGGTCGGGGTCGGGGTCGGGAGCGGGGCAGGGAACTGGGACGGGGGCGGGAAGGGAGGCGGCGGCATCTGGGGCTGTACCGCCTGTGGATGCGGTACTCCCTGCTGCACAGGGGCTGCAACCGGCTCCGGCTGCGGCATCACCGGCGAAGGCACAGCAGGCACAACCGGCTGCGGGGCCTCCATACCACCCTGAGCATATCCCTCCCCGGCCTGAAGGCGCGGATCCAGATTGTCCGCTTGGTTGGAGCCGGGGGCGGGGGTGTCAGCAGCCAGGGCGTCGTTGAGCAGATCGTCCAGATCGTTGTTGGGCATCTAAGCGATGATGACCTTATGTTAGTGACTGACCATGTTTCCTTGGTGCGATAGCGAGATGGCTTGGCATGGGGGATGTAAACGGAAGAACGACTTGATGGAACAATACGATACATCTTGGGGCAAAGGAAGAGTCGACCAGTGATCATCAAAGACAAGCAGCGTAGACTAAATTTCAATGCGAGCAAAGGGGCAGACATGATGAACAGTTACACCAAGGTAAAGCACGTAGATTCAACAAGAAGCAAGGTTACAACAGCAAGCACGCAGAGCGAGAACCAAAGCAAGCACTTAAAGACCAAAACACAACCATGCAACTACAAACACGCGAGTATAAACTTACCTGGACGTTGACGGAGCCGTGGCTATCGTAGAGAAAGGCCCAGCCATCGTTGTTGTTGTCGTTGTTGTTGTTGCCGTCCACCGCCTCTTCCATCCCAAACTCAAAAAAGTTATCGCCGTTGTTCCCACCAACGTCGTCGTTGAAATTACCCATGTCGACATTGAATTCGTTGTCAGACATGGCGGGATTGGCAACGTCGGCGGGATAAAAGCTGCCGTCGGCGGGGAATGAACTGTTGTCGACTGCAGCGACGGGGACGGAGGCGAAGGCAGCAGCGGCAGGGACGGCGGCAGGGATGGGAGAGGCAGCGAGAGGGGCGGGGTTGGCGGGAAAGACGAGGGCGGGGTCCTCCTCGGGGCCAGCAGCGAAAAAGTTGCCGGCGAGAATGCCGTCGTCGGCGGCAGGGACGGGAGAGGCAGCGAGAGGGGTGGGCCTGGCGGGAAAGACGAGGTCGGGGTCCTCGAGGCCAGCAGCGAGAAGGGCGTCGGCGAGAATGCCGTCGTCGGCGGCAGGGACGGGGTGGTTGGCAGGGACGGGGCTAGCGAGAGGGACGGAGCCAACAGCGGGGAGAACATCGTCGGGGGCGAAGGCGGCGACAAACGCATTGGCATCATTTTGATCGCCAAAGAGAGTGGCATCACCGCCAAAGAGAGCCTCGAAGTTGGACATGGTGACTGAGAAGTGGGGGCGAGGGAGACAAGAGGTTGAAAGAAGCGGGGAAGGTGGGGAAAGAGAGAGGAAAGAGAGAAGGAAGAGAGAAGAAGAGAGAAGAAGAGAGAAGAAGAGAGAGAGAGAGAGAGAGAGAGAGAGAGAACGGTGTAACCCGCGGAGCTTGGTCGAGTGTGTGTTTGTGTGTGTGTTGGGTCTTGAGATCAGTGTCCCAAGAGAAGAGAAAAGGTGAAGAGTGGGTTGGTAGAGGTACAGTTTGAGAAGGCGTCTTGTAGTTCAAAGTACTGTCAAGATATTGTTTATCTGGTAGTAGTGTGGACTTCAAGCTTGCTGTGCACGAGGAAGGAGAGGAAATCCAACCGAGAAGAGAGGAGGGACCAGCCTCTTTTATAAGATGGGAAACCAGAATGTCGGGCCATTTTCCTGGACATCAAAGCAGACAAGATCAAATGTCCATCTTGCCTTTTCAGCAAAAATGCGGCGGTCTTCCGAGACTACATGCAGTTATTCAGATAATATTACAGTAACGTAACCCACGTGTCGTTGCGGGCATTGTAAACAAGTTCATACACTCTGGCAGTTCCAGCACAAATGAGGCGGTGTTCCAAGGCTACATGCAGTTTTTCAATATTACCTGTACAGCAACCCAACCCACGTACCGTTGCGCGGATTGTAAACAAGTTCATACACAGTAGACGCCACCTGTCTCTGCTGATACGCTTCTGGATTCGACTCGTTGTCCGGCATGCTTGCACGGACAGTGTGCTGTAACTCAAAGCCCGGCTCGCCGTAGTTTCCCATGAATTCCAAAGCCAAAGTCAGTGTCTCCGACTTGATCTTAGCCTCGTCTGCCCCACACTCTGCCACAGAACCGTTCTGCTCCTCCTCCATGTCTCCAATCTTGCCCCTCCACCCAAGCACAAAAGGCTCAGTCTTGACAATACGTGGCCTTCCCCCGGCTGTCACAAGCTTGACGGTCCTCAGAAAGCTGGCAGGTGTGCTGTTATCCTCGTCCACGCCCTTGACAGTAACCACATGCCTGCCTCCTGCAGGGTTTGCGTCTACGTCTGTTTCAACAATCAACCTTCTCCGCACGTAAAAGTCAGGAACAGGAAGGCTGAGATAGTGCATGACTCGCTCCATTAAATCGTCGGTCCGAGCATATATTCGGTGGTCCGGTGATGGGCAGAGGTAATCAAGGTCGGTGTCCTGAAGATTGCAAATGACGAGATTTGTGTCTGGTTGCTGCGTCTGTTGCTTTTTTCCCTGAGCAGCGGCACGCTCACCAACAAGTTGGGGAAGTTCGTTTGCCGGTGTCACGGTTAGGGAAGAACCCAGAACCAGGCAGAGGTCGGCTTTCTCGCAGTGTGCCTCGGCTCGCGTCCAGGGGCCGAGAGGGAGGTCTTCAGAGAAGTGGATGATGGTGTCATGAAGAGGGTGCGTCATACAGATGGGGCATTTCCGTCCAGTCCGATGGTCGTGGAGGGGGCGGTTATCCGGGGCTACGGCATAGAAATCTGCTGCCGTTAGTGTATGGCTGTCGAAGCCATGAAAAACATATTCTGATTAAACGCACCGCGCAGAAACTCCTTTCCGCAGTTCTTGCAGTACTCAATATTGGTGTTTCCATGCAGCTCCGAGATCATGTCCTATAGTTACGTGGCCACACGATGGGGTCAGCGTCCAGCTGCTTGTATCAACGGGCTTGTAACTCATCCCGGAGGACTTGGACCGTCACCTACAGCGCGTATGCCACTTCGGCGATGCAGTCCATCGCAATTCTGGCTGATGAGCCCCTTCAATATTCCTCTCTCTTGCAGTTCCACCAGTGCCATGTGCGTCTTTGTTGGTATTGCTTGCAACACGTCGACAGACTTTTTGGTTGCTTGTCGCCCCTGGGCCATCAGAGTCCAAACGCCTTCGGGGCCTCGGAAATCCGGTATGCCTTTGAGGTGTTATATTTGTGTTAGCTCGGCCGTCCGAGAGCGCCGAGTACGTAAGAGAACACCTAACAGGGGGGGGAAGCAAGGCTAGCGGCAGGGTGAAGTAGCAGGTAAGGCAGGAAGAAGTAAGGCTAGGTAGCAGCAGCAGGGAGAACCAAGGCTAGAGACAGAAGGCCTGGCACCAGCACTGACACCAGTACCGGCCGTGGAGAAGTGGGGTAAGGGCAGGATAACGATGGGAGTTTGACAGGTAGGGGAAGTGCCTGGACGACTCCGTCGACGTACTAGGTCGCCTGGTCTTCAAGCGCCCATACCCCTCTTCTCCAAACAGGCAAGGTGAACGCCCTGAGTCCCAACGAGTAGTGAAGCCACGATGAAAGATGGAAAGTGACGAACCGGCAGATGTAGATACCCCCGCGCCCGTAAACACGACCAAATGCTTTGACTTTCGAATCAAGTCGGCCAGCACCTTTGCTTTGCGATCGATGACCTCGGGCGCCTCGAATATCTCCTTCTTTGGGTTCTTGCGGGCGGTATGGGCCATGGTGGGCGATGGACAGCGATTGAGGGGTCTTGGCGGGGTCGAGTGTTGAGACAGCGGGTAGTGTCTCTATGTTGCCGATGAATACGGATGACGACGAGAGAAAGTGGTCGGCGACGACACAAGTTGCGATGGCGGGAGGTCGCCGGTTTTGGTACCTGAGCAAGCGCGAAGTCAGCTGACTCTACCTAGTCTAGATTGATGTTAGTACACCCCAGCGCTGTAGTGGGTGCCGTGGTACACCGGTGCCTAGAACTAGTGTGGTGGTACCCAAAGGAGAAGGGCATCGGCTATTGGCTGTTGCCCGGCCTCGCTCACGATCCGGCCACTTGGGTCGGGGACGGGTACGTCAAGGGCGCCAAGAGAAGCCGAAAGCGGCGGAATGCCTGTGGCACAGTGTAGGCACATACTACTAGTAGGGATAACTGTATCTTTCACAAAACCTAGAGGTAGAGAGATCCTCCTGATGCCGTATCATTGACGATAACATGGCCGATGACGAGAGAAGGATCCGTTTGACAATAGCAGTCTAGCACAGCACTTGATGCCTGGTCTGAACATTCCATCTTCCTAGGTAGCGAGGGAAGGGCAGGAAACCAACGTGAAGAAAATGTGGACATGCCACCAATCCTGACTGACTCCAGAGGAAGGAATGGACGGGTTTGTGCCGTGTTGTGGTGCCGACCACGTCGCCTCCTTCCCTCTCTGACAACCATCATCCGGGTTAGGTAGTGGTACCAACGGCAACTGCCATGACGGATTACCCGATGACCCCTTGCATGATCATCGCTAACGCTGGTTGACGGCGGTGTAGTGATAACAATTGTATGGCCGTGAAAACATGAACGGTTTGTTGAGGTATATGTACCCAAGAGATAGGACAAAACTTGACATTGGGAATTCCCAAATTGCGCAGAAAAAGGGGATCAACATGAAGAAAATGTGGATAGCCAGACAATCCGAATCCTTTTCCATCCAGTGGCCGGAAGGAGTTGTGGTTTTCCGTGCTGTGATGGCGACCATAGCAGCCCGCTTTGTCCCCTCGAACATCGCGAGACGGAATAGCGCAGAATTGGACTACGCTCAGTAATTGTGTTTGGAAATTCATTTGTTTATTTCCATGACAAAGCATCTGGTTGGTCCTACATCAACCCCATCGCATGTAGGTTGGTAGATGCCAGGTGGTGATCCTCCATCTCGGGTTCAAAGGTAGCCCGGCTGATGATTGATAATGTGTGGCTATACGGTGGACCACGATGACACGGAGAGGGCAATGTTCATCTGGTAAGCACCTGAGGCCAGGGGATAGGATAGGGATCAATGACATGAATCCCGAAAACATTGATGAAACAACAACAATGTGGACGAACGAGAACGCCTTTATTTCCGAGCTAATTCAATACTCTTCTGAACTAAAAGCGCCGTCCATCACATGCCTTCCACGTAGTGATGAACATTCAATCTGACTCGGGACTAGAACGATTGTGGCTGCAGAGCTAGAGGCAGAAACATTCATCAATCGGGTTAGCTGGGTGTAGGTAGTTAAAAGACATGGAGGAAGGAGTGAACGAACCTTGTGTATGCCAGAATGTGCAAGACCGAGGGCGCATGGACGAACTGACCCCCTCCTTGGCCAATTAAAAACAAACAGCCTGGCATCTCTGCTCCCCAACAGTCCGCCTGACACTACATCACTCCATCAACCCGACCATATCACAACCTGCCTTGGGTCCATCCGGTAGCTTCCATTCCTCCAAACAATCCCAGTTCTTCCCCGATACCCAACCTGTTAAAGGTGATGAGTCCATGTTGCGAATCGTGGATCTCGTGGTGATGAGTGTCCCCAAAACTCGACAAGTCCCTGGGCCTTTGGCTGATTCAACCAAAGTGGGTCCACACGCAATGTACCGCCATGTCATCGTGCCTGTGACGGTTCGTTTATAAGTCGGACTCTCTCCCGCCTTCCAATCTTCCCCCCACCACTTTCTCGCTGTTTGATCCATCAACCACCACACCCCTTTTGGTCCAGCAACAATCGGTTCGGTAATCGTTATCGAGCAGCACTAGCCACCTCAATTTCAGTCCCCATCCTCAATTCATCTTTTTCCCTCTCCTGCCGCCCCCACCAACTGACAGGTATCCTCAGCCCATCCGCATAATCCATGCTCATAACCTCCCCATGCAACCTTCTCGCTGGGCTCTCCCACCGGCTCGTGAAGCTCGTGAGAGAAACCATACCGAACATCGACGCCGACAAACAGACTGCCACTGCCACCGCCAGTCCCGGGGAACTACCCACTGAGATGCGAACAATCAGTCAGCCATAGACGAGAAGAAAAAAAGGGGCAAGCCAAGGAAACGCCACAGTTGACAGCCACATAAACACAACGCAAAATCCAATGCAAACTACAGGTAGCTGTCTACCTGTCAGTACAGAGGCAACGTCCCCTCGACCCCCCTGAATGCCTCCTCCAACACTGCCAGTCCCTCCCTGACTTCTTTCTCGCCTATAGTGATAGGCGGTGCAATTCTGAACGTCCCCCCAAAGCTGGGGTGAGTACTCAGATTACACCAAAGCCCAAGTTCATACGCGCCATCTCCGACCCTCTTGGCCAGTTCCAACCCGGGTTCTTTCCCTGTTCTTCGATCCTCGACAATCTCCACCCCAGCCATCAACCCTCGACCTCGAACATCGCCGATACAAGCATAGCGATTTTTGAGCTGGTTGAGCCCGGAGTGCAGGATCTCCCCCATCCGTCGAGCGTGCGAAACCAAGTCATCTCGGACAACGATTTCCAGCACCTTGTCCCCCACGGCGGCAGGCAAAGGGTCGTTAACATGCGTGGTATAGAAGAGGAAGTCCCTTTCCGCACAAACGTCGGCGATGGCATGGCTAGTCACAACCGCTGACAACGGCAATCCGTTGCCCAGAGTTTTGGACAGAGTCAAGATGTCCGGAACCACGCCGTCGTGGTTGACCGCGACCATTTCCCCCGTGCGACCGATTCCAGTCTGGGCTTCGTCAACGATGAGCAACATGCCACGTTTCTCACATTCACTTTTGAGCCTGCCGAGGTACCCAGGCGGAAGCACATGCATGCCGCCTGAGGACTGGATTGGCTCAACGATGACGGCTGCCAGAGACCCGCATGACTGTTGGTCAATCAGTCGCCAGCCGTAAAGCATTTCGGCTTCCCAGTCGTATTCCCATTCTTCTTCGTTTTCTTCCTGACTTTCCTTTCCATTTCCCTTGTCAATCATATCTCCCTCTTTCCATCTCCCGCCTTCTCCACTTGTCTCCTTTCCCTTCAAGCCCTTTTCTTTCCTCTTCCTGAACCCCTGATGGCACCGATAAGCATTTGGACTCGGCAACATCAATCCTCCTGGAATCAACGGCCACCCGACCCTCCGTCCAGCATGGTACTGCACACTACTCGCCTGCGCAGTAACCCCATGCCAGCTCGCTCCCAACCCCACGACCTCGAACTTCCCGGTATACGTCTTGGCCATCTTGATTGCGGCCTCGTTCGACTCTCCACCCGTGGACAAGAAGATGGCTCTATCCAGTCCGTCTGGCAGGACACTTGTCAAGCGCTTGGCCAGGTTCAACACGGGCGGCGAGAGCATGCCGGAGAAGAGGTGGTCGAGGGAGGCAGCATGGGAGCTGATGACGGAAACGATTTCCGGGTGCGAGTGCCCGAGGAGAGAAGACATCTGGCCGGAGGTCCAGTCTGTTATTGCTCGGCCATAGGGAGAGGAGGAACCGGGAGAGGGAGCGGTGAAGAGGGAGAGGTGGGATGCAGAGACGATCAGGTCGGGGAGGAAGGTGGTGCCAAAGTTGATGAGGTGGGAGGAGGCGAAGTGGTTGAGGTTAGGGTGGTTAGAAGTGGTGATGCTGGGATAGAGATTAGTGGGCAGGTTGTTGCCGTTGGAGCTGCTGGGGCGGGGGGTTAGCTTGGTGTTGTCGTGGAATTTGTGATGGCGCCTGACTTACGAGTCGCATTTCTGATCGACCCTGCCATCTTTTGGCTCGCCATTCTCCGGCTCGCTGCCGTTGACAGGTAAAGGATCAATGGTTGCTTGGAGCGATGGCATGGCGTAGAGCTACTGGGAGTACTGTAGAAGCTTTCTAAATGGAAATATGATTAATCCTGGGGTGGCTGTCTCTTTGTAAGGGTTGAAGAAATGTCAAGGTAGAGGAGGAATATCAGGAAGTTGTGGGAAATGACAAATATGGAACAATGCACAGTTGCGGGAGTGGACAGTCTTGTTTTCAAGGCATGCGTCTACGGTTGTTGGTACAGAGCCGCTCGCACAAGTCCGAAATTCAATTGTTTTTTTGTGTTTGTTTCGTTTTAGTTTTCACCACGAGCTCACTCCTACCTTCTTTGCCAAACATGACTACACTTATCCTACCTATTCGACGATAACTTGTCACAATGCCGTGGATGAAACAAGCCATCCCGTGTTGCCCCTCCAGCTTCCCCGCAGTCGAGACCCCCAAGTTTCCCCTCATGATAACAAACCAGGTCGCCACGCAAGATTGTCTTCCTGCGGCTAGTATGACATCTGATAAGGTAAGTGCTAGCGGCTGAGTCGTTGTTGGGTTGCAACAGCGTTTGCGTTATGCTAGGGCCGAGTACCAGGCCGCGGGGATACGGATGATAACCGGGCAGGCAGGTCATGGACAGTGGACAGTAAGTAATACAGGTGGGCGCGACGGGGCATGCGCAACTCTTACTCCCTTCAGGTTTCTACCTACCGACGAGTAAGCCGGTAGCGGGCAGTTTGGTAGGGTAGGTAGTGTAGGTATTTTTCAGTTCATTCTTGCCATGGATGCGATGCTATGCCGTGAGATGAGATGGCTTTGGGAGACGTGGGGTTTGAGAGACATCATGGGTACGATTGTAGGGGGAAAAAAATGGAAAAAAAGGAAACGAAAACGAAACGAAACGAAAAGTTTAAAAAAAAAAAAAAAAAGAAAAAAAAAAAGAAAAAATCAAGCGATGCGAAACCACAAGCCCCAGATACGGATACCTATTTAAAGCTCCCGCATAAGATATCGATGTACGACTATGTACATCCCACGAGTCACGGGATGGTAGATGTAATGGTATTTCACATGAAAGAGAGTGGGGAACAGCGGGAGTGCGGTGGCCAGGCTTTTGGAGAGATCATCGATGATGCTCAAGCCGCAATATGCCATGCCATTGCCATTGCCATTCCCATCGCTATGCGCATAAGATCAGGGTTTCTGACCCTGTATTGATAAGAAAAAAAAGAGAGGAAAACAAAAAAAAAAAAAAATCACAGAAGCCGGAAAGTTGGTAAAAAGAGATCCAAAGTCTTAGTTCAGATGTATGCACTGAACCGGCCGAAGCTGCATCGAGGTATTGCAGTTCAGAAAAATTTCCTTCGAGTCTGCAAATTGCAGGTTGACGCTTCTGGTTGAATTTATGTGTGAAAGTCTGCGGTTGAGAAGTTCGCTCCAGATCACGTACCTACCTAGGTATGAGGTCTCTCGTGTATCACGGTAGGTCGGCGAGGTGCAATACCTAGGTACGATGCCGGGACGATCTTGGCTGCAGACACCCGCTGACACCCGCCGGAGTATTCATTATAAAATGCACCTCTAGCTCCCTTGGTAACGGCGCTTGAGCGGTGGCGGTGATGATGCGAACGACAGATTTTCTGGTTCTTACCGCCGTACCCATACGCTGGAGAGCCAAGGAGGCGGAACTGATGACGATCAATCACGCAAAAAAGAATACCAGGAGACAATGCTTCAAGGTACTTGCATCCAAGGTACGAACAGGTTAACAAAGGAAATCAACAAATAAAATTGGGGGGTATCTCTGACACATGGCGTTACTTGCTCACTTGCTTCCAATCAATGTCCGCATATCTAAGCTCGAACTGCGAACTGCAAATAACGAGGAAACTACCCGCCGCATCCCCATGGAGATCCAGCCTCCATGAACCTGTTGTTCCTCTTGTTCTACACCTGTGGCATGGCTGATGTCGAGTTTCCAGCTTCCTCAACATGCATTTCCAAGCCCCAGTCCCAGGTATAGATGCCTGCACCCCTCCTCCCTGTTCCATTGCGATAGTGGTAGAACAGGGACGATAGAGGCACCGCGTCATCACGAATAACTTTGGCCCCCCTTCCACTCCATAATCTCCCTCGTGCTCGGCAAAAACAGCTCCGACGCCCTCCTTGAATGTCCCGGCGCCATTGCCGCCTTTCCAATTCTCGCCGCATAATCGCCCCTCTTCTTGATCAAAAACGCCAGCGCAAGCGTCGGATGAGCCGCCGCCTTCTTCCCCAGCTTCATATTATCCGTATGAAACATACTGCTCGACAGCTCCGAAGCTAGCCGGCGAGCGTCTACTTCATGTACCACCCCGTGTCCTCCCTGCCATTGCTGTCCCATAACGGCGGCTTTTCCTTTCCCGTTTGCTTGTGCTTCGGCGAGCATGTTAGCTGTCGTTCGGCTTCGTAACAGCATGTCGGCGAAGAGATCGAGGAGGTGTTTGACGAGGTTTCGGTTGTGTAACGAGAGTCGGTTGAGGGCTTCTGTCCAAAAGTCGAAGCCCATGTCTTCTAGCTTGGGAGCTGCTGGTTCTATGGCCCCTTCTTGCCTGGCGAGCATGATCCAGCTTCGAAGCACAGATTGCGAGACTAATGGTTTGGGTAGTTCCCGAAGATAAATGAGGATCAGACGGGCCGCATCGTACGGCGTGTAGGGGTCCCCTTCGGGGCCTAAGGAGTCAAAGTCAAAGTCGTCGCCGTACGACGGGCCCGTGTTGAACACGTATTTGAGGTAGGCAACGTTGTGCGAGTTGCCGGTGGAGGCAAAAAGTGATGGGTCGGTGCATCCTGGAGGATAACAGAGGGTTAGTGGTGATGTGCCACGGGAGCGTCTCGAGCGCGGAGATGCAAGAGACATACCCGAGTTGCGGATGAATTCGCAGCATTTGTACACTGACAAGGGAAATAATCGGTGGGACGTGCTCTTCCCTCGGTGGGATATTCGAATCTTGGACGGTGCAATTCGGATACTTTCTTTCAAGTCGACGCCAAACGCGCTGCCGCCGTCTTTCCCTGCTGAGCTTCCCCGCGTCTGGACACTAAGCGAGTGCGACGCCGGCGCCATCCCGTATTCCGATCTGCTGGCTGATGACGATAACGATGATGGCCCAAATGGTTCGACGCTTGGTAATGAGACGTTGTCGAGCTGTGGTCGGTCTAGCTTGTGTGGCGTTAAAGATCGCTTGTGGTCCGCTGGCGCATTTCTTCTCTCGCTCGACGATCCAGGCCAGATGCGTGCAAGTAACCCGCCCATCCGACGCGATGTGTTCTTGATATTTCGACTTTTCTCCTCCAACGGCCCACTGGTGGTTGACGACAACGACTGCTTCCCGGGCGACCCATCCATTACCAACATTGGCCTGCCAATGGATATCGACCGCATATGTGCGCGACTGGGTTGGACTTCTGGGGTCTCGAAGCTAGATAAGCCGGATACCGTATCGGCTGTCCCTAGATTCGGACCATGTGTAATGGAGACGGCATCGACGTCAGGAAAGAAATTCGACATGTTCGATACCGGGCGTAAACTAGGTGTCCTCTGTCCGCAGCTGGACGTGGCTGAACCGAGGCGAGAACGGTAAGGTGTCGATAAAGGGTGGAAAATGTCGTCGAACTGGAACCCGTTACAAGTAGGCGTGATGGGTGCGGGTGTTGAGGGACTGGCGGTGACGCTCATGTCGTCTCGACTCGTTAACAGTTCAGGAACATCGTGGTGATGATATGGGATCCGGGAGAGTCGGTGTGAGAAGCTGGGACTCGGTAGGGAGATGGCATGGCTGTCAGTTGTTCGGGCATGGCCTATAGAGGCTGATCTCGACAGTACGAGATTCGCGGGGCGGGGTGCAGCAAGAAACGTCCGTGACTGCGACTGTTGTGGGTAGTGATGGTCCCTGTCGTTCTTGTAGTCGACGTTACACTCGCTCGAGGAGAGGTCCGAGTCTGGGTCTGCATCGACATCGTCGGTCCACATTGCTGCGTGGGACATGATCCTGTCTGTTTTCCGATGCCTAGGATAATTTCATGTCTAGTCGAGGTGTCAAAGATGTGGCGTAGGTTTTTCCCGGTCTTGTCGGCTCGAGGGGGGTGACTTGGCCTCTTCAGTCTTTTTATCCGTCCAGGGTGGATTTCCTATTTGAAGCCCGAAAAGGAGCAAGGGATTTCAAGTACCGCACGGTTGGCGTACAAGATATAAACGTCACCTCTTCCTTGATGACAACCCTGGTGACGCCCCTGGTGATGTGGCCCGGGTGGCTTGCTGTTGGGCGGCCCGGTGGCTTTTTGTTTGTTCTTTGTGTAGATCAAGGGCTAACACGAAGGAGCATGTCTCGCCAGGGAGTGTTGGTTGATTTGTACAAGCGGGGGTGATGGATGATGTGCGCCAGAGAGGGCGGCAATAATTGACCTCGAGTATCGTCGACTATCGTGACATGTCGTGCTGCTGTGTATCGCATATGACCAAACGATATTAGATGAACTACCCGGTCGGGCCAAGTGAGACAAGGTCGACGAGGAATTGTACATTATCTGGGTGCGGGTACCGAGGAAGTGCCGGTGGGGGCATGCCGGGATTCCGATATCTGGGGGAGGGAGGATCCAGGTACGGCATAGGAGACTAGGCCATTTGGAAGTAAACAAGGGCGAAACGAAATGAACATCGGTTGTTGCGTCGTATTGAGCCATCTCGGCATGTCGTATTGAAAGAAATCCTGCTGGCGGTTACATGTCATGTTCAGTTTGGATAGCGACCGTTGCCCACTGTCGATCAGGTTCATGCCAAGTATTTGAATGATACGCGGAGTGTTTAGTTTTTGCAACACTGAAACAGGAAACACGCCACAGATGATAACTAAGTGAGAGAAAAAAAAGGGCAAAGGACGGGAGAAGGGAAGGGAAAAACAGGGGACTTGTCCTAGTCCAATTGTCCTTCGGAGGTTCTGCCTTTTCTGGGGTAATTGTTAGGGAAGCCCGGGAAATTGGGGTTACGACAGGCACGGACGGACAACACAGTGGAGGCAGGGACGAGGGGTCTATTTTGGCGCCTTGGGTTTCCCTAGGTTAGGTTGTAGCGTCTCATGCCCTAAAGAGCTATCAATTGTCACTGAAAGAGGAAGGAAACAACAGTGAGCCTCATCAGTATCGGGCACCGGACGAGCATCCACCGAACCTAAATCCACCGCCTCCACACCGCTAAACCGGCTGTGCCTGACGAGAGGAAACGCCCAAGTTTCACGGCCTTGTCCTTGTCCAGTCGTTTACGCTAAAAAGTGACGACACCATCACAGAAAAATACTCGGAAGAAAAAAGAAACAACGGTTTTTTTTTTTTTTTTTTTTTTTTTTTTTTTTTTTACAGTTTCCCTTTTCAGAACGTACCATTCCCTCTGCTGTGCCCGTTGTCATTATATCCGCGGTTCTTGGGTTTTGAAAAGGGGTGTTTGATCATTTGTTACAGCTCCTCTTATTGACACGTCAGTTCCAAGGCAGACTTTGATGACTGCTGCCATAACAGTGTCTGATATCGTCCTCACAATTTCGGCTTTGCCTTTGCAGTCCATCTGTTTTGTCGTTGCATACCTCGGATCTCAACAATGCCATTCATCGTCCTACTTACCTTTACATATGCAACCACCTGACCGCCGTAGACTACTCATTTATACGCTATTTCATCTCGTCGATAATCCCTCATTCTATCACATTTCACATCTAGCACGGAGCAGGATCAAGAACAAGACCCCCGGTGGGCATCACATGTCTGCCCTCAGCGCTACCCTATCCCTTTTAACCATATCAGGAGAGTCCGCATGGCGTGCCATCGATACAAGGGTGCTTTACCATAACCCGACAAAAATCTCGCACGGTTGGGACTACACGCAACCCCATCCCAGGCCACCCGTCAATACTTGCTTTTTGACCTACAACCGTCGCTACTTTGCACAGTTTTGAAGGAATAGTTGAGCGATTCGAGGTAACATCTGCCCCTTTTTATGAGTTTCGTACATTGTTTGGTACTTGGGAGATGGACGGTCAGCTCCAGATCACTACCTGACGGATACTGATTGTTTGTCAACCGATCGATGTCCACCACCAACACCCGGGTTGGATCGCTTCCGTCTTGGAAACATCATCGGGATCATCAATGCCGTTCGGTCCTGCCAGAGCAAACAATCGCTCAAACCTGTTACCAACAGACAAGCTGCGCATTCGTTGGGAGGATATCAGGAACCTTCGATGCAGAGAGCGCAGTGCAAATTGAGTATTTCCGATGGTGTTGGACTGTGGCGCTGGCATGGTCGAACAGGACTGGCCATGGCGTGCTGATAGGTATATAGGGTGCTTTTCGCCGTCATATCTGGCCAAAGCCCATTGACAAAGAAAAAGACGACGCGGTCTTGATGCTCAGTCTTCGACTTCATCGTGGTCTGGGCCGAAAGCTGCCTCAACTGATGCTCGTGAGACGAGGTGTGCAGAGTGCAGAGGGGTGCACTAACAGCATGCCTCGGTAGAACGGTAGGTAACTGTTAGTGCTGACTACTCCGCATATGACCACTAGAACTTGCGACAATTGATAGCACCAGGCAACTAACAAAATCCATTGGTTGACAGCTTGACAGACGGTCAATGAGCCCAGTCTCGGTTCATGATCAATTGGAGAATACAGGTGACGCAATCGATAGAACCCTCCCAAGCTTCCAGAAAAAAAACACAGATTTCCGTGACACGGGTCGCCTCATCTAGTCAAGTGTTTGCGGCGCACCGTCATCACCTCGCTAGGTACACAAGCGGTGTTTGCCCGTAAAGAAGGTCACCTTTTCCACTACTTTGGTTCTCGTGACCGCACATGGCAATCCGGGGAGACTAGGTAAGAAGGTCATCGTGGTCCGCGAGTCGTTCGTCCGTCCTCGCATTCGTCCGTCTGTCCGTCCGTTTCCGGCCCGGACTCAAATACCTTCTCCGGTATCCTAGATTCATGAAGCCGGCGTAGGTTGCCCGGGACGGACCGGCGTGAACAGGAAGTCAAGTGTTGTGCACCTCAAGACACGGAATGCCGAGCAGTGAAACTCACGGCGCGGCTAACGATATGCCGTATGCTGCATACAATGCGTGCGATCTGAAGAGAAGCGAGGTAACGCCGGAAATAACAAAGGCTGTTCACCAAGATGAGACCATCTGATTTCATTCCCCCAGGTGCAGGTACAGTAACACAGGGGAGGTTTTCCTCCGCCGTAGTAATTGGGGCTATCTCATCACCGTGTTACTTGCCGGTTCCCAACCATAAAAGGATTTAACGTCCGTTGTTGTGTCCCCGTCACCTCATCCACCGAGGCTCGGTAAGTGCGCTGAGACGGTGACACAGCTTGTTTGAAACTTTTTGGTCGCAAGCTACCACTAGTAAAGCTGCTGTTTTGCGTATCCAAGGTGTAATTCGCACACTCGGAAGATGAGCGCGAAGGATGGAGGTTGTTCATGAGCTAAGTACGAAGAGGATAATGTTTTGGATGTCGACGGCCGAGAAGCAGAACTTGGAGTCGTCCAAAGTCAACCAAGACATTTCAGGGCTAGACCCTGATGTCTCAGATCCCTTTCGCAGGGTGCCCTGACTTGTTAGTAATCAGGACCCTGTTGTTTCCAATTGGTTGTTTTCCCGCGGCAAACGCTTCCCCCTTCGATAACTGACGTCGAGCGGTTGAGTCGATCCAACAGCAGAGAAGATAGGACAAAGATTCGAGATTGAAAAGTCTCCAGATAAGGAATAGATTCGGAAAACGGTACTACAATGGTTGCGAAGCGCGAGTACCATCTGGACGCCTTCTCTTCCACTTCCTGTTTGTCCCTCGTCCCACAAGTTCACAACTTCCAAACAAAACCCCGCGCCAGACAAGACATGGGAAGCAGAGAAAGAGTTCCCCGCATCATTTACTAGAACCAGTGGAGACACCATCGCCGTCACAATTATAGTGTAAAGCAAAAGCTTGACGAAAAGCTTGATCATCACCAAAATCCACCTCCTGGACTGCAGTGCGATCCCAATCTTCTCTAGCGGCCACTGCAGTGATTTGAGTTGGCAAATGGTCCAACGATTGGAACTGAAGGCAACCGCCACACAGGCCATGGATGCGTCATGCTTACGGCGCACAGACCACAATTGAGAACCTCTACGGCCAGCATCCCGCTTGTGGGCCCCCGGTCCATTCAGAAAATGCGTGACAATCTGCGCGGAAAAAAGGAGCCTTTTTTACACTAAAAGGGCACAAATGGCAACGTCGCAATGAAATATGGCCCGACTGTTGGATCCTCAGTCCATTGCGATATATACCACATTTGATCATATTATCCTCTCTCTCATGGAATGCTTCATTGTCTTGTGGCCGATTGACAACAGGTTACTTTGTACTCGGCACTCGCGGCTCAATATGATGGACGGACCATAGCCGACGATCCACTTTACGTCAAGTCCCCGGGCCATCTCCGAACTTGAACTGTCAAGTTGAACAACGGGAACGGCCCCGGAGCCGCAAGGGAAGCCCTACCGACAGCCCGATGGAAGATGGTGGCGAAGGAATAAGATATGATGCCATGCCAGAGATGCAGCTCATCCATGCGGTCTGTTGGTGCTCCTTCCTTGTCTCCAACAGGAAGCTGGCCAGCCAACAAGGTCCCCTCAACGAAGAAGAAGGAAGGAAAGTGTGGTGGTGGTATCAGCAGCCCCAGCCCAGCCAGGGCCCATTTGGCCATCAAGGTCCTCAAAAAAAAAAAACCGGCATGACAACATCCCAGCCGCCGCGTTCCATACAAACAGAAACCGACACGAGCTAGCAACTTAACCTAATAATAATTAATACCTTGCGAACCTCGCGGGCCATGGTCTGGAAAATTCTGCTGCCATCACTTCATCACTCAGCTCCATCTTCCGATTTTCGGTCTCGGTCGCAGATATTTATCTTCAATTGCTTCCCTTTGCTGGTAAAGACCTACTCAGTTCTGGTTACCACCACCGTTGCCGTCACTTTATCTCGCTTTTGTGTGATCGATCCACAATACACAGCATCACAGTCCAACGCAGGCGGCTGGTTGCAGTTTGGACGACAAGACGCCTTTCTGGAATCCGGATTTCCAAAATAACTGATTCCAACCTGCAGACCTGCCGTGTATAAAGCTCCACACACTTTTTTTTCTTTTTCTGGAAGCAATCTCAACTACTTCCTTTTCCCCGCTAACAACAGCTGGTCTGCGAGCTCCCAAGTTGCCAGCATCAAGTGGAAGCTCCAGCGCGACCATCAAGCGAAGCCAGACTCTACCTCTAGTCTCTAAAACTAGTCGACTTGCTCCACAACAACAAGTGCCACGTCGCTCAGGTACGTCGCTTATCCATCGCCCACCCCCCTCCCTCCTTCCGACCTCGCGCGTCGGACACAAAGTTTCCCCACATCGGCCCCTCCCGTTGTGCAGTTAGCTCGATGCTCTGCGTTACCTCGCTTGTTGTGGTATCGTCTCCTCAACCCATCATCACTTTCTTTCAACCTTCTCTCCTCCTTCTTCTCCTCCTCCTTCTACTCTCTCACCTATAACCTCATCATCATCATCTCTCTCTCTCTCTCCTCGTCAACGCCATCTGACGAGTATCATAGTGTTATCAACAAACATGTCTTCTGCTGAGCCTTTCAACCCTCACAGTGTTGACCTGGACACTGTGGACCCCAAGGCCGTGGTCTGCTACCTCAACTCGTCTCCAAACGACTACAATGGTCGTATCGGTCTCCGTATCTCGGCCTTGTTTGTCATCATGGCCACCTCGTCACTCACCACCCTTTTCCCGGTCTTGGCCACGCGCATTCCCCGTCTGCGTATCCCGCGCTATGTTTACCTCTTCGCCCGCTACTTCGGCGCCGGTGTCATCATTGCTACCGCTTTCATCCACCTCCTCGATCCCGCCTACGAGGAGATCGGCCCCGCCTCTTGTGTTGGTATGAGCAAGGGCTGGGACTCTTACTCCTGGCCTCCTGCCATCGCCATGACGGCCGTTATGCTCATCTTCTTGCTGGACTTTGGCGTCGAATGGTATGTCGAGCAAAACTACGAGTGTGATCAGGCCGACGTGAGCGTCGAAAAGGTCATCACCACCTGCCCTGGCCACTCCACCGACGGCGCGAATTCCTCCGACGAGGGCCACAGCTCCGAGTCTCACGACGACTGCCACAACAGCCCTCACAAGCCGTCCACCACCGGCCACGACGCTCATCACGGTCACCAGTTCCTCCACTCCGGCGATCAGGACGCCCCGACCCCCATTGCTCTTCAGACTGCTGCTTTGCCCACCACCGACTCTCATGGCCACGACACTAGTAAGGACACCATCGACATCGAGTCGCACGCCTTCCTCACCGGCGAGTCCCCTGCTTCCGAGCGCATCTTCCGCGAGCAGATCGCAGCTTTCCTCATTCTCGAGTTTGGCGTCCTTTTTCACTCGGTCATCATCGGCCTCAACCTCGGCGTCGTCGGCGAGGAGTTTTCCACCCTCTACCCCGTCGTTGTCTTCCACCAGGCCTTTGAGGGTCTGGGTATCGGCGCCCGTTTGTCCTCGATTCCGTTTCCAAAGCGCCTTAGCTGGATGCCCTGGGCTCTGTGCGTCGCCTATGGCTTGACCACTCCGATCGCCCTCGCTATTGGTCTGGGGGTGGCGACCACATATGAGAGCGCTGGCTTCACTGCGTCGATCATCTCGGGTGTGTTGGATTCCATCTCGGCTGGTATCCTCCTGTACACCGGCCTCGTGGAGCTCCTCGCCAGGGACTTCCTCTTCAATCCCGACCGCACTCGCGATAAGACCCGCATCCTCTTCATGCTGGCTTGTCTATTCGCTGGCTGCATCCTCATGGCGTTGCTTGGCAAGTGGGCTTAAGCCACAAGGCCTCCACACACCAAGGGGGTCACCGCGATCGGGAGAAGATGTTGTCATGACTGTTGACTTTTTCGAGCAAGCGAGTTATTTCTTGTTCAAGGGATCTGTGGTTGGCTTGGTTGCATGGATGGATACCCCCTCGGCATTTGCATTTGGTTTTTTTGATTTCTTTATTTTGCTGGCAAGTTCGGCGTTACGGATCAATGCATGATGGAAGGAAAATGGGAAGGAATGGGTTACCTCATGAGTGAAGGAACAGGGACGGAAAATGGAACACAGTACATAGTCATAGTGGTAATCCCATTGGGCGACAACCAGGCCGTCCTGTGAAGGTTGATAGACAATGGTAGCTTAATTGTACAAGTAATACTCAGCTTGCCCTTGCCACTGCGCCTCGTGAATTTGGATGACCCGGCTGTTATATCTGGTCGTTTCAAGGAGGGATCGTAGGGAAACTCAAGGTCTCGCACAGGAGGAATCGATCCATGTTTAGACATGGCAAGGACCAAGACCTGTGAGGAACAGCATACATGGAAGGGGGGGCCCGAGTGCCTTGATGCATAAGTATGCAAATAAAAAGGAAAACGATCGGGAAGATCGCCTTTTGCTTCGTGAACTTGAACGACTGATAAAACCAATCCTGGTGGCAACCCCTGATGGTACACCCCGACAATGACCATCGTAAGTAAACCTACCTTATTCAAGAAACAACAATCCATTTGCCCCAACAGTCAGTCGATCACTCAAGCTCAGATTCCATCCAGGACACCAATAAAAAATAAAAAAAATAAACGTTCGACATGCATGCATGCATGCATGGCCGAAGAAGATGATGGATGCCAAGCATCATAATCCCCACCCCGGCCGAAAGTCAGATGAGGAGAAAGGAAAAAAAAGAAAAAAAAAAGAAAAAAAGAAAGCGATCCACCCAGGGGTCGAACCTGGAACCTCCTGATTCGTAGTCAGACGCTCTGCCATTGAGCCAGCGGACCTTGTTTGATTGGTTGATGTCAACGGGCTTGAACCAAGTTCCTATAGTACTATGCAAAAGGTTCCGTCGTGACCATCGCGGTGTGAGGTCGAGGTAGGATGCTCTGGCCTAGGGGAGGAAAAAGAAAAAAAAGGGGGGGGGGGGGGAAGGAAAGAAAAAGCGGATAGTATTGATATAATAGTAGAGAACCTAGGTAAGTATTCAGCAAGCGAACTCCTTGCATTATATATAATAGCGGCCAATCGGGCAAGTTGCGAGTGTCCACGGCGTCTTCGTCTGGGGATTTTGGACCCTGCGTTAATGTAAGTTGCGATGGGAGGAGATAGAGATTTTTAATAGGTTTGCGAAAGTATTTGACATGTTGACTGGCGCCAGGTAAACAAAACGCAAAGGATACAAGAATAAATAGATGGAGATAGTAGTATGTTGCTTGCAGATTGTAATCTGGATCGCTGATGGTAGTGATGGGCCAGATAGGGTAGCGATTCATCGGCGGTGCCCGCTTCTCGTCCGTTGGATATACTATTTCGTCTAACCAGGAAAGGTTAGAGGTACTCGGAGAGGCAGAACTGGACCGAACTGAAGGTGAGTTGTGCGGGCAACTTTTGTTGTTATTGTTTGCACTTTTGCTCGCCAATTGCACGGTCTTCAGTCCGCTGCAGACCAACGCGCTCCCATCTTTGGCTTCTCATCTTACCCCTCCTTGTTCCTCGTCGATCGTTCACTTTCCTTTCCCTAACTCGAAAATGAATGAATGCCTCCGTGATTGAAAAGTTTCTCAACCGCATCCTCACCCTATCTTACCCCTTGATTCTCCATCTGTAGTCCCGATGATCCCACCAGTTTTCGCCACCTGAATGAAGCTAGAGGCAGGCAGTTACCTCCTCTCCCCTCCCGTTTCTCGTTTCCCGCCCCTATCTCTACTACTAAGCCAATAAGAGAAGAACTACCGCCTTTTAGACTCGACTCGGTGAGTCGTCGTTTGCCGCCGTTATCCGTTCAACGCCCTCCCTTTCATCTTTCACCAGAGGCACTCTCCAGTCTCCAGCAGTCCCATCGCGGGACAGAGTTGACGCAGACGGCAGAAGGAAGCTACATACCTTTACCGACCTCGGCCCACTGACTTTACGCAATACTTTCAACTCAAATAGTAAGACTCCCAAAGAATATCTAGAAAATCAACAATAGCACAGAATCCGTGGACATTCATCTGGTTTGGCGCTGAACTGCCCCTGGAGACGACACATTTCCGTGCGATGGATTGGCAGCTTCCGACAGGGAAGGAACTCTATCGAAGCTCTTTGCTCGTCCGTTTTCTCACCACTTTCTTCGTCCTTTCAAGGAACGGCGTCTTCCTCGGTGTACAAAGACCAGGTCTACCCGATGGTTGACGATAGCGCAAAGTCCGGTGAACCCTCGCCCCTCCGCTCATTTCACCCCATCCAAACAGTCAACCCAAACGAGGAAGGAAGCCACGCCCCGACCGCCTTAATCTCAATCACCGATCATTCGTCGCAACTTGCTCCTTCCAAGGCATCAACTTGCTGACTTTGACAAGTCAGATGAATAGTGTAAGCTGCCAGAAGTTTCTGGGCTACTCTGTTGCTCCGTGGGAGGGTATAAGAACTCTCTCTCTTCCTACTCTCGATAATCTTTCCCCTCTTCTCTTTTGCATCGACCTGCCTTCAAGCAAAGTGGAACCTTCGCGTCTTCGGGATTTTCTACTACAGCACCAGGATCTACCGAGGGAAAAACAACATTCAAGATGTCTCCCTGGTAAGCACTTCCTCTCCCTTCCCGACTTCTCCCTCGATCTCCATCTCGTCTGCCCCAACTTACTACCTCGCCCAACTACTCGCCGCAACAGACAGCTAACAGATATTGTTCCTCAATAGCTCGTGCACCTCTTGCAGCGGCTGCTCTGGCAACTGCTCTGGCTGCGGATGCAGCTCTTGCTCTGTAAGTTACCTTTCAGTTCTTTGCTTCTGCTTCTCCCCGTCACTCTTCTGTGACTCTCCGGTTCCTTCAAGGCTGCTTCGCACATCCTGGAGCTGCTGCATGTCTTGGGGTCTTTGGTTCCTTGAAGAACACAGACTAATTACTGGATTTTACCGGCAGCACTAGACGCTCTGGTGCGGCAAGCATGCTTAGTTTGGCATGTCTTGCTCCAACGCACTCCTCCACTTCATCTTGTCGTATTTCAAATTCCACCATGGCACGATCAACCGTATTCGGCAGCAACAAGAAAACTGAAGGGATGGGAGGTGTTGCTGGAGCACAAAGGCGATATGTGATCTTGGGAATGGAGACGAGATAATGGCGGGAGAGGATAGACGCCGACACGGTTCATTGACTGTTGATCGAGACCTGTCTTGCCATGGATGATTGGTTATGACTTGTTATCCGGCAGACGGGGGCTCGAAACAGGGACCAGTTTATGACATACAAATGAACATCACCACTCACTCATTCTTGCTTTGATTTCGGTTTTCGTAGCAGTTGCAATGAGACGTGACATTTGCTCTCCGACGAATCTATATACGGGTTTTAAGCACAGCCATGAAGGAAAGAAAGGGATATTTACCGAGGACCTCACAAGAAACCTTGAGTGTCCTCAGAATGGCCATATGTACAACCACCTCAATTATATCATTACACATCACCAACCCCCTTTCCCTTCTCGTCCCTCGCCAACGGCCCATCTGCAGCAATACCGCCCTGTACCCCCCTCGCCTCTTCCCTCTCCCTCACCTCCCGCTCCTCCCTCCTCCTCCTCCTCGACCTCCTCTCCATATACGACAGGAAAGCCGTCCAAACCGCCAGCGCAACACTCGTCCCAATCATAGCCCACATCCCCCTCTCAAACCACGGCGCCATGTCCGCCCCGTAAAACACTATGCTCCACCACGCATTCACAGCATTATTCCCCATATTCATCCCCGCCAGCACCACCCCTCTAAACACGGCCTCCTTCCCATCCCTCGTCATCGCGTCGTTCGCCCATGCGAAAAAGGTCGCTTGACAGGCGTAGATAGATCCAGACAGGTAGTACATCCCCATCACCACGGCCGTCGCTTTGCTTCCAGCTGGATCTCCAAAGTGTCCATGTTCTGCTGCGAGAATCAAAGAGGGGGTAAGGACCCCGATGATGCCGATAAAGTAACCCACCATGGACCGGTGGTGGGGGTACAAGTCCGTGATGAAGGCGAAGAAGAGGGTGGAGAGAATCCCGACGGCTGGAACGCCTGTTGGGTAGGTGTTTAGTTGGGATATGGTGTATTTTGGGGTTGTGGGAGTATTGGACGGGTGGGATTTGAGGTAGAGAGATAAGAGGGCGTTGGAGGAAAAGGACTCGGTTTCGCCTGCGAGGATCCAGAGGAAGATGAAGGAGGGGCAGTGGTAAGATGTAAACAAAGAGCGGAGGAAGGGGAGAGAAAAAGGGTGGGTTTTTGTGAGGGAGGATTCGGTTTTTGCCGCGGCGTGTGCTGTCGCTGTCGCTTCGGGGCTGTTGGAGGGGGTGGAGGAGAAAGAGGAGGGGGAGGGGTGCTGGTGGAGATGCCCCTGGTGATCGATAGAAGGTGATGGCTTTGGTTCGGGACGTGGTTGCGTGCCGGGTTTCGAGACAGATGTTTCAGCCTCAACAAGCGTATCCCCCGACGACCTCCCCACTTCCGCTGGCTCACCCTGCTTCTTCTTCTCCATCCTGCGTATCGCCAACTCCCGTTCCTCCACACTCAAATACGGCGCCCTCGTCGTCTTGGGCGTATCGGGAAACAGACAAAACCCATATATCGCCACAGGCAGCGTAATAATCCCATCAATAATGAACAACCACCGCCACCCGCTTAAGCCCCTCAATCCATCCATACTCCCATGAATCCCACTCTGCACAAACCCGCCAATCATGGTCCCTGCCAGTCCACTCGCAGTAAACACCCCGGATCGCTTCCCCAGCTCTTGCTCCGTGTACCAGCTTCCGAGGATATAATGCGTGCCGACAAAGGTCGTTGACTCGGCAATCCCCTGGAAAAAGCGAATAGCCATGATATCGCCGGGGTGTCGAGCGGCGGCAGTGACCATGGTCAGACCGGCCCAGAGGACCATCATCCCGGGAAAAAAGATGCGCGGGGGGATGTAGTGGAGAGATAAGTTGGAGGGGATTTGGCCGAGGACGTAGCCGATGGTGAAGCACGTGTTGATTTGGTTGAGTTGGTTCCCACGAAAGGAAAGGGACTCTTTCATGCCGGAGACGTAGGCGTTGGAGAGGGCGGTGCGGTCGAGGTAGTTGAGGAAGTAGGAGAGGCAGCAGAAGGTGAGGATGAAGAAGTCGATTTTGAGGAGGAGGCGGCGCTCGAGGGGGTTGGAGGTGGTGCCGGGACGGAAGTAGGAGCGGAGGCGGGTGGTGAATCCCGTGGACCCGGGGGTGGGATGTCCCGTTGGAGGTGGTTTGGCCATTCCTCCGGTCGGGGGTGGGTTAGGTGAGTTGGTGTGGCGGAAGTTGCTCAAGTATTTCTAGGTATGCCGATAAATGAGGGCGGTTGACGGTGGTGTAGACTAGGTCTGGCTCAATGGCGACTTGTTCGACGTCCGGTTGATGTTGTGAAGTGATGTTACCAGAAGAAGGGTATTGTCGTCGTGATGGAAATGCCAATGTGAGATATCAGACAGAGAAGGGACGTCGGACGTCGTCTGGACCCTGCAGGTGTGATCAAACCCCTTTACCCGTTCGCCCGTCTGCCCGTCAAGCGTCAAGCGTCGACCTGTACCGCTGAGGCGGCGTCGGACTGCTTGCGCCAAATGTCCAATGATGAAATGATCGACGAAAGGGCGTCGTCCGCGATCCGAATCAAATCAATTCCATCAATCAGTGGTCGGCATTTGGATACCTAGTGGTGTGGTATGATGTCGAAGTTGTTGAGATGTCGATCGATAGGTACAGCCCACCCCGGCGATAGGTCAGTTTTCTTGGGACTATTATTCGTAGGATGTTGGCCTAAAATGAAATAAAAAGACTGAAAGCGGTTACAGGTAGGTAGGACGGTAGGTAGGTACGCAGGTATTCAAAACATAAACAATGTTTGGTGGGCGTCGTCGTCTTACTGTGTAGTCCCAAAGTGACGTCGGGACGGGGTGGGGAGCACGGTCGGTGGTCGGTTGGTCGGTCGGCCGGTCGGTCGGCCTTTTATCAGAGTTTTGCGCCAAGCGGTAACACTCAGTGGAGGTCGCGGGGTTGAGTACATAAGACGACAGAACCTACCTAGCTAGGTTCCAGACATTGAGCCCCTCATCACCATTACCTACATCGATCGCGTCTATTATAATCGAGTGTCAGTTGGAAGGAAGAACTCGAATAAAACGACCCGACGGATGCTTCCAGAAAGCATCGACTTGTAGTGTAAATTGTTAGTATCGATGCCCCCTATTGCGTCAAGAACCCCGCTATTAACTTGAGCATAGTATGCCCACAGCTCACTGAAAACGGCCACCCCGCCGCCACATGTCATTATAAATGCCATCAGAAATACATAACGTGCAATTATTCCATCAATATGCAAACATGACAGCTTACAGCCATCAGTCATCATAACCCCCAGGCCATCTACTTCTACAAATCCACCTTCTTACACAACTTGCCCGTCTGCAGCGTCAACCACTTCTTCTGGCCCTGCACCTCCCACTCCTCCGACCCAACCGCCGTCGGCGCCCAAAACAGTCCCGTGGGATCAACCGCCTTCTTGATCTGTCTCAACCTCTCATAATTGCTTCCGAAATACGCCTCCCCGAATTCCGGCTCCATCACATCCCCCTCATTCAAATACCCCCCAGGTCCATAACCCCGAAGTCTACCCATCCAATCCTCGGTAATCTTCCTGTTGATGGCCTCCACGCCAGCAGCATTGAGGCTGGAATTCCAAGAAGTGCCAAAAATACCGTACCACACCGTATCGCGCCAGTGCGAGTTGGCCGCGCTGTCAGGAGTCCCAGCGGGGGCTTTAGCCTGCATGTTATACTGAACAAGAGCCGACCCGTCCTCAACGACAGACCGCACGGCCTTCATCATGCCCGTGAGCGTCTCCTCGTCTTCCCAGTTCTTGGCCGGGAAGAGGCGCGAGGCGGTGCGGACGGAGGTAGTACTCACCGCCTCGGGAGGATAGTTGGCGGTCCAAGCATCGTAGTAGTTATCGTACGAGAAGAACTTGGGGGATCCGACCAAGCCAGCGTTGAATCCAATCTTGGTCCACTCGTCGAGTAAAGGTTGGACGAGCGTCTTCAAGTCTGCTAGCTTCATCCCGGGAGCCCAGAAGGGATTCATCAGGAAGGCGAACCCGTCAGTCAGAGGGGACGGGAAAACCAGCGAGTACCCATGCGTGCCGGCCTTGGCGTACTCCGGGAAGCGGCGCCAGTAGGCGTACATGCCCTCCCAGAAGACGTCGTTGGAAAGAGCAGAGTTGTTGCCGGACATGACGGTGAGGGTCATACCTGAGATGTTGGTCTTGGGCCACACTTTGACGGTCATACCGGTTACGACGCCAAAGGTGGCACCGCCGCCGCCGCGGAGGGCCCAAAAGAGGTCGGGGTTGTGCGTCTCGTCGGCGGTAACGAAGCGGCCGTTGGGCAGGACGACATCGATGGAGAGGACTTGGTCAGACCCAAGCCCGGCGATGGAGGTCATGGGAGAGTGACCACCGCCGGCGGTGAAACCTCCTGCAACACCGACCGTGTGGCAATCGCCGCCGATGGCAGTGACGTCGTGTTTATTGGCAGCCTCGTATAGCTCCTTGACCTCAATACCGGCGCCAATCGTAAAGGCGGGGCCGGAATAGGACGGAGTCTTGATGGACTTGATGTACTCCAGCTTCTTGAGGTTGTGCGTCCAGATTGACAGGGCACCATAACCAGTGCTCTTGCCGAGGAAATCATGGCCCGTGTTCTTGACTACCAACCTCAAGTTCAAGTTTCTAGCAAAGTTGATAGCGAGCTGGATTTGGGCGACATTGGTGGCCTTGACGGCATAAACGGGGAATCCGCCGAGCGTGCAGGTAGACGAATTGCCGTTCTGGGGCATGCAAGTCTCGCCCTGGAACATGGGGAACATGATGGACGTGGGATCGGCGGTGTGCAGGTCAGAAGAAGTCCAGTTGGCCATGATGGTCTGGCATTTGGCGGCGTTGTAGACGCCCGAATTGGGGTAGCAGACGGCACCAATCGGGACGGTCTCGATGAGGGCGCCGCCGGTCAAGAGGTCAAAGACCTTCCAGGTGGAACGGTTGGGCCAGAGAAGGTCACCCGGCGCGGTCTTGCAGCCGGAGCTGGCAAGAAGAGTGCGCTTCTGGACCTCGGTGGTGCCATCGTCCTCGGGGAAAGCAAAGAGGGTGATGTTGGAGAGGTTGTGGTCGCTAAGGTTGGCGATGACATCGTCGGTCAAGACAAAGGCCTCGGGAGCATTTGAGTCGGCGACGGCTTTGCCGGCAGGGGCAACGGTCTTTTTGTTGGCCTCTAATTTGTGTTAGTGGTAGTCACCGCGAAGGCGGAGACGTGGAAGACGCACCCAAAACAACACCATCCTCAGTCTGGATAGTCTGGCCAGCTACAAGCTGGGAGAAAGGCAAGGCGGCGGCAGCTGCCAGAAGCAGGGCCCGGCGGAGCGAAGGGACAGCCATGTTGGAGATGACTGATCTGAAAAAGACAAGGGAACTACTCATCAACATGGGAGATCATCACCATAAGTACTTTTTCCCCTCTTTCTTTCTCTGCCCTTCCCCTCTTGACATCCCGAGGCCGTGGTGCTCTCCGACTCTCGACGAATTACCCAAGCAAGATATCATATCCACTCTGCTCTAGCGTCGCATCCCATGCCGTTTTTGGTGGTGATACGGCATGATGGCAGTGGAACCTCATTCCCAGAGGTTGAATACATCCCGCATCACTTGTGTTGACGAGTGTAACATTTTGCGGCTGCTTGGTTTAAGTGTCGGTATCCGGCCGCGCCGTGTATATGCCACTCGGCTATACCCTTCCAAAGCAGGGGTTAGGCCAGAATGCCGCCGTCGAGTGGTTCTTTGCTGAGTAGCGAGAGCGAAAGAGTGCGAGTGTGTGTTATTGTGGCATGGGTCGTGCCGTCGAAGGAGCCAAGTGTGGTTGTAGGCTACGGGCAGGGAAGTTATTGCCGAGTGGAACCGACGAAAGAGGTTGGATGCCGAAAGCAAAATTCCATGATTGATGTCTGTTCGAATCCTCGGTTCGCTGCTGCTGCAGGGGTCGTGCGGCTGGGGATGGAAAGATTCTCTGGGGGTTCTGGAGAAGTTCTGTTAATGGAGCCACTAACACGCAGCCGAATGTAACGGTGTTGCAGTCGCCCCAGTCCAAGGGAAGTCTTGCCAGACCGTGGCGATCATGTTCCTTTCCTCCTTTTCCCCCTTCCAACATGCATATCTTGGGCACTAACGATGCAGGTACTTTCGACTCGGGGGGGCTGTCGACGAATCGCATCATCCGAACAATGGCCCCGCCGGTCTCGTCTTAACCCACGAGGAACTCGGAATATGCAGCCATTTCTGGCGTCGTCTTGCATTCGCTTCCACTGGTTGTCCCTTGTCTGCTTCTCGCCTGTTGGTCGAAATCTGTTCGGCTCGCCAAGTTCTCCAAAAGGAACTCTTTCCATACATATGGATCCATACGACGGAACGAGGAGCTGGATCAGGAACCGGATGTCAAATCCGTCAACTGAAGCCTGGGTAGGAAGTCATTATTGACAATAATTGACGGCTTCATCGCCAGGTTCTCGGACTGATTGTTAGGTGACGTCGGGAAAACGGCAACATGGAATCACCTTTCCCATCTGCCGTACTCCACACTTGGGATATGCATACCTACTTGCCTTGTAGAATCAGTAGTCAAAAGTCCGCCCGGCTTCGCGATGTAATCTCGTTAACAGAGAAATGCAACGAAAGGGAAACGTCGGATGCCGTTTGGTTGTGCCATGTAGAATGCCGTTGCTTCGTTCTTTGGGCTCGGTCGTTTTTTTCCCCGGCGTCCCATTATATCATACGGGCTTGGATGCGGACCGAGCTGCTTTCCCGAATTGAAAAATGAACTTTTGCACATTTTCTTGTACGGTGCCCTGCTCAAGCCACCCTCGGGTTGAACGGGCTTCTCTTCAGGAACCTCGGTCCTTTCCTCGGCGGCAGGGGCCTCGACTTTCTCCGGAAAGGTTACCAGCAATGGTGCATTCGACCATCAAGCCACTCAGCATGGAGGAGCGGGAATTGCTGGATCGTGAAGGGGAGGAGAAGAATACAACCAATCAATTTACATATCGACATGGGGGAGAGAAGATGATTGTGGGTGGGAGAAGGAAGTCGGCACATACACCTTGCTTTGCTTCGTCCAGGATCCCGGCTGCCTCTCCCAACTTCAACCACGAGGAAGAAACCACCTCATGGACACTCGAGAGATTACCGAGTTGAACAGACAAGGCCTTTACCTACTTGCGAATGACTCAGCCGGTTGCCGTTCTATTCACAAGTGAGGCCGGTATTGTTTGCGTGAGGCTAACCCACTCATGGTCCAGGTCCTTCTCTTTTTGCCTTTCCTGGCTTCGTTGGGCAGAGACTGTTTTCTCGTTTCGTCGAGGTATGTGGAAGGAGGCAGTATGGAGAGGATATGCCGTGGATGTGCCGAGTGTCGTTCTTTCCTCCTCTTCCCGCTTCTTTGTGTTGCGCGCGCGCGGGGTGTATCACCAATTTTGCATGCGGACCAGGGACTAAGGTAGGTACTTGGGTTGGGTCCGACTGTACAGGCCACTCGGACACTGTTCCAGGTTGACTTCGCGTTGGAGACGGAGAAAAACAGGTCCCAGGACACCAAATACACCCAACCACGCCCAAGGGCACATCACACGCAAAAAAGAAAGAAAAGGAAAACAGCCCATGACAATCAACGACCGACGCCCACGGCTCGTCCGACTGCCATGAGGAACGCCATCAATACGGACTTCTTTTCCATTGCCAGAAGGCCATCGAGTCCCATCAAGTTGACCAAGGAATCAGCTCCACGGTTCAAACTCTCCTCGAAAAACCTCCATAAAAACACCATACCGAAGCCACTCGAGCCAAGCTGGATACGATACACAATCCAACCGTCAACCACCTCGTTCGGTCAGAGTCTCCGTCGGGAAGAAATACACCAACAACGAACGAGGAAAGATCATCAAGATTGCGATGGTGCACAATCTTCGTCTAATCACTGTCAGCGAATACTTTGGTCTCTGTGATGTGGCCCCTAGGAGGGAATACAGATGCCAAAGAGTGCGACACCATCACCAACCAGATATGCATGACCACGAGGAGACAACTCACAAGCATCCATTCCTTTCCTCGACATTGATGCGCAATGCCTCGAACGATACACCAGCCGTTGGTGCCAACCAGGTCTCGACCGCAAAGACCTCGATGAGCATTTACCGAACCCATATGGTGTCATGTCCACAAAAACAACATCGAAACACATCTTCAACAGGGATGAAGACCGTATTGACAAGATCGTTGACGACGGGAGATCTCTGACCCTTGTCGGGATCGACCGTTGCACTGTCCGATGACCATGGCTGACAAAATGAGGAGAAATCCCTCCTCATGGGCTGAGCTATGGATCCCTCCAAATCATGTGTTTGCGGTATTTGCAGATCAGAGATAACCAAACTCGGGTTTGTTTACACGCTATCGAGAGTTCACTGGTGCCGCATAGGGCGCATCCGAGACCCTGGTTTTACGATTATCTTGATCATGCTTTGCGAAACAGCGAAGAGGAAGATAACGTGCAGAGCAGGGACAAGCACCCGAGCCGAACGCTCAATATGCACCTTGGATGGATCTCCATGGACCCCATGTGAGAGACAATCCAACAAAAATAGGCCCGTCGGCTTCTCACCTGACATCACAAGGCCCAACATTGTTGAGATCATGAGCAGCAAGCGATTAAGAGCATGCATTAGCCCGGCTGCTGGTAGACGACAATGCTGACGATCACGGGTTGGCGCGGGGAAACACTGCACGTAGTCTCCGTACTCGCCGTAGTCTACTGCACGCCAATGAAGCTGCGTCGTGCGGCATTGGGCGTCGGCACGGTCTGATTGGTGGATGCGGCACCCTGCTTGTTGACGTTGTGTTGGCACCCCGCAGTCGAATCATCCCACTTGGGGCTGACTGGCCGCCCAGGTCTGAGGGGATATCGAGGCATCACGGCATTCCGACGCCTTGTTTGGCTTGGATCCCGGTCTGGGTAGGGCGTCAACCGACCAAAACGCGCGACGACGCAAGCGCGGCATTGTTGGGTATCGACGCAGTGCGTCTATATTATCAGAGCTGTCAGGGATGGCATGCCATGTTTCCGAAGAACCGATCCCGTGGGTGGACTGGTTATCATTTGGTGTGATTCGGACTGGAGACAGCGCAGCGCATGCGGCTGGCCATCAACTTCGGTGCAAACATTGAGGAAGATGACTGGGAAAGGGCATGATGTGGAGGAGTGGTCGATAAAACTCGAGACGAGCCTCGCTCCCCATCTCCTCGCTTTCTGTCTGGCTTTCTTTTCTTCTTCAGTCCCCACCTCCAGCATCACCCAGGCCTGTTCCCTTTTTGCTGGGTACCAGACCCTACTGCATCTTTTTTCTTCATCTTGAGGAGCTAGTCCTCTTTTGTCAACTTGCTGGCCAACACTTTCACCGGAAATCAGATACCCAGTTTCCCCATCAGCATGGCGAGCACAGTTCGCCCTCGGGGTCACCAGCATGACCTGAAGGCTTCTGGAAAGCTTCCAAACGGCATGACGCAGGACAGTCAGGATGGCTTTGAGATTTCGTATGTTTTGCTCCTCTCCAGTCCATCAAGACCATAGTATCATGCTAACTCCCATGCCAACCAGACCCTTCACAACCTCTCTTGTAGCCCTCCAGTTCTCAACGGGCGCTCCTCTCCTCGTTCACCGCGCCTTTCTTGAACAGCATTCCCTCCTTGCTCTTCTCTGCATCACCAACTCCGTCGCCTCCCCTATTACCTCCCCCGCTTTGAGTCCTTCCCAAGGTCCCAGATCCCTCTCCAGGACCGCTTCATACTTCTCCTCTCAGCAACCCAACTCTGCATCCAATCCTCTATCTCCAGGTGTCTCGGGATACGTCATCAACTTTGCCGACATTTCCCCCCAGGCCGGCCATGTCTTGGTCCAATATCTGTACTCACCAGACAAATACCACACCCTCCGGTATACTGGATGGCCGGTGATCCCGGAACGCCAACTGACTGTGAGCCGCTTTCGGACGGCAGTAGAGGTGTATGGAGCTGCGAAAAAGTATGAACTCCGCGGGTTGGAGCAACTGGCCAAGAAGGAGATGCTCGAGTTGGGAGGGCGATTGGATGCTTTTACTGTTATTGGGGTTTTGGAACAACAACCGACTGACAGCGAGGACAAATGGCTGGACGAATTCGTCAAGGGCTGGGCGAGAAAGGCATTTCAAGACCCTGGAAGGGTGTTGAGGGCTCAGGAGGAGGATGAAACACAGGGACAACAGGAAACGCCACAGGGGATGGCTTTGGCTAGAAAGTTCATGAGGGGCTTGTTGGAGGTTTATGAAGAGATGAACTCCACCAAGAAACGCGATACCAAC